GGCCTACTGGGGGGTCGCCTCCCCGCTTTGATCCGTTTTTTCCGTAGTGGGTGCGTTATCCGTAGGAAGCGGCGACGAATTCGATTTTGAAAATGACTGTGATACTGAGATGGATTTACTAGAGGCGACGAATAAACGCGACTTGATTGTTATCGGAACAGAGGAAACTCGATACAGTCATCGAACTATCGGACATTAAGAGGCACTTTTTGGTCCGGCACTGTTAGCTATGAAACACGCTCAAGACGTGCTGGGGAGGACGCAGCATTAGCTCCGCCACGGCGCATGTCTAATATATTCGCGTGACATACTTTGTTCTGTGCCAGAATGCTTTGTTGTGTGCCAGACACACTTTGTTCTGTGCCAGTTCTGTGTGGCGCAGCCGTGTGTGGCGCAGTGGTGTGCGAAGATGGCACAGCGTGTGGCGCGTGCAGAGCGCCGTGGGACATGTTGTCCTGATGGAACCGGTGGAGAGACCCGTCCTCAAGGCGGAAGCTTTCTCTCGTTTCGTGGACAGGTTTCAAAAACAACCATCGTCAGGTTTCTATGCGGCTGAATTTTGCGGTGGGCTCCTTCCATGTTCAGTCACGTGCTAGGTTGCTGCAGTCGCCTTAAATTTTGGCTGCAGGCACTCGAACCGGTGTCGGCGGTCCGATGTGTGTTGACACGCTCGACAGGTGTTGACGCGTGTGTACTTCCGTCTTAACACATGTGTCTGCCTCAACGTCAACACGTGTGTCCGTACGTCCCAGCATTCGCGTGTGTCGGACTCCAGACACAAGAGACGGGCACACACGTGAGAGACGGGCACACACGTGTGCCTCTGTCTTGTAACCTCGGTTTTGGCTATGCTCAGGCCAGGCAAGGCGCGTGTGAACCGGTGCGTAGTCCAGCGCTAGTCCTTCCTTAGGGTGTACTTGGTGAGTTGGACGCCCCCGTCGGCGGTAATGACCCAGGCTTCGGCACCGTCGCCAGTCTCGATGTTTCTTTCGGCGGCTGCGGTGAGAGCGTCAACACCGAGCTTGACGGCCTCTTCCGGTGGGCAGGTTTCCTTGAGCTCGTAGACATAGCCAGCCTTCTTAAGACCAATGTCGAGTACGGGCAGCAGCATGGCTCCGGCAGCGCCGATCGCGCCATACTTCATGAACTCCGTATTGCCCACAGCGTCGTACGAATAGACACCTCCCTCACCCGTTGAGTTCAATCCCGCCAAAATGTTGAACGCATAATAAGGGAAGAAACGCCGGGAGTATAATTCCACACTTAAACGCTGAGCCAAGGCCTCTAATGAAGGCTTCTCTCGGTGCTCAAACTCATACTGTGTAACTTCCAACTAAGCAAGCAACCGTTACAGTGTGTTCAATTGACCAACGTGTCAATCCACCGAATGTGCCACCCGCCGCCGACCCATCCAGTGCTTTTCTTACAGCCATTTTCTTCTGCAGTGCATCTATGTCTGCTCTCTGACCGCAGGATACAAGACAAACTTTATCAGTCCTACAAAACGCACGAACGCGTCAGACAGAAAGGAATAAGACCTCGGGTCCAAAGACTTTGGGTCCAAAGACTTTGGGTCCAAAGGAGTAGGACTGGTCCATAAGGTGCGGTAAGTTACAGCTTTACGACTTTTGTTTTGTTCCGGCTGAGAATGGCAATATCCCTGCAACATCTTGTGTCCGCCACAATCGTTGCATAGTCCTTCCCAGCGATGGCCAAAGCACTGCCACCATTATCTTGATAAGGACTCCAGCGAGACATTTTACTTTTATTTGGCAGACAAAAATCACGGGGGGTGGGACGTGAATTAATTACTCGCTGAGGTCAGTTTCCAAAAAGCTAGTGTAGACCTCGCCGGTGTAATAGGATACGGCTGAGGCAGATGCCCCAACAAACAGAGAAAGCACAACTAAACGTTAAAAAGTTAACAACCACACGTCAACCAACACGTGATCGTGAAAGGGAACTTTTAGTGTCGGGAAGGAAATCTCCAGGGTCAGGAAACAGGGGGTGAGAGGGGGGGGGGAGGTGTGTTTACGACTGATCAAACTGTATTCTATGAAATTTGTAAGGGTCAGCTCAATAGAGAAGATATTCCAGCATAGGGTGTACAACATAACAGCTACCGCTGTTCCGGCTCCCAAGTACACGGGTACACTGGTCCATTCCGGGTTTTTGAATTGAAGGTAGATCTGGATGCACGCGATTGAAACACAAGCTGTTACACCAATACAGGCTATTAGCGAAAGGAACACTACGACAGGATTCGGAGCTTCTGTTCTATATCCGAATGCTGTGTCGTAGAACTCTCTAAGAAGAGGCAAGCTTGCTCCGAAAGTAAACACGCCAGCGAGACCAACAAACGCCGTCCGAATGCTCTGTGGTGCCAGGTTGTCCACAGTCACGTGCAAAATAGGCTCCTTAAAGTCACGTGTACGAGAAAATTGTTGACTCAAAAGCGCGCCTAGGTAATGACAGGGCACCAGCAAGAGTCCAATGTATAACACAGTCTCTACGATGGGAAAGATAGTCTGGATTATGTTTGCGCACACGTGTGTTTAATTGCGCGAGCGAGCGCATCCGAACACGGGAGGGGGGGTTCCTTGTTCGGGGGGTGGTGGGGAGATGTGTGGTAGCAAGGCGGAGACGTACTGAGGAGGAGTCTGAGGTTGGATATGTTTCTGCTGCTTTGTATGGCCCCATAGATGTCATTGAGTTGCCAGATGGCGACGACACAGACTAGAGGCACGGCCAAGAGCGCTGCAAACACGACGGCGGAGACTCGCTGGGTAATCCGGTAGAGTCTGAAAAGACGGAAGACAGAAAAGCCATTGGTTACTTGGGCAATGGTGAATGCCCAGAGCCAGGCGTATACCCCGAAGGGTTGTGCCCCGAACAGGAGCAGGTTGAGTTGTCCGAGGAGGCAAACGATTGCGAAGGCCAAAATGAGCTGAGTGCCGGTTCCCACGAGTACTGCCAAAACTTCTTGACGTTTGAGGCCTTGCCTAGGATCAAAATGCTTCATCGGATTACGCAAGAGTTCGGCGCGCAAAGCAGTGGCCAAGGCTGCTAGGAGTGCTAGGACGCAGAAGGAGTTGTAAAGTAGTATGAGGTTCCGTGAGTTGGTGGGCCACTCCTGGTAGGGGTAGTGAATGACGTCGTAGGTCATGCGGAACTCGCTATCTTCTTTAAGAGGGACTAGAACGGAAGGTACGACGGCGATCTTTTTGACATATCTGGGTTGCTCCCGCAAAGCCCCTGTCCGATGTTCTTCATCTCCGTGCTCTGCGGCCTCTTTCAGATCCTGCGTCTTGAGCCGTTCGTCCACGAACACGTGGAAGGTCTTATGGCCGTAGAGCATGGTCTCGTTACCGCCCAAAGGCACTCGAACTTCTTCGCCGCCAGGCATCACGTACGAGTACCAAAACGAGTCGTGTACCAACGCCTTAAGCACGGCAATTTCTCTGCGCTTGAACCTGGCCGTACACAATTCTGTGACGCCCTTATCCGCTCCCAGATCCACTGCAAGAGGAGCCATTACTGCTCCACCGGACCACCACTGTTGCAAAAGTCCGATGTTTCCCGCACTAGAAGAGGAGGTCATTTCGCACAGAGGAATGTCCTCGTAACGGAAGGTCGTACGCGGGGACCTAAGGGCGGCCGACCTCCATCCAGCAAGGGCGTCAGAAAGGGTAACCAGGCTCCAAAGAGCTAGGCGCGTCATTTTCAAAAAAAGTCCGGCGCATCTTCCTTGAAGAATGATAAGGAGTCATTGTCCGCGCTAGCGAGCGATTTCAATACACACTTGCGAATCTCTAACTGAAAAAGTTGCCACTCGAACGTCGGGATCCCAGGGCATCTACTTCCAACCGGGGTCAATGGAATCGGCTGGGGCAAAGCAGTAGACACGTTGCTGTTCCCGGAGAGTGGGTCGCCGCCGCAAAGAGGCTCCATCGAAACATTCTCATCGCACGCGTGTGCTTTTGCAGGAACTTGCGTGGCTGAACCTTGCGCGGTAGGCATTTGGCTGATGTTGGGATTTATGTCTTCGAAAGCGCAATCCCAAAGTACTAATCCGTCGGGTGGAGCCATGGTATAAGGGGGTTTGGTCTGTTTAATATAGAGCCAATCGTTAACGACAGAGACGGGATGTACACCGTTGCCGATGTCCATAAGACAGCCAACTATGCACCGGACCTGGTGCCATAGGAATGCTGGTCCAGTGACGAGTACGACACCCACTTTTGGATTGACTTTTTTGACTCGGCAATGGAAGATTCGACGTCTTGTGGTTTTCTGGTTATCTGGGTCCTGTTTACAGAAGTTCTTGAAATCATGGTCGCCTACGAAGCACTGTGCAGCGGTGTCCATCTTCACCAGATCGAGTCCGGTATCCGCGAAATAATACTTATACATGCGATATAAACAATGGAAACGGGCATCAAACCAGACTGGACATCGCCTCACCCATACGACACGAATGCTATCGGGTAACATACCATTCATTATCAGTGCGTAGTTGTACTCCTCCCCTTCCGGATTGAGTCGCAATCGGATACTGATATAATTCGCACGCGCGTGCACACCTCGGTCTGTACGTCCACAACGTGAACACAACGACTCTGCCAATGATTTTATCATGTTCGCCTTACGCAACACATTCTCCAATTCACCCTCCACCGTCGACAACACTCGCTCCACACCTGGAGGAGCATTCTTGAAGTACGAAGCCGAACTTTCTTCATTCTGCTTAGCTAACCCCTGCAACAAACCATCATGACCATCAAGTCAACTTACGAAGAAACTCGATCCGTCATACGTAAACCGTATCAGAAAGGATCCCATTAGGGAACAGTCGAAGGTACGACGACGCTTCGAATGCATCCAATATATACTCTCTAAATTCCCACTTCGCGGCGGGTCTACCGTGAATGAGTTTACCGCCGTGTTCGAGCATGCCAGCTAGCTTCACACTGTGCTGAGATGTTTACCTCTGCACGAGTTTGGTCGGTACACACGCACGCACCCACGATGCAGTGATAAGCTACGATGCGGACGCCCTATATTCAACCAGACGTGCTCACCAAGATGATGGTGTTCATGCAGCGCTGCCCAGGCGTTGGCTCGTCCTGAACTGAACGAACGAACGAACGAACCCGGCTTTTCTCTCCTTTTTGCCCCACATTCTTGCCACCCTCCCCCTCCCTGATATACGGTCAGATCACATGAAGCTGGGCGAGCTCATGTTATTCATAACAAGTCCTATTCCGGTTTTAACATGCTCGGCACAGGGCCAGCTTCCGGTCCAGTCCAACCTGGTAAGGAAAATAGTACGGCGTCAAGGTCGAAATCCTGATTTTGTTTTTACCTCTCATGTGTCCTGCCGGTGGTGGTAACAGCATTCGCAGGAGGCTCTCATGCAGACAGGGCGACGAATGTCAAGATGACGAGGACAGTGGTCCAAGACTCCCTATCGGCTAACAACTCGGCCGATCTGCTGTAGGACAGATCGCCGGTGTGGCAATTTAATGCACTCCGCTGGCCCAAAATAAAATGAGGCGGCGGCTTCCGAGTCTCTCCGATCCTCCAAGTCCCTCCGGTAGTCCAAGTCTCTGCAGTTCCCCAAGTCCTGCCCGTGCCGTTAGCCCATCGCGTGATTCCTCCATCCGTGATTACATTAGACGCGATGACACTGGACGTGATTACTACCACCGCGACCGTCAGTGCACAAGACGTGACTCTGCCGAAATCTACGACAGCTCTGAACGGGGCGGATACCAGCGAAGAAGCTCGCGGTACGAACCAGCTAGACGACGGCAGGAGAGACGACCGGCAAAGGGACCGCTTGCCCGAAGGGAGCACAGCCCTGGCTGGCCTCCTCGAAACCAAGACCCCAGGCTGCCTGGAAGCCCGTGTCTGCCAAGTTCCGAAATCACAACGACACATAGATCTGTTTTAAGTCGTAAGGACAGCGATGAGGAAGCTCACGAGGATGGCCGGTACAGAGATGACCGGTATGCGGGTGACCGGCACAAACCCTTTAGGGACAAACCCCTCAGGGACAAACATTCTATGGACGAACCGTCTACTCTCAAGTCCAGGTTTGGAGTTGAGAGGTTTCGAGACGAGCATGGGCGGTTCCCAGACGACAGTGACCGGCGCAAAGCTGAGCGGCCGAAGTACGATCCCGGGTCTCGGAAGGACCCCGGATCTAGGGAGGACCCCGGATCTAGGGAGGACCCCGGATCTAGGGAGGACCCCGGATCTAGGGAGGGCGGAGTTCAGGCGGATTTGGAGTTGTTGGAGAGGTTGGAGCGTCAGCGGAAGCGGGAAGTTATTCGCGAGGCGAGATTGGAGCGTGCCCGATTGAAGCATCGAAGACCTCGGACAACGGGTCGTGATATAAGCGAAAAAATTGCACTGGGTCAAGCAGCACCAACGCATCAGGAAACGTTATTTGACGCGAGATTATATAACCGGGATGACTACACGGGTCCGCAGGTCCTCGACCCTGAAGAGTCCGAGTACCGAATATACGATACTACTCTTTTCAATCCTCATAAAGGTAGTGGTCTATATCATTATGACGCTGAACGAATCAAGCAGAACGTTCCGGACTACGAACCCCCTGCACAGTAACAAGGCAAGGCGCCTTTAATCATTGCCTTTAATCATTGCAATTAACCGTACATACAGCAAATGACCCAGTAAATGCCGCGAGTTTCGGTCAGTACGCACGCACGTAGGTCAGTACGCACGCACGTACGTCAGTACGTACGCACGTACGTCAGTACGTACGCACGTACGTCAGTACGTACGCACGTACGTCAGTACGTACGCACGTAGGTCAGTACGTACGCACGTACGTCAGTACGTACGCACGTACGTCAGTACGTACGCACGTAGGTCAGTACGTACGCACGTAAGTCAGTACGTACGCACGTAAGTCAGTACGTACGCACGTACGTCGGCCATGTGCGGTTGCCATCCTCGGGGTGTATTGGGCCCGTGGTCAGTCAGTCATTGATAGATAAATCCGTCCGTAGACAGACGGATAATAACCAGCATCGGGATCCCACCATCGGGATCCCACCATCGGGATCATTCATTGATGTCTAGTTGGTGAGTCCTTGACTTCTTGTTTGATTTCGTTGTCGTCGTCTCGTCGTTGTGCCGCTCGTGCGGCGAGTAGAAGATTTTTTTCTTGTCTCGCTTTGGCGGCTAAGTCTCTAAGTTTTTGTTCTCGTTCTTTTTCAGCTTCCTGAGCCTTCTGTTTTAATAAGTCCTGCTTAAGTTTAAGTTCCTCACGTGCGACTCTTTCTGCTACATAGAGTGCTTCACTGAATCCGGCAAATTTGGGATTGACTGTGACCTCTTGCATGTTACGACGGTCAGCTTGAATGCGCATTTCGAGTGGGAGTGTGTGTCCAGCAGGGTTAATCCAGTTACTAATGCTAGGTGGTATGTTCCAGCTTTCTCGTTCGGCAGGCGTTAATTTCTTGGGGGGTGGTCTGAGTAGAGGAGTAGGTTCTTCTAAATTGGGGGCAGGTGCTTTTCGTTTCTTGAACTTGGAGGGTTCCAATGGGTCTACAGCTTTTTCCACAATTCGGACTACCCGTTCCTTGATAGCTGGATTATATCCCGGTGCATTTGGATCAGGTATATAACGTACAAATTTATCTGATGCACGGGCACTCGCTTCCGCACGTGCCAACTGAGATTGGCCTGCACGCTTCCCCAAAATTGCCGCCAATGCTCGCTCGGTATCCTGCGCTAATGCTTCTGTCGCTTCGTCACTAGGCTTCTCCAATCCATCCGCCGGCATATACCGGGCTAAATGGTCTCCTGGCTTCACCGCATGCCCAAACTCGTTTATCTGATGACTCATTATACTCACCTTACGCTGCACAATCTCCGCCTCCGTCACACGCCGTCCAGCATCCTGAGGAAACTGAGCCAAATGCACCTCTGGGTATGCCCCACCGCCACCAAAGTCACTCTGCGTCTTCGGTACCCACCCTACCCGATACGGATACAATGGCACACCCGACACAACCACCGCCGATCGGCTGCTGTCTTCAGCCATACCCCGGCCACTTCCGATATAAAAAACAACAATCCAACGACCAACCAACCAACCAGCTGGCCGAGACCCTAATGGACACCCACCCAGTCCAGGATCAAAGATCCTTGGATCAAAGACCTTCGCTGGGAACAGAATTGACGTAAAAGTTCGTAGGATTGATGCCAATGTCGTCGTCTGGCCTGTCGGGGTGGGCGTAATTGAATAGTCGCCGACAGGCGAGTTGGGGTCCTTCCAATTGAAGTGTTTTCGAGACGTCCTCAATGTCCGTGGACTTCAAGCCATAACACGACACCAGCGCCTTGTTGAGCTGGTCCGCTGGGAGCTCTTTAAAGGGACAGCCGTGAGCGTCGCCTTGCTGAGGTCGCGGCATTTGGTTGCCCACGATGTAGCTGCAGCCGTAGCACGACTTGGCCTCCTTCTTGCCTTCTTGGCCGTAGATGTGGCGCAACGTGTATATGTGTCTGAAACGAGTGTCGGTGATTGTTTGGTGACTGGGTTGGTCAGAAAAGCCGGGGGCGGTGACAGAATGGAGTGTTATTACTCTTTGTCGAATTTGGAGGGGTCAGCCCAGAGGCGTTTGTGAAGAGTGGTCTGTTCTGGTAGGGACATGCCACAGTCGCGGAGGAAGGGCCACAGTTGCAGACGTCCGAAATGACGCAGGTGGCGATGTTGCTTCATGTGGAATAAGAGCCTGTTCATGCATGGTGGCAGGTACCGGACTGCCTCGCCAATCTTGGCGAGACTCAGTTTAAATCCCTCACCCGGACCGGCAGTGGTCATCTTCGAGGCGAACTCAGGCTCGTAGCTATCTAGCTTCTTCAGCACGTCCTTCAAAGAATCATCCAACGTTCCGATCAGCCGCAAACTCCGGGCACCACCAGCATCCAAACTCTTGTCTAACGCCACCTCGTGGTGACCGAAACGCTCAATCAACATGTGGTACACAGTCCAGGTCGGCAAAGTCAACTCTCCGTCTAAACAAATACCGCTATCCATCTATACACCTCATACACACTAGGCAGCACACACTAGGCAACTAGGTAGCACACACTAGGCAACTAGGTAGCGCACACTAGGCAACACACACCGAGCACACATTAGGCAGCCAAGACGCAAACACTGTGTTCTGACTCGTTAGTGGGTATGCTCTGCGTCTAAGAAATTCGTTATTATCCACGCAAATTCGCACCTTGACCGTTTTATTCCCTTCTAGGGTGTAAGGGGCTTCCAGGCCTTTGAGTAGTTCGGTCAAAGCGGTCGAGTTGCTTACATTATGTATCCACCAAAGACCCAGACGGATGGCGAAAAGTCGGGTTTCCTGTTTTCGCAGCCACTGCATTCTGGAAGGGTGATTCGAGAACCCGATTTTGAGCACGGCACTGGCCATAGACTCAATGTAGATTATCCGCGTCCAAGTCTCTTCCCGTTCCTTGTCTCCCTTTCGCTCGCTAAGCAACCCGGTCGAAGAATATTTGAGTTTAGCCAAACTCGGCCTGGTCAAGCTGGGTCTGGCTATGCCGGATCCGGAGTCCGAGTTAGTGATGAGCTCCGAGGCCGCCGGTGGAGGACCCTGCCTGGACAGCATTGAGCCCCTCTGACCAATGCTGCGACGTCGTTTTTTTCCGACAACAAGCTCGTCAACCTCCGTACTCTTCTTCGCCTCCTCCTCATCTATAGTCATCGTTTGGTCTGTTTGGTCCACGGCGCCAGTGTGGTCCACGGTGCCAGTGTCCCCTGCCTGGGCGGCGGTGCTGTCGCCGTTATTCGAGACCAAGCGATCCATCCCAGTGTCGCCCGTCTTGTCTAGTCGATAAAGAAGCGGGTAATCCTCGCCTTCCGTGTTCTCCTGGAAGTCTTGGTACACGGTGTTGAGCAGTGTGTGCACTATCACCGTCAAATCCGGAGGTTGCAGTACATCCTGGTTTATCAGTGCTGGGTTCACTATGTCTGGTTTGGAAAGTGTTCTAAAGAAATCGTCGATTCGGATCAAGACCAATAGACGTCGAAACACGTGTTTATAGAGCGCATTAGAACTAACTACGTGCGGCAACTTTGAACCGCATGATGGCAAACAGATAGGGACGTAATAATCGTGTTCTTGGTTCTTTAGACGAATGGCATGCCGAGATATATGCATATAAAAGAAAATCCCCGCCAGATGCTAAATGGTAATTTACCAAACACACGTGTGTGCGCGCGCATATAAGTAGCGTTTTTCCCGTAGTGACACTTAAATTCAAGCATGCGAGTATATCAATGAAATTGGGAGATGATCTTTCACGAGATACGTCATGTATAGTCTTCGCATTATTGAAGGAATTGAAAAGCGTCGCGCCGTCGGAAGTGCCCATTACGCCTCTCGCCAATTGGAGAGTACAATTAAGAGATTCTAAAGGGAACTATATCGGTCATTCGGCAGTCATCAACGATGGCGTATACTGGGTGGATTTTGTTAATGTCGAATATGCAGCCATCGTCGAAGGGAGCTTAAATGAACCAGGACCGATAGTAGATACCCAGGACACCTCTGCAGGCCCTCTAAAAGGGGGGAGCTCACCTGGTAGCACACCGTTGTCCTCGACCTCAAGACCAGGAGGAAGCGTTCCGAAGAGCATTTTAGTAGAAGGTACGGGGAATTTGCCAATAGCCGATCCCCCAGCCCATGTCGATGGAGGCCCTGTGGGCTCCATAAACAAGATGGTTATTGGCCACTGTGAGGCGTATCCTGAGAATAGTGAGTCTATTTCATCGCCAATGTTTGATTCCCAAGAAGATGATTCAAGAAAGGTGCAGAATTGGCAAAACCTGCCCAGCGCCAAATCACAACTAGTTGATTTACGGGCTGGGGAAGATCCTACAATCGGCCACTCCAAACCGGTTTCCTCCAAGCCGATTGCCGCCCCTGAACAAAAAGCTACTCCTACAAAAATTGACAACTTCCGGACTGGAGGCAACACCACCCGAAACAATGACACGCTGGAAACAATGATCAAAAGCGAATCTGCAGGGGATGGCCCTAGCGAAAGCGAATCTGGGGGGGGTGGCCCTAGAGCTCTTATTGGCGTGCAGCCGACAGAAAACCTCACCTCGGTCGTTGATGGTTTGCACGGTACGTCAGTCATTGACGGTTTGCTGGCGAGAGCCGTGGATACGGATGGTGTGACCGCCGGAAAGGTTGAGGCCGTTCCGGCTGCAAAGGTTGCGGCCACTCCGACTGCAAACGGCGGGACAACTCCGACTGCGAAGGTCGCTCGCACCCCGGCTGGGAAGACTGCAACCGGCGGGGGCGATTCCTTGGCGACAAAACCGGCTGAAGCCGCCAATCGAAGCGCTTCGAAAGTTGGACCGCATATTGGCCCAACGTCTATAAAGATGGTCGTCCCTGCGGTCAACACGACAGTCAAGACGGCAACCAAGACGACGGGCAAGACCACAACCTCTGGTGTGCCTGGCAGTCCAAAAAGGGCTGCAGCTCTTTCCCCGCAGGACCCGAAACGAACAGGGAAGAAAAAGGGTGCCAAGAAAGCCCGCTACCTAGTCTCGGACACGGAAGATGATAGCGAATCACACAGCAGTGGCAACACTCCGAAAGAAAAGACTAGTCGTCAATCAGGTCCTCATAAATCCAACTTGTCCGAATCTAAACCTCCTACGGACAGACCTCTAACAGACAGACCTCTAACAGACAGACCTCTAACAGACAGACCTCTAACAGACAGACCTCTAACGTGTAAGGGGGGTGGACTCGCCCCGACGGGCGGGCGACCCCCGACGGGCGGGCGACCCCCTACGGTTGGGCAACGCCCAACGGGTGGACTACTCCCGACGGGACCTACTTCGGGTGTGCAAGGTGCTTCGGGTGAGGCGGTGAGCCAACCGGTGAGACCAAAGCAGTCGACATCGTCGAGTCACGCGTCGCCGGTGGATGCCACGGTGGGTGGGCCGGTGACTGCCACAAGTCCAACGCTAATCGAGTTAGTGACGATTAAGCCGGAGCCGCGGATTAGTCATTCCCCTCCGAATAACCTGGGGCCTGGTGCTCCGCTCAGCGGTAGTCTTACCCCGATCCAAACTAATACCCCGATCCAAACTAATACCCCGATCCAAAGTACTACTACGGTCCAAAGTACTACGCGAGTCGTTCGCGGCAGTCCGAGAGTTATAACGCCGAAGAGCCAAGCCATCGTGATTGATTTGGATGATGAGGACGACGCTGAGCCTGTGTTTGTGCGTCCGTTTGCATACCTGGTCCCGGAGGATGATCAGTCGATGTTTTGCCTAGGTGCGGATCCGCCGTTGGAGTTAAGGCGTTGTTCAAATATATCTTTAAGTTTGCGAAGTTTCTCGGAAGCGGACTTGCGTTTATTTCTACCTATGTCCGTGCTGCAACAGAGGCTGAACCGGTCGAATGTGGAGTCAGTGACGCTATTGATGAACCAATATGAAAGACAGGTGAGATCCCGAAGGAATGGTGGTGTTATGGAGGCAGCCTTTGCGCTATCGGGCGAACTTGGAGACAACGTGTACCGAGAGTACGCGGCTGCCATTGCCTCACTCTGGGTACAAGGTCACCGGAGACATCTCTGGGTCTGTAAGGCACCTGCCGATCGCGTGGCCGGGCTCCAATTCGCCTTCGAACAGCTCGAAGTAGACTTCGTCCCCGTCGCGCAAATCAGGAGCTATAATCAAGAGGAACTGGGCCAAGAGGGTGTCCTTGTTCTCTGCGACCGGGCGTTCTTCAGAGAGAACCCTACACCGGAATACCCTCTCCCCTTCCCCAATGAGACGGACATGGCTGACTCCGTAACTGGTGCGACAAAGGCTAGTGCGGCAAAGGCTAGTGCGGCAAAGGCTAGTGCGGCAAAGGCTAGTGCGTTAAAGGCTAATGCCGTAAAGGCTAATGCCGTAAATGCTAGAGCGGGAGGATACCGCCAACCTTTGTCTCAGGCCGAGCGTAAGTGCTTCTGTCTAGGTAGTTGTGCTTGTGGTTTGTTGCATTGGATGGCCTCTGGAAAGCTCAATCTCGAGCCAGTTAAGTCCCAGTCGTATATGTGGACCAAGTGGATGCAGGGTTATCGAAAAGGCTTTGCTGACATGGTTAGAGAATTTTGTGGACTGGTGATTGTTGACCATGAGTGCATCCGATTACTCGCTATCAGGCGGCGCATATCTTACTGGTATGACCGTTTACTTAGATTAAAATACAGCAGCTTTGTTATATACCATAATGTAAAGTTTGATGATAAGGAGTGCGCGTTGGGATTAATCCGATTGATTAACAAAAGTGTGTGTCAGTGTGCGAACGTGAATCCGAAGCATGAAATACAAGCTGATGGACTTCCGCCTTGTGCTATTGAGCAGAATGCTGCATTGGCAAAGGTGGATGTTGAATACTGGACCATCTACAAAGCTGATTTGTTGAATAAAGGACGGCTGCTGGAAAGAAAATTCACGCCAGATCCTGGCCGATTCGCAGTAACCCGAGTAAAAGTCGACCTGACGTGGCCGACCGATTATAACCGACCGACGGATTATAACCGACCGACGGAGCAAGCCGAAGCAGGAATCCGGGAGCAGGTGTTGAAAGTTATTGCGCTACTGCAAGAGTATACTAAGGGGTTCATACGAATGGCTGTGAAAGTGTCTGAGGAGAACGAGACAGTCCAGTCACTGATTGTCTGGATCTCACGAATTGTGAGGTGCTTGATAAACCTAATCAAGTACGACTACGTCGTCGATAATAGGAAACTACTATCCAACCCATCCCTCACTCTTATGCTGGAGGGGCCGATGACGTACGAGCTGCCTCTACTGAATATTCAGGGGTATATAGAGCAACAATTGTCTATGGCTAAGGAGGGTCGTACTGGACAATGGTTTGAAGCAAAAAAATTCTTTACTGACATCCAGATCGCGATGATCAAGTTTGTTCGCGGTAAAGTCTCTCAACTAATGGGAGTTGCCGCCGTACCTAGCACCAGCGGCGGTCGACTGCCGGACAATAATTGTGCCGAGGATAGCCCCCTAGACGGATCGCTGGATTCTCCCGATTCCTCGACTTTATCCGTGTTCTCCCATGCGGCAGAAAAAAAGGCCAAGGCTAGACGTCTGGTCCACGTAGTACCCGGCACCGGCCATGTTGTCGCTTCGTACCCCATGAATCCTCTTGATATAGCCAATAGAATTCAGGCATGCACACGCGTGTTTATTCTCGGATTTATCGAAGATTTCGATCGTCTGAAATGCGAAGTGGAGACGCTTCTAGCATTCCTACCGAGGGCAAAAATTCACTTTTTGATTACGGAGTCGATTTGGGATGTTGCCAATGTTACCCGCTTGCTAGAAGACTGGGAAATCATGGACCAAGTGGCCTTTCCGTCAAGTTGGGACGTTGCAGCCTGCGACAAGGGCGTGGGCAATGCGGCAAGCGCAATAAATCTTAGCACGCATTGTCTACGGACCTTCCACCCGTGCACCCAGCTCAGGCTTCTCGACGCAGTTATCTACATGTCCAGGTACTACGCTAACCTGAATTCGCCGGATTTCGACGTCATTCTCGAGGCGGTCAATATTTCACACATCAACAAGTTCACAGAGATCGACTATTTGCAAATGTTTGCGAGGAAGTAAGCATCATGCCCGACAGTCGCACAACGCCGGCCCTCTTCCCCAAATTCACTAGAATCTTTTCAGCTTGATGTTGACGGATGTCAGACACCAAAAAGTGATATGCGACAAGCTGCGGTCCATGCTGCAGATATATTTGCTCTCAGTAGAGAGCTCAGAGAAAGTGCTCGTGTCTCTCGCGGCTTTAATGAGCTGCGGTGTGTTGCCGAAGACTGTTCGACCGCTGGCAAAGTTGGACGTCAATTTCGCGTTAAATTTCACCTGTATGGAAACGTTGTTGAGTTGGTGCCGAAAACGATTTGGGGTCCTGAGACCGGAACCAGGATTCTACACGGGAGTTGACGGCGTGGTCTTTATTCTGCCGCTGGCCGCTGCGTGCTCCATTGCCAAAAAAACCAACGCGTACAACATGTCGCTCGGCCCGCCACACAATCCCGCAACGCCCGAACCGAAAACGACTACCGGGCACAAAAAGCTGCAGAGCAAAGAGGCAGGACGGAGTGCAGGTCGTATCGTGGTTCATTTGTCAGATGAGACCCGGAGACGAGTGATCACAAATGACCCAGTTGTCGCAGACGCGCGAGCAGTTACCGATGAGGGCACGGTCACCGTGGTAAGGCGGGACGTGACGACGAGCGCTGGAGAAATCGTGATGGCAGGAGACGAACGAAACGGCCAGGAGGCGACGTGGCGGTTCTCCCGCGAGCCTGATGCTTTGCGGGCCATGGCTGACCGTGTCCTGGTTTTCACACCGAGGGGCTGTGCCATTCAGGAATGTGTTTTGGAGGACGGTACTGTTCGGTTGCGGACAGGTACGATCCGTAAGATCAGCGACGACGAAGGGCGTGGCGTATGGTCGGCTGCCGCAACGTCTAGCCAGGGTCTAGTTAGTCACAAGAAGGTGAGTCTGCTTACGGAGGATATGATTCCGATATTGCGTCAGGGCATACAAGACCGTCGGTGGCCGATATATGATTGTCTGGATGCAGTGGCGCGTGACAAGGATAATACATATTCGGCTTTGGTACAAGTAATGAGTGTGAATTTAGGTCGAAGTTACGTAACAGGTGTTTTTCTCTTCGGTGAAATTGCCGATGGTTATTGTCGCCGTCTGATTGCATGGCCGAATAGCGCTGCTGAGGTGGTTCGTGAGTGGGTACGAGTGAGCAATGGGCACCGAGGACTGTTGCTTAATTATCACCTCGTGTTTTGCGCGGCTCTACCATCTTTCCTCACATTGGTGTTCAGTAAAATTGACCGCTGGTTTGACGGCTTTGTGCCCAACAACGAGATCGGCATCACCTCCAGCATCGTCAACTGTGCCGTGGAAGCCGTCATTGCCGATCTCACGCTGTCCGTGAAACGAGTGAATGTCAATGTCCACCAATCAATCGCCGCACATATTGTCGAGTTAGAACGCGTCTACGCAACTGCCAACCTGCAGACACACCTACAGGACATCCTCAACGCAAGCATGGTCAACACAAACCTGCTTGGGTCGGGTAGCTCGGATGTACTGATCTCGGGTCTGCTTGGCAAAATATGCAGGATACTATGCTGCAATTTAGACTCTCTTCAGAGATATGTGCTTGCCAGAATATACCGAGAGACGTCTGTTGGCGTGTCTAACGAAGAACTCCTCTCCTGGGCCGTCGTCTTTAATTGCGTGTACCCCACCCATCAAATACCCGTCTTGACCGCCGAGCTGCTCAACCACGTCTTACTGGACGCCGCAAACCAACGAGTTTTTGGTCTCAGCTACGACGAGAACAAACTCATGAGAAAGATTACTAACCTTGACAATAAAGTGCGGTTGGAAACACATAGGGTATGGAAACACATGCTAGGACACATCGCACAATCAGGTCAAACACGACACCCAGATCATACACGGCAACCAGAACAAGCAAGGAGAACAGAAGAACATGCACGACTGGAATCCAACATGAGGTGGGATGGGAATGGTCGCCGTCTGCATGGTCGCCGTCTGCAGCCGCCCGTCACTAATAATGTGGCATCGGTGGATGTCTGCCGCTCCAACTCAGAGTGGACACCAGAGCCACACTCACGTTGGAATGATAGGGACCCGCAGCCCTGGAACGAGCAGCCCTCTCCGATCGAGCCAAGAAAACGCCATCTATCCACGGATATCAAAAAACCCGCCGAGAATTATTGCGACCGCTTTGGTGGGAAGACGTTCGACGAGACGGGTTACTACAGAGCTTCAACAGATGAGACATATTCTGTTTCGTTGCAAACACGGGCTCGACGTCTTACAGAAAAGTGGACACGAGATGACGGCAGGGCACGAGATGACGGCAGGGCACGAGACGATAGTAGAGCAGACGGTCGTACTCACACCAAACGACGAACAAGTCTTGATCAGTATGTCACTAAGCGAAGAAGGTCTCTTGAGGACGCACATCGCTCTGTCCCTGAAGACCCTCCGAAAGTTCGGGTTCTGGCGGACGGCAGAGTCGCTTGCACCAAATCTCGTGCAATCCGGAAGAACAGCCCACGGTGAACATGACCTCGATTATACACCTCGATTGCACCGCGCAATGTCATGCCAGCTTCCATACAAGGATTTTGCTCGGCCACCACACACGATTTCGTCACCACACACGATTTCGTCACCACACACGATTTCGTCACCACACGCTCAGTCGAGCAGTCCAAGGCAGCTGTCAGTGGCTGCACGCATCTATGTAAGGCTTAAGTTCCTCCAACACAGCAACAATGGATTCGACGGATCTGAAATGCAATTTCTTCTCTTGGAGGAGGCGAAGCAGGTCAGACCCAAGTTCGATAGAGAACGGGCAGAGAATTGGGTACCAAGATCAAGCAGGAAGGTGTTTACGTACTTTCCTCCAACGAAATTGATTTTGCCATTAGTGAAAATGGAAGCAGTTATAGTCTCTACCTTTTTCTTTTTAGATCCTGTAATGATTCTTGCTGCCTCTCTTTTACGACGTAGTGTGTCTTCCGGCGCCTGGCTGTTCATCATGGGTTCCAGCTCTTGTTGTCGTTTTCTTTCTCGAACACGTTCTGGTACTGGGACACTAACTCTCAGTGCTGGGAACTTCGACGGCTCGTAGTCTGTAGTTCCCGGGGCTACTTGGTACATCTTGTTCAAGTCGATGCGCTTACAAATATCCACAACTCCCAAAAGGTTATGAATCTCGAATGACCGGAACTTTACTCGGATATTTAGTCCTTTTCGCAGTCTTCTTGCTACGCGCTTCATACATAATCCAGCCTCGCGTGGCATACAGCCGCCAGCGGATTGTATTCGGCCTCCGTCAAACAACGATATCGTGTACATGGCACCTGTTATTTGCCCGCGCACCTCTATACGGACCGCCGGGAATATCTCCGGGACATATGAAGCATTGATGAACAGCTTGACTGCTTCATCCAGATTGATTTTCTCGTCACTCTCCAGCACCGCCAAAGCCAACACGTTATGAATCCGCAAATCCTACGACCATTCCAATAGACTAAAAATTACTTACAGCGTCGATTCGGGTAGATAGCGACTTGTAGGTATCTATAGGAAATGCGGGTTCATCGTTCCATTCTATTGCTTCCCCAAAAAAACCCTCCTTGGACATTTTATCACAAGAAATTATCCGGTCCTCAGCATGACCTGGAACGAAATTTTGAGAGCGCACACACGTGTGCTATAGAATGGAAACAGCACAATGAAAGACATATCTATCCAGGAAGCTATGGACAAAGACAATCTCTCAACTGCTGTGCCCTCAGAAAAGGATCTGTACAAAACTAACTTCATTGGGACCCCCCCGGCATCTAGAGACGACGAAGATCCACTCGCAGCGCTCGCCGCTGCTATATCGTCCCAGGAAGACAAGCAGTTTGAATCAAGCAAATGGTGGAATCACTCTCGAAACGGAGGATTGGCGGAGAGTCAAATTTATCAGACCGAGAAGAAGGTCAGCATTTCTAAAACACCGATTGCTGTTCGGAGTTTGACATCAGAGAGAAAATCCAGAAAGCATCCGAGCAGCTGCTCCAATTGCGGATGGGTCAATGCGCATAGCATTGTGCAGTCTGTGGTTCGTGAATTGGAGCAATACTACATTCCTAAGTTTACTGAACTGGCATCGAAAGGCGATCCGGTGGACAAGTATACACATCTCATGAGCTATAAATTAGCGGAGCTGCTGGGAAAAGCGCATCCGTATTTAATGATCCTGCATACACGTAAGGGAACTCTGAGCTAACCTTGGCTGAATCATGTTTTTTAGATGCTGAGAAGTGTAATGCGATACCTCATTGCTCCTGGTCTTGTGGGGAGGATTACGCCAAAATGGCGGGAGTGATGGGTTATTTATCGGAGACTCAGATGCTAAGCAACGCTTCAATATTAAGGATGCAGTGCAACATCAAGAGCAAGAGAGACCGTATACTCATGCAAAATCAACTGCTAGCTGAGCTGAAGAATTACGTGGAGCAGCTACAACACGATTGCGAACGGCTTAAGCAGGAGATTAGTGGTGGGAGACGGCGGAAGGGGCTTCAGGCTACTATGCATTGTAGCATAGACGATGTTTGTCCTCACTTGGACGACGTTGTTCCAAATCCTCAGCTTGATTCTGCACAGGAAAAGCCTAGCATAATCCTTCATCTTAAGCGAGCGGACACTGGTTTGCTGGCGGATACAGATGTGCCCGATGACCTGTGTCCGTCTCCAACCGCGGACGGCATCGTGCAATCACCATTTAAGACGGGGCATGCTAAGTCAGGTAGCATTCAAGCGCCGCCTGAACCAATCTTAACGGCGGATCGAACTCGGTTCGGGGAGTCACGAGGGTGCCTGCGTTGGGGGTGCTTGAGTCCAAGTGGGTGTTTATCGGCACTGGGACTGCTTTTGTTCGGTGCGACTTTCGGTGCGGTTGTCTCAAGTTTAGCGCACCAGGAAATAGCCGACCTTCTGGTCCGAATCCTGCTTAAGCTGAGCGAACCACCGACCCTCAAATATATGGCCTACACATGTTCTAACTAAAAATCTAACGAGTGGCTGCCGCGTGCCACGTGGCGATCCGTTCATACATCCTTGAAGTCTTGATCCTATTCGAGAACACCATATTCACTTCGGGGGCATCACCTCCACAGACAGACACGATGTGTCGCGTTTTTACTGAAGGAACGATGGCGGAAACTATAGAGTGATCGAGCTGCCTGAGCTGGCAGGTGTGAGCGAGTGAGTGAAGAACTAGTGTGTTGTGATTTGTGTGGTCGTGGTTACCTTTTAATTGTTTGATTTGTTCAGTTAAGTCGGGGTCCTGTGTGCCTCTGACGATTTTGCGTACCCTGCTAAGAGGTATGTGGAAGTCGTAGTTTTGTGAGCTGGCGTCGGTCATGAACCGTAGTTCGCTCATGTCACCCGAGCTCTTCCACCAGAGGGGTTTGAGTGTGTATTGGCCGGCTTCGTTTTTGATTAGGCATTTGCTCTTTCCTCCCTTTCTGATCTTGTTTCTAATTTTGCCGGGGAGGTCTTGAACGCCGTTGGGGAATTCCTCTCGGGAAAGTTGGAGTCCGTCAATGGGGAATTCGTACGTGGCTAGAGAGTAGAATGCTTCGGGCCTAGGTGCATCTTTGTTGCCTTCGAGCAGGCTCCAGATGTCGTCGATGCGTTTGCGGAGGGGCGCCTCCCGTTTCTTGGTGAGTGCGGATGCGGCGCTTCGAAGGGCGCCCATAGCATCAGTGCTGTTAGAAATTGCAGCTATTTCGTTGGCGGGTATGATGCAGCATGCGTTGCCTACGAGATCCGCTCCGACGGCCAGTAGTCTGATTTTTCCTTCGCCCTTCTGTGTCTTGGTATGGCCGAAGATTTTGGAGACTAGTAGAGGCAGGCCAACATCTGCGTTGCAGTCGGTGAAGACGAGACCGCACCCGTCGGGTTTCTCACAAGCCGTATAGGCGAGGAGCGAGAGTCCGAACTCGCTCAGTTTGTCGACGTGTAGCACGTCATCATGTTGCCCGAGGAACATGACGAACAGTGCGCGGGAGATTAATGTGAGCGCCTTCGCGTCAAGGCCGATCTCGGAGTAGCTGCGCGGACCCTTCGGTTTGACAAGGATGTCCCGCTTGTTGACGTTGCTATCGGTCTGAGAATTCGATTCGTCTCTCCGAGGGGGTGTGTGCAGGTCAACGGGACTGCCCTCTTCGTCGTTCCCGATCTCCGCACTGGCCTCCGAGCTGGCGGAAACCATGTCCGCGGCGCTGCTACCGCGAGTGTCCTCGGAGTCGTCGGAACCTTCTTCGGAAACATCTGAAGCTGGCACACGGCGAGAGAAGACTCGCGAGAATTGCTGCGAACGAATGGCCACACCGGACAACAACTCCTGGGCCCAAGCGACCTCTCTCGGGTTCACCGCGTTCTGGTAGTCCACATCTGAGCCGTACTCGGACGCATGGAGGTAGATCAAGGTTAGTAGAATGTGGCATACTTCCTTAACTGTAAGCGCCGAGGGCACAGAGTCTTCAGCGAAGGGCGCTGCAGCCTTGATGCACTCAGTTAACAACGCCATGGGCGAGGCGCGGATGAACATATCGCTAACCGCCTTATCAGCAACGAGCCGGCGAATCACGCGGAGCGCCGCCACGACCGTCAGTGCATCCAAGTCGTCGCCTTCCTCCAGGACGCCAAGGATGAAGCTGAAAAGCCCGTTGTCCGCCATACGCTGCGCGGCATCCGAGTAGGAACCGAGGACGGCGAAGAGGTCCAGCGCCTTGATGTATAGCTGCTCGTCCTTGAACTCATTCACCAGCGATATCGACTGCTCAACGCCCTGGTGCGAGAGAAAGACTTTACGATTGTCCACGTTTCGACAGAGCGAAGCAAACGTATCGCACATGAACGCCATGAGGCCGGCATGATTGTGCTTCCCGGAAGAAATGATATCGATTAGGGGCACCAATATCGCTCCAAAGTGGTTCATGAACGCGTCTGCATTTTCCAGCGTTAAGTTTGAGAGCGTCTTGAGCGAGACCAGCAAGAGCTCATCGGGAACCGAATCGGCGCGTCGGTAGAAGATCTTCATACAGCCACCAATATCGCCATCCAGGAACCGCTGCACGTTCGACGGCACCAAGGCGAGGTTACCGACGGCCTTGAACATGGAGCCGAGACAACGGTGTGCGGCCGGCACGTCTGCTCCGTCGTAGGTTCGGAAACACTGGAGGATGAAGGAAGGCGAGTTCGCGCGTCCGAAGGCCTCTTTGAAGTCGTCTCGCTTGAAGGAAGCATTGCACATAAGGACGCAGGCAGCGTTTGCTAAGTCATAATCGACCTTGCTGTCCATCGCGCGGTTTAGGATTCGGTTGGTGAGGTCGACCCCACCCTCCTTGCCAAACAAGGTTCCATTCTGGGGATGTCCGAGCACAAGGTTGCCGATAGCGAGACACGCATTCTGTTGCACACGCGATAATGACGCCGAGGGTTTTTCTTTCTCTGACCTCTTCAGCAGCGCCACGATGCGACGGACACCTTCAAGTCGGCCAAAGTAATTCTTGGTTTTCGTGAACGAAGCCATGAATCCGATGACCATAAGAACGTCAGCCAAAAGATCTTTCGGTGTACTCAACCCATCCACCAATTCTAACAATGCTTCCGGGTACTTCAGCTCAATAAATTCTTCACAGATCCCCTCATTGGCCATTGCCCGCAACACACGCATCAGACTTTTAAGCGTGCTTACACCGAACTCTTGTCGATCAACCAACGTCCAGACGTACTTCAGTGCATTCAGCGCCTCTGTATCGTTATAAAATGTCCGCTGAGAGCACAGCCTCGCCATAAAGACTAGACGTTCAACCATCCAGGACTCGACACTCCGAGACAACTCTTCCGCCACACCGGGATCGCTTACGAAAGGGCCATGGTCGGTTGGTACCCGAGCAACAGTCCATGACGTCACGCCCTCTTGACACTTTGCCTTTTCAGTACACCTTCGCACAACTTCCACTGCGATTGCGGCCATACCCTCCACGCCTGCATAGTCCTCTGGCGCGTTATTTACTGCATCTACCACAGCCTCCACCACTGTCTGCAGTGACTCCTCCAACGGCTGCTTCTTTAGTGCCTGCACCGCCCACACGTGTGTTGTACCTCGCGCTTCGCACAACAAACGAGCATTCAGAGGCAATTGATGCAACAACGTAAAACAGTGACAACCGAACCAGAACTCCCGCGCAACCGGGTCCTGCGCCACCGCCTGCAGCTTCAGGTTCCGGGACAGCTCCTCCGTCTCTCGATACACAAACTCAAACTCCGCCAAAAGGTCTTTACCCGCGTTCGTACCAAGCTCCAGGATCTCGGGAGAGCCTCCATTTCGGTCGATACGTGCCACCCAGCGTTTGTAGACCGTTTCCAGCTTAAGTTTCTGCTCCAACTTAGCCGCCAATAAACCCCTCAGTTTATCGCACTTTACACATAACTCACCAGTCGCCGGGTAACCGTTACTAAGTGCGTTCATCTTGATGGAGTCCGTCGCCAGAATGATCTCAGAGGTCTCTTGCATGATACGTAGGTTGTCTTCATCAACCTGGGCTAATTCCAAAGAAAGGTCCAAAAACTGGTCGGCCACGTCTTGTTCGAGTGTGACAGTTTCAAATCCCTCCACCACCACGACGGGGAGCGCGGTGCTACAGAGTGTGTTCCAACTTTGTGAGTCTTCACGCATAGCGAAGCAGGATGCAACCAGCGATCTAGCTGCTTGCTGATTGTGCGACTCGGCTTTGACTGCTTCAGTCAAACATTCAATACCTCGAGGTCCACGTACGAGATTGAATTGCTTCCGTTGCGCAAAAGCTTCGATGCAACCTCCCATACGTCGGAGTAGCCGATCGCGCACATCTTGCTCCGTCGATTCATCATCACGAATAGAGTAATACTGCTTCACCAATATCTCCAACAAATTCATCCAGATGTCCTCCGTACCAGGCACCTCAGCGGTCATGAGACAACGACAGAAGCCCGCGAAACCAGCGGCAGCCTCAGGACCTGTTTCGGCAAGTTGTTTAATCTTGTCGATATTTGCACCCCGCGAACTTCCATTTAGCACCTTGGTCAACCGGCCACTGGCATTCGCAGCAATCATACCCAGAGCATCCAGTCCATTACCAACGCTCTGACCATTACGTCTTAAATTCCAGACAATATTCCAAACAGCTTCGGAAACATCGCCACCAAGTTCGCGCACTTTGTCATAGTCATCGCAAGTCTTGCGAGCGCGTTCCAATGCCTCTACCGCCTCCGTGTTCCGCGAGAAATGGCCGATGAATGAGATTATCGCTGTCGCAACGTCCTCCTGGTTCTTGTAGCGGTAAAGTAGGTCCCAAGTGCTCTTCAGGAATTCGTCGCTGTTAGCAGTTGCCAGCTTAGCGACCGCGCTATAGGTCACTTCGCTAGAGCAACAGAGCTCCAACGTCTCGTACATGTCGCGCAGGAAGTTAGAGGACTTCCGCACACACGATGATTTGCCCGAATCATTGATCATGCCGATCGCAGTATGTGCGAACCCAGACTGGATGCAAGTTTGGACACCGTAGTTGCTCATCGGGTCGTCCGCAAAGCGGTGCGCCAGGTTCTTAACAGTGAGCGCGGCATGCTCCAACAGTTCCACGTCATTACCCAAACCGGGTAAAATTCTTGCGAGTGCAGAAACGGCCTGAGGCGCCTTACCGAAGGCTGCGTCCACGTCATCGGGGTGACAAAAAACGAAGGTCTCCAACTTCTGCAACACTGATGCCAACTCACTCTTCCAACGATCCGGCTTCCGGTCGCAAAGATCAATTACCTCCTGGAAGTAGTCGTCCACCAACGCGTCACCACCTAAGTTACCAAGTAGTTCTCCCATCAGTCCCTTCATCTCCGTCGTACTACCATCAACAACCAGTGCCTCCGTCACCGTACCCAGCAGGTCCATGTCCTGCAACCGTTTCTTGTCTACTTTGGTGGTCAGCTTGCAAAGCATACCCAGCACGGTGGCCGTCGAGTCCGCATCGTCACGACAACCTCCCAGATTCCTACCCAGTGCGCGCACTGCAAAGTCCAACGCATTACTACCTCCACGTTTCAGCATGGCCTGACGCAGCGCAGTTCCGTCGCCGTTTGCGCTCACAATTCGCTCGAGCACTTTGCGGCACCAGATGGCCGTCTTGTTCTCGTCTTGGCCGTAAGAGTCGAGACAACGGATGACGGCTTCGCAGCCGCCGGCTTCAGCGAACTTCTGAACAAGCTTGTTTTGGTGACGATCCCTTCCGACCATTTGGAAGATGCAACGCAGCGCGTCAACACGTTCGGTCTCTGATGTACTATGCTCCAAAACCTCAATGAGGCGGGGCAATGACGCATTGAAGGCGGCGCCGTTGAGGGTTTCTTCAGATGCCAACAACCCCACCGTGGAAACAATGCCCATGACCTGTTTCGGATCTGCGGCGAGCTGCGGGAGAAGTTCGGTAAGACGCGCGCTGAACTCCTGTGCACCCGGCGCAGCTGCGGGGTTACTCTCATTGGTCAGTAGACAACGACCGGCCTCGAGGCACTGAGCTACGACTTCACTCGCCACTGCGTTGTCTTGCTGCAACGCTTCCTCCAAAATGGTCTGTATGAGAGGGATGGCCCCGCCTTTGAGCAGCATGGAGCTGTGCGGCTTTCCCACGTTACCGACATTGCGTAATGTCTGTACAGCACCCAGCGAACACGTCTCCAAGTTCTGGAAGGGTACCGCGGGCGCCACTTTCATGGATTCGAAAAACGCATTCACCGCGTTGCCCACACCGTTCTTGGCGGCGAACTTGGCCGCGTCCGCAGCCGCTGAAAGTCCCGCAAGTGTGGCCAAAGCCTCACCGCCGGTCTTGACATCGCGGTTCCGGCCGGCAATTTGCAGTGCCTCTATTTGACTCAAGACTTCATCCCGTGCCTGGTCCTGTGGCATGAGAATAGCTTGACATTGTTGACAGAGTTTGAGAACGTCTGCCTTGGACTGGTAGTTTTCTGAGACCATCTTGAGCACCTCCGTGACACCCGCCCGACGCAGCCCGTCTACGTTCTCGGGTCGCTTCTTGGCGCAAGTGAGGACCACCCTTAGTCCCACCGCCTGGTACTCTTCGATCGCGCTACCACGACTCATGGTACCTAGCACTTGCTTGGACGCGCCAGACTTCAGGAATTCCGGCGACACATCGCCCGAGTTAAGTGCCAGAATTACAGATAGAAACTGCAGACACGCAACTTGTGTCTTCCGCTGCTCCGGATACTTGCGCATCAACGTACTAATATCACCCATACATTTCTCCAAACTGCCCAGTGCTTCAAAATGATCCAACTGTGTTACAACCGTCGCACATCGCACGATATCTGTCACCACCGAATCGCCTGTCGAGTTCTGTTCCTGATCCGCAATAGCTCGACATCCTGCCGAGTGTGCGATAGCCAGCAGCCGGTGAGGTTCCTCCTTCAGCGGTTCTTTATTGGACACGATCGGAGCGAGTGACTTAACACATGTCAAAACGTGTGTAATCAGCTGACGCTGCTCCGGGAAGTATGGGCATTGGCATACATGTCCCAGTGCCTTGATCAAACCGTCCAACGACTCTGCACCCACTCCATCTGTGCCGGACAAACTACTAACACCGTGTACAGTAGCACAAGCATCAACACACTCCCGGAAATGTTTCTTCGGCTCTTTCGAGAGCTTAACCAGCTGATCAATCGCCTTCTGGATATCTGCAGTTGAAGCGGTCTTCCGCAAATACGTCTCACATGCTTTAACTATGTGTGGTATATCAGCAAATGTCATCGAACAACGCAATACCGCCACAGACAAGTCCGACTCGACCTTGGCCAATGGCCCGCCCACCTCGCTGGCCGCCGACAGCATTTGTAGCATGGGCAATAACGCCTCCATCTCGGCGCGATTGTCGGCTGTAAGTGACTTTAATCCGTTCACGATCGCGGGCAGGACCTTTATCAGACTCTCCTCCTTACGCTCCCTCATGAAGGTCTCGCAAATCTTTGCCGCGGGCACCATAAGTCTTTTGTCTGGCGAACTAAAGGCCACTTCGACAGCCTCCAGATCTGCCGGCACTGTCGGCAAGTGCGATAGCAATTTGAGGGCTGCCATAGCCGTATCTGGGTTTTGGCTAGGGGTGACAGTCTTGGCAATTATCTCAACTGTTCCTGAGTTGACGCTGCGACCAAAGGCAGCATCACTGGAGCTGAGTGCGCTGGCAAGACCATAGACTGCCTCACTCAAGTCGTCGGACATGCCCTCGACGCTCTTCAAAAACTCGCGCACTTTGCCGCTCGCCTCCTGCACATTCGCCTTGCCTACTTCCTTGGGGTTGTTCGTCAGTAGTCCGGTGAGCATGCTGCAGGCTGCCTTGACGCTGGATGCCTTGGCTTCGTCTAAAACGTCATCACACTGGTTGAGTATGTTACACAACGGACCAGCATCTTGAAACGAAGCTGTGAACGCACTCGAGTGCGATAGTGCAGACAACAATTCCAACGCTTGCAGAGACTCTTTTCCACCCTTCCCGATTGCTTCCGCACTTTTCTTCAGCTGCTCCGGGCCAACCAAAGCGGCAAGGATGCGCGAAAGGGTCTCAGTCAGAGCCTTTTTACCCCGTACCAACTCTAACAACTTGAGGACAACGCCGGTTGCGTCTTCATGATCCGGATAGCCACCGGTTGGTGGTAGGATAGCGAGAACGGTGCCCAGTGACTCGGACAAAAATTGTAGTGACTCAGAATCGAAAGCATTGTTGCCCTGGCGTGAATTCTTGTAGAGATTGTTTAGTAACTTAGTTGGAATTTTTAGGTCTACTATCTTTGTGGACTTAGGATGTTGACGTGTATAAAGGTTCAATAGCCCGCACACGACAGCAAGATAGGGTCTTGTAAACTTGGGAGCGTTTAGTTTCGTGTCAATGTGTTCGAGTGTAGTGTCTTCGACAGTGAGCACATTATTTTGTAATGCTATCCTCACAATGCTGTCCAGTGCTGGCCATACCGATCCATCGGAGGGCTGGGAGACTATGATGGATGCATCCACCACACCCGCCAGCAGTGTTGCATAACCTTGATCGATCGCTTGCTGGATCCCCTCCTCATCTGGATCCTGATCGAATGCCTTCGTTACCCCACTTAAAATCTTAGCCAGATGATGCACAATATCTTCGTCACTCACATACTTCCCCAGTAACTCCACCAACACTGACACTAAACCATTCTGCACTCCACTGTAAACATTGTCAACGTAATGTCGGTTATTAGACGACGTAAACTGAACAACAGAACGCAAACTAAACACCAACACTCGCCTCTGATCCAACTGACTACGCAACTGGTCCACAGCACCATCTACACCGGCCTCGGGCTTCCGCTGCTTCACTCTCATCTCTTACTTCACAAAACAAGAACCCACAAACACACCACCAAACCACTTGGCAAACGACACCACGTCCTCCACCCTGCTAACCCCGTTCACCCTGCTAACCATGCCGCATTCGATAAATGACCAAATGTTTAATACAACACCCACCCTCACTATCTATACAAAGCTATGTTATCCGTCGTGGCCTATGCCCCTGATCTCTTAAACCCCTCCCCTCCCCTCCCTCTCCTGATCTCTTAAACCCCCCCCTCTCCTGATCTCTTGACGCTATTATATCAGAGCTATTTTCTGCTTATCTCCCGACAAGTAGATGATGACTCCTCCTTCCTCCAGTTCTTCCAAAGCTGTGTTCACTTCGGCGGTTGTCCACTTTTTACACTTCGTAATTAATGCGCTTCTGTACATATCTTTGTTCCCCTTATTCATTTCCACGGAAAGTAATTTCCATAGTACTCGACGAAGTCGATCCTCTCCGACAATGTCGCTAATGTCTGCATCCTGAATGATTATTTCTTCACCTTCAAAGGGGTCGAGAGCAGCACTACCAGTCGCTGCCTGACGTTCAATATTTTTACTGCAAACTGGAGCGGCATTCTCACAACCTTTCAAGTAGTGCTGCACAACGTTGAAAGGATGAGAAATATACAACTCATCCACGGAGCATGGTTTGATGCAAATAGCCCTGAGATTGTTAGCAATGTAATTATTGCAGTGTGTCATACTGAAGGTATAGTCTGGAATCCATGACCTGGGGGATGCCAATGATTCGGCATGGTTTTCTAACATTCTCACTATCTGGTTTAATTTGGCTCAGATCACTTTCGTACTGAGATCCCAAGTCGGTTTTGAGCTGGTAGACAACTGGCATGGAACCAGTGCCATCTTCAAATGTAAGTTCCCATGTGTCCTCTGCAGGGATTTCCACTGAATTGATCCACCCCACCATCTCACAGAATTGATATTCCTGACTGAGGGAAAAGAACTAGCGGTTTTATCCAGGGACTTAACAGTGGAAACAGAGAATTACCTCCCAACCCTCACTAGTGAGGCTCTGGGAGGTGACCCTCGACAGTCTGACTTACTCATATACAGTAACTCTACCGTCTGCGAAGGCCCCGGTGGCCCGCCACTTATTCAAGCAAAGAGCCACCGTAAGGGGTACAACTCCCGGTCTGAGAGATTCCTCCGCGAATTTGGTAGGCCCCGAGATTTCCTCTTGCTGCGCTCAATAAACATCATCAAGAAATGAAGGGTGCTCCAATAGGTGTGTTTTAGTCAGTGGTACATCACAGTGTAGGTCAGTACAGAGTGCCCTATCTCCTGGGTAGGGAATGATATATCGCCGAGGAAATCGGAGCCTCCAAACATTTTCGAATGAGTGCTAATTCTCCTGAGATAGAAGGGCTAATAAGAGAGCTAGATGGCAGCCTAACAGCTTTCGAACAGCTATTGAACAGTATCAACAATTTCAACCATGATGACCGAGAAAGGAAGTTGAAGAAGTACCTACCCCAACCCTTCCTCTAAGACACCACTCACTCTTTGTGGCCTAGCCCTTGTGGCCTAGTCATTGTGGCCTAGCCATTGTGGCCTAGCCATTGTGGCCTAGCCATTGTGGCCTAACCCTTGTGGCCTAGCCATTGTGGCCCAGCCATTGTGGCCTAGCCATTGTGGCCTATAAGCGGAAGGCTAGCTGCTTTCCGTTCCGTACTCACGTGTCTGGCTTGCAGATGTCAGATTTATATCACCTCAATTCGGACAACCAAGGATGCTGTACAATTGGAAGCGCGCAGCTTGCCTCCCATGGCCTTGCCGAATCTGCAGGACTCCATGCGCAAACGTATGGCTAGATTTAAACAATGCGTTGACCTTTACGAACATAAGAAAATGGAGATAGATAGAGATGTATTGCAGGCAGGTAAGTACTGATAGTCGATGGCTGATACTCGATGGCTGAATTACATTATTTACTTGATCGAATGATTAACCAAAGTTGCACACACGTAGTCAGATTCACATTCGGGCATTATAGACGACACTGACTATGGCGTGGCGGGAACAGTGAGGAACGACGTTCAGCAGCTTGCCGCTCAAGGTGACGCCCTGCAGGATCAGACAGATGCTGCGATCACCAACATGGCCGGGCTGGTAAGTAAATTGGGTTCCCACCTGACCTCACCCATTCAGTGTCTATGCCGGTTTGATACATTAGATTTTGTAGGTTACCGATGCACAGGAGATCGCCGAACAGACAGACGCAAGGTTAGATGCGCAGACCGCCCAGATGCAAGGAATCGCTGTCCAATTGGGTAACGTTCAAAATAATACCAAGGCAGCAGGGAAAACCGTAGCTAACATTGCCCGGGGCGCCGCCAGTGATCTATGTATCCAGATTCTCTGCGGTGGGATCGTGGTATGTACAATCACCATTATTATTCTCGTCAGTGTCTAATGAATTAAGTGCTGAAGGTTAAATGCTGAAGATTTCAGTTCATCGGCGCTGGCAGTGATCTACCAACACTCGTAATGGTCGGCAAAAACATGGAGACGCAGATCGAAGCCCGTAAATTTGCGTTTGTACAAAGATGGCCGCTTGCACACACGTGCGCGCTTGCACACACGTGCGCGCCTTGGCCGAATAGTAATTTGGATCGGGCGAATTAGATCAGGTAATCCAGACGTACGCCCTAGTACTCTCAAATTTGGGCGGTTATGCCAGGTTTGGACCACTTTCAGGGTCTTGGGTTCCTTTCATTGTAAGTTCACCTGCTCTGCTCGCTTGGGTTGTTTGGAGACACCTCTAAATGTGGTGGAGACACCCGTTTGACATTTGATGCAGGAACGACAGCCTTTGGTAATGGCTTTGTCAATGTTAGTTGCTTGTCGTTTCACTACGGGCGGTGGAGTGTCATTGACGGCTCTCTCATGGCCGGATGCTTGGTGATCCATCACCCCACATATTTGCACTACCGTTGGAAACTGGTACATTTGGCCAATAGGCTTTCCTCAGAACTGGTTCCTAAGGTCTTTGCACCAGAACTCGGGTCGGGACCGGAACTCGGGTTCACAACCGAGTTCGGATCGCCACCTGAGCTCGGGTCAGCATTGGGTTCAGTTCCCACATGGCTATTAAGCTCAAGTGGACCGTCAGCCTGATGCGAGGGGACAGCAGCGGAAGGGTTGCGCCCTGGGTGCACGGGTCCTGCCCACTTGGTCATCGTAAACTGGGATGTGGGACTGAAGTTGTTCTTTAAACCGTTATCCAAGCCGCTGCCTTTGGAGCCCACTGCTGAAGGTGGTTTTCTATCGGAGGCCTCTGCGCCCCGCCCTCCACCCAAATTGCTTGGGCTCGAAGTACCGTACACACCCGACGTTGAGGACTTGACGGTAGACCGCTCATCTGACCCGTCATCATCGTCGTCGATCCGGCCTGCGTTCACAACAAGGGGCCAAATGCTTTGGTCCCTTCTACCCCCTTTCTCCATCGATGAGGAACTCCGCACGAGACGCGTCAGGGCTGCCGTTTCCGTGTCAGATCTATTTGCGTCGAACACGTGTGGGGACCCCGCTCCCCCCCCAGATGGTGACGCAGCGGGTGTTGGAGCCGGACCGAGTGGCTTCTGCCCCGTCCTAGGCGGCTTGTCGGGCGAGTCACTGGCAGGAGACCCTAGACCGAAGGCGTGAAGCAGACCCGGCGCACTTTGCCGGGCCGCCCCGTTCGGCAGTCCAGGGAGCCAGTTAGGCCAACTCGTCCGGTGCGGGTCCAACTGCGACTGGTGCTGAACGCCCGGCTTCGAGTCGGGTCGCGACGGGGAACCCGGAGGCAAGACCGTCTTCGGGGTCTTGGAACCTTGTCTCGGCTGACCGGGACTCGGCGAAGGCGCGGGACTAACCCTGACTGATGGATTGCGACCTGCCGGTTGCGAGGGCGGTCCGCCAGGACTGGCCGTGGCTGGGCTAGCCGCTAGTGAAGGACTAGCCGCAATCGACGGGCTACGTCCTGCCGGTTGCGCGGGCGATCCACCAGGACTGGCCGTGAGCGTTGGACTGGGCGCTAGCGAAGGACTAGGCCGGGAGAAGGATGAGGCGTCGGTGAGGGGCTGGCCGCAACGGATGGGCTACGTCCTGCCGGTGGCGCGGGCGATGTAGCAGGACTGGCCGTGACCGCTGGGCTAGTCGCTAACGAAGGACTAGGTCCGGGAGAAGGATGAGGCGTCGGTGAGGGGCTGGCCGCCACCGACGGGCTACGTCCTGCCGGTTGTGCGGGCGATGCAGCAGGGCTGGCCGTGACCGTTGGGCTAGTCGCTAGTGAAGGACTAGGTCCGGGAGGAGGATGAGGCGTCGGTGAGGGGCTGGTCGCAATGGGTGGGCTACGTCCTGCCGGTGGCGCGGGCGATCCACCAGGAGTGGCCGTGACCATTGGGCTGGGCGGTAGCGAAGGGCTGGGTGCTGGAGTTTTTGTGGTGGAGGGAGTGATCCTTGGAGCAGTGGCCGATGGTGGGAAGTGCGACGGTGGCTCACTGGACGCGTCAGAGTCAGTTGGTGGGTTCTCCTTTTGGGTGGTGTTGCTGGATGAGCTGGTGGTTCGGTAGCGGAGGGCGTCATTCCACCGTATGGGTTCGACATCGCTGGACGAGCAAGAGGCGAGAGGGACGGGGTCATATTCCGGTCGGAAGTTGGGGGAGGGTTGTGAGGGCGGGGAAGGTGAGGGGGTGCGGTGTTTGGGTTGGAGAGGCGTTTGTTCTTCGTTCCAAAGCGCGTTATTTGTTTGTCGCACACGTGTGTGTGGCGCTAAGCGCGCACTGGAAACTGACGAACCGATGGACCGGCGTCGGTCTGTGGTTCTGGAGACGCGCCTGATGATAGCGGAGGCCCGCTGTAGGTCGTTCTCGCTCACTGGCTCCGTGCCGCGCACCAGAGAGGGCAGGCTTAAGACGTCGAGCGCGCCCTCCAGATCCGCCTTGCCCAGCGAGACAGCGCCGAGGCCAAGCCCGGCGAGGACGCCGCCGACGCGGCGTTTGTCACAGTGCAGCTGGGCTACAACCTGAGCGTCCGGCGCTTCGTACTCGCTTTCCGTAAAGTCGAGGGAGACGCTGGCGGCACTCATCACGTCCTCCTCGTCGGAGCCTTCGCGATGGCGTTCGGGGTGGTAGACGAGATCGGAAATGCGCCGAGAGCCCCTTAGGAGCCGCGAGCTGTCCTCATCCTCCCAGCCTCCGTCGGCGTCATCTTGATCGGGTAGGAGTACGGAGTATTCCGCTCGGTCGTGTTCGAGTCCATCATAACCGGCTCCCTCGTAGCCGTCATCGTCGTGCTCCCTAGGGTCCGGATCGGAGGGGCCTTCGTCCGGGAAGCCTGGTTCACAGAACAGGTCGTTTCGGGGCAGGAGCCAGTCCGGAATGTGGGCAATAATCCGGTTGAGGAGGAACGGTTCGTCGGAAGGACGGTCGTCGTCGCTCAAGGACGCTCCCCGCGTTCGGTGTCTGTTGCGACGACGCCATGCGGCCCGCGAGCTGCGTCGTTCTTGGAGTACGTAGTAGCGCTCGTGCACTGTCGAGCACAGCAGCGCCAGCGAGACACCGAGAAGTATACGGGTCGCCAAGACTGACGACACACCGGCCAGGAGTAGAGGGTACAGCAAGACGGAGAGTGCAGCACATGAGAGACATAAGCACTGGAGCACAGGGAAGTGGAGCGGGTTCAGGTACTCCTGCAGTGCGAGGTACAGGTGCGAGAAAGGCACGTTGTTCCAGAAAGGCCAAGTTAGCAGCCCCAAATAGCCGCAAGCCGTGCAGGGGTAAAGAAGCGTAAGTAGTGCCAAAGGTTGCAACAGGGTCACCATTCGACTCAAGAAAATCGGCGTCGTCTTGGCGGCTATCCGCGCCATTGGGACGGTCCCGAGGAAGCTGAAGGCGTTAATCCAGACCCAGAATGGCGCCAACTCGGCATAGATCACTGGGAAGGCCACGAGCATGTGCACTTTCACCACGATTCTCACGCAGAACGAGATCAGCAGCATCCAGTAGATTAGGCTACTAACATTCGATGCTAATGATTGGTGGTAATGCTTGTTCACTGGCCCTGAATAGTACTTCTCGGCCATACGTCTGAACACCCGCATGCGTACCATACAGGAGGAGAACCGGCCTTCTCGAGCCGGCTGATTCCTGAGCTGCCGCCTCTCGTCCATGCTGAGTAGTTGCTCAAACGACCGCTTTGGCAACATGAAGAAATGAACCAAGGACACCAATAACATGGCGCCGATAAGGATACATCGCCCTGAACTCCATTGGATGCCAAAGAAAACCTCCATCACTCGACTCCACATATCTGGCTCCAGTGCTGGGCCTCCGGTAGAATCCATCTGGCCCACCAGGCCGCCAGAATATATCTTGCTGTCAGAATCTTGCAGCGGGGAAGAGATCAGGCTCTGAGAGTACACCTGGACGTAAAGGGGGCTGTGAGGTTGCGATTCGGGATAGAACGTGGTCAAGAGGAACCAGGGAACGAGTGTTGAAAGGTCGCATGTCACCGAGAGTAGATCGAACACCAAGTTTGAGGCGGGACTGAACCATCTGGATAACTGCAGGTGTGCGGAGAGGGTGAAGCAGAAGACCAATCCTAAGCAGAACACTCCGAGGTACATGAACATTCTCCCGCCTTCAGCTAGAATGAGGGCCCAACCGAGGGTGAACAACAAGCTCCCGATTGTTCCAGTGGTCTTGGGCGACATGGCACTGATGAGTTGCGATATAAAGGCACTCCCCAAGAGGTTTGCGGCGATGCCGAGCGTACCCATCCTTACCCAAGGCGCGTTCAAACCTGACAGCCCTGAAGATCGTGTCCATGTACGTTTCCCTGCAAAGCTTTCTAGTGGAGGTCCGTCCCTCCAGTCTTGTGAAGCCGCAGGGTCTGTGAGGGGATCGGAACCTCCAATGCCCTCTAGCTCGTCTTCCAGCTCGTCTTTTGGCTGTCGCGCGTTACCGGTAGCTGCGGGGTCGGGAACATCCGCGGTGTCGGACACGCCCGCGGGGCTAAAGTTCTTCTTGGAAGGAGCGACAAGTTTCCAATCCTTGAAATGGGACTCTTCGGTTTGTTCCATGAACATTCCCAGGGCCCAAGGGTTGCCGACCACGTAGACCGAGCAACTACTGATGAGCCCATAAACGACCAACAGCACCCAGCGGTTCCATTCCATCAGGTGCACGCGTCGAACACGACGGTGATCGGTCAATGAATTATACTAGGTGTTGGTTGCAGGCAGACAAGTCATTGCCGACAGAAAAGTCGTTGCCATACCTTACTGGATCCATGGGGGTCTACACCAGGAGATTTATTGGGAGGTTTGTTGTGGAGGCGTCACAGAGCTTGGAACAAGCGGCAGTCCGCGCGCGAAGAGGCTGGCAGATTTATATCTCGTAAAACGATGGACGCCCAAATCCGTCGGCTCATCCTCCAATACCGAAAACAACAGCAGGGTAAGCTCAGTGGCTGAGGCAGATAGTTCTGACTTGCAGGTCCAGGGAATGGCCAGCCCAATGGCCAGGTGCCGGGAGGGAGTCAACTGCCAGGACAGGGACAGCTGCCAGGACAGGCGCCGGGGCAGGGTCAGGTTCCAGGCCAAGCTCAGGTGCCGGGTGCGATGGCTGGAGGTCAGTTGGGTGGCGTGCAGCAAATGGCAAGTTTACAAGCGCAGCAGCAGCAGGCTGCCCAGCAGCAGCAAGCCGCCCAGCAGCAAGCCGCCCAGCAACAGCAACAGGCAGTCCAACAACAGGCGGCCCAACAGCAACGGTTTTATCAACAGCGGATGCAAGCCGGTTCTGCACAAGCCCACGGCGGCCAGGCGGGCGTCTCAGCGGTCGGCAGCGGTGGCGGGACGGCGAGTATGGTCACTCAGCCGGGGCAGTCGCATGCGAACGGCGCTCTCAGTGGCAACCAACTGGGTAGCAACCAATTGGGTGCCAACCAACTGGTCGGTAACCAGCTAGGCGGCAATCAGCTTGGGGGCAGCCCGGCGACGATGATAGCCCGAGGTCCGCAGCAGCAGTTGAGCCCGCAGCAGTTGCAGCAGCTAGCGGCGCAGCAGCAGGCGCTGCAGCAGCAGAAGCAGCAGCAGGCGTTGCAGCAGCAGTCAGGTGTGGCACGTACGCGTTACGCGCAGCAGCAACAGCAGCTGCAGCAAGGACAGCAGGGGCAGTTGCAGGCAGGACAGCCGGGCCAGTTGCAGGCAGGACAGTTGCAGACAAGTCAGTTGCAGCAGATGAGTGCGCAGCAGCAGGCGGTGTTGGTGCAACAACAGCGTTTAGCGGCGCAGCGACAGCAGCAGCAGCAGCAGGGGGGTGAGGGTGCGAGCAGTGCGCCGCACCAATACGTGAGTCAATTGGCGGAGAAGTTGCGACAGGAGCGTGAGACCCGTTTGGGTGGTGCTGGTGGTTATGAGAGGACGAAGAAGCGGCCGTTGGAGAATGAACAGGCGTTGTTCTGGGACGAGCCATTGTCGGCTCGGTTGGTCGCTGGTTTATCGTTATTGGAGGCCGACAATGCCTTGACGGCGAGTCATGGCTTGGGTGGAGCTTGCGACCTTTGGGCCTTCCTTGACCCCATGCCTTCACCCGCCACCTGTGGCACGCCTAACGTCTCGAGACTCCGTATGGGCGGTGTCGATGGCTACAAAGCCGGCGGCGGTGCCGCACAACCCACACCTCAAGAGTATCTTTACGCCGAGTGCTCTCTCTCTGGCATCATCGACCTCGAAGAAAGCCCGGGGGCACCTGCACAAGTCTGCCGTATTCTCGCCAACCTCTGCGACGTTCAACAAAAAGGACTTTGGAAAGATGAATGCTGGAGAGTTAGACTAGACGAGGAGGGCAATATGGTCTTCCTTCAATCCGCACAAAGATCCGCCAAAGAACTCTGGATCAGGAGATACCTACTACCCATACACCTACAACATGTCTTGTAAGACCACCACACTGAACAGCACCTCCGGACGTTCGTTCCGGACGTTCGTTCCGGACGTTGGTTCCGGACGTTCGTTCCGGACGTTGGTTCCGGACGTTCGTTCCAGACGTTCGTTCCGGACGTTCGTTCCGCCCACAAAGCGAGGGCTAACACACGGCGTCGTTCAACGTCGTTCAATGTCGTCTTTACTGCAGCGCCACGCGGATTTACTCGCCTCAGTATCTGGCTGTACCGCCTCAGTTTCCCACTAACGCCAGACTCGTCAAGGAAGCCACCTGTTCACCAAGCATAGTCAGCTTATTAGATGGCATTGGCTTCGAGTAAGCTATTTCATCCGTTGCATAGTAACCTGTTTGTTTTAGACGATGTCCTCCTAACGATGTTTACATTAAAGGAGTTTTGTACCATATAGATGCCGGAACACCAAGACACGTGATTATCGTGATATCCAAGATTTATACGAATCGATATTTATCAGAGGAGATGTTCCCTGGGAAATTGTTTATTGAAGCGAAAGCACGTAGCGAACGACCCAGCATGATGAACACCTTGGCCCAAAGCTTAACCGATATTGCTCACCGACTACGACCGTAATTTAACACAATTAGCACCAGAGAGAGAAATGGCACGAAAGAATTAGGACGTGCTAACGATTGCGCCTTTTACCAAATTTGGTGTTGGCAATATTGTCGTGGCATGTTGGGTGGTGGCATGTTAGAGATGGGTGGTGGCATGTTAGAGATGGCGGGGGCAGGCAACTGGTTTCGTTGTAGTCACGTGAATTTATTAAAGGCGTAGTGACACTCCTGTAGTTTTTCACGGGAAAACTTGGAGGACGATGGTGAAGAACACACACAGGTGTGTGGGCGAGGAAGGAAGGCAGCGATGAGGATTACTTGCGTGCTAGCAGCGATTGGTGCTGCTTCGAATCATGTGCGACCGTCTCCGGTGACCATTCCACAGTTGAGTACGGCAGGTGCGTTGGGTGTGGGGAAGCCGGTGTTGCACAAGCACGGGTTGATTCAAGTTGAGGTACCCGTTCGGGGTCTTGTTAATCCCGCAGCGGTCGCTGGAGCCCCATCGTACGCAGTGAGTGCACCGAATAAGGGCCGGGTTGTGGATCAGACGGAGCCGACTTACTTTTGCAAGAAAGAGGGCTTCATGTTGGAAGGTGACACATGTGTGAAAACTGATGTAATGGAAGCGCGTTTCGTGTGTCCTGGAGGGTTTGACATCGTGGCAGGAGAGTGCACACGCCGGAGTGCTTTCCTACAAACGTGTCCCGAAGGTTTCAGTGCACAGGAAGGTACCTGTGCTAAGGTGGTTACAGCTGCATCCATCCCCACGTGTCCTGAAGGCAGCTACGAGACGTCTCCTGGTTTGTGTGAACGTCAGATCGTGCAACAGTTGTCACCCATGTGTCCAGAAGGAGTTTATGACGGGGCCAATTGCATCGTCCAAACCTTTGCCGAAGCGCGGGCCTTCTGCCCCGAAGGCTTTAGCTTCTTCGACGGCGCTTGCATCCAGGAGGAAACATACGATTGCACACATCATTCGGTTGCACTCCCCCGCACGGAAACCACACTTCTCAAGACACACAAACTTGGAGCTAGCTTCCCCTACCCACGACAGCTGCACGAGACCGCGGTGGCCGCGACCTCGGTACACCCTCCGCATGTTGCGCATCCTCCGCATGGTGTACACCCTCCACATGGTGTACATCCTCCACACATGCCTCACCCACAGCATCCACCACACGACTGTAAGGGCACGGGATTGTCAGTTGCGGATCGTGCTGCGTGTGCGGAATCAACGGTTATTCAGCCGACGCGGACGACGGTCACAATGCAGAAGACTTGCACACGAGTTACGTCCACAGCCCTAGTATTCGCATGCGATGAAGGTGTGCTTCAAGGCCAACGATGTTTATTGCTCACTCCTATGGCACCCCAAATGGTGTGCAACTACATCGGTGACGAATCCAACTGCTATACAACAACTCGGGTTGCTGCCCTTAGTGTGTGTCCAGAGAATTACACACGTGAGTGTTCGGCCGGTCGTTGCGAATGCGCCGCTCTTGAAGCCGCAGCATTTGTTCAAAGCTGCCCATCCGGCTTCGCTGAAAACCCTGACGGCTGCGTCCGATCGGCGCAGGCTAACATCGTCTGCCCACCCGGCTTCAACCTGCAAGGCGAATCGTGCATCCGCTTTATCAGAGAACCAGCAGACTGCGTCTTCAGTGTCACATACGAATGCGAACGATCCAACGGCGAAATGTGCTAACCGCCAGAACGTATGTTTCCTGTCAATGTGACCTCGCTGAATGTGATGCGTGAAGTGTCTTTTTTTCCCACCAACCTTGCCCAACCGAGCCAAAAGTCCTTATGGAAAAGAACAACATTAGCCCAGGGCGCTTGGGGCGTACGCAGACATGCACTGGATGTCTCTCGGGACGTCGCTCATGGGCACTGGTAAATCACGTACCAGTGAAATGATGTGTAGCTAGGGCAAGGGGCGATTCCGGGCGGAGGCCGGAATAGTACTAGCTATCCAGAGAGCTAGCGAGTTGGACCAAGCAAAAATGCAGGCGCGACTCTGCCATGCTTAATCGACGACTCCACCGCGCTCACCTTACGAGCGCGACCTCCCCGAAGAGACTGTTGTCCCTGGAAGTGCGGTCTCTTGGAGACGTGGTCTCTCCTAGCAATGAGCAACGTCCGCTGTGGAATCCTGTGCGGTGGACCACGTCTGTAGTTGCTCTACTGTGGATAACTGCTCACGGGATCGGTGCGAACCCTGCCTGGAAAGAGACCGCTTGAACCCAGTTTGTCCTCCCTCTTGGGGCAGTGCCGTCTATATAACAGGAGCCTTGCGTTGCGCGAGCACTGTATAGCCTTATGGCACAGGCACCTGGGTGGTGTCACTCACGTCATGACACGTGTCCCCAGGTGATGACATGCATCCGATCAATGGTCGCGCAAAGCCATATCTATTGCTTCTGACCCTTCGCGGGTCGAATACCAGCGGAGGTCGAACAGCGGGATGTTGACTACCAGTAGGCTCTGCTTGGGCCCGGGGTGATTTCAGCCCCGCGCAAGAACCCGGTTGCGAGGAACCTGGCTGCGAGGAACCTGGTTGCGAGGACCGTCAGGCTGACTACCGCGTGACGGTGATTTGTACGTCTAAGTTACAGCTATTGTCGTCGGAAAGACAGTTGGCGAGTGTTTCGCAATGGGGGTCGAGGCTGATGGCGTAGTTGTTAAATTCTTCCCGTTTGGAGAACATGGCATCGAGTGTGGTGGCGGATATGCTGGAGTGGCCGTCGAAGAGCATTTCGTGTGTTTCTTGTACGGAGTCTCCGAGCGTGAAGCCATCCATCATGAGACAGGCGTCTATTCGGTCTAACGAGCTGCGGCGGCTGAAGTTGGTCGCGTCGGATTTGTCATCATCGGTTTCGAACGCGGGCTCTGTGGCTGCCAAGAGCACCTCCATCAGATTTTGCTGTCGAGCCAACAAGTCGTCCAGACTCGTCGCCGGCAGCGTCTTGGGCGACCGCGGCGTCACTGATGTCGGTTCACTCAGCAAGTGACTCGCACTCAACAAGTGGCTAGCCGCCAACTCCATACCGGCAAACTCAGATCCGCGCCTCTCCAACGGGGGACCCAACGCCAAGCCCAACCCTGGGCCCTGCGCCGGATCCAACAATGGACCCTGACTGCTCACGCCGAACCGTTCCGCGATCTGTTCGTACGCAGTCATCGGCATCCCGCACACCATCAGCGACTGCGATCGCGGCTTCTCCGTCTGATATACGAAACCATAATAGGAGAAGACGAATTAGCCCAGGTAAAAGTGAGCTAACCCAGGGAACACGAACTAACCCTAGGGGAATCGAGGGGACGCGAACTAACTTAGGGGAACCTGGGCTGACTTAAGGGAACGCGAACTAATTTAGCCGCAGGTGACGAGGGCAGGGCACGTGGGGTGAGAGTGCATAATGAGGAGAGCAGTACAAGTGAAGCAAGGTGAATAGTTGCATGATAAGATTGGACGGTGAGGTTACCTTTTCTAACGGTTTATTCCGCGGTCGTTCGCCACGTGGGTCAGTGTGCCAGTTGAGCAGTACAGGGCACTTCCCATCGACAGAACTCAAGGCAGGTTCCCAAGGTGCTGGTTGGGGGTCGTCAGTGTCACTTTCCTCCTCGAACACGAGCGACGCGGGCATGACGAAGACGGCGGCCGGCAGCTGCGAATTTTCCAGCCGGCTGCGTTTGTGAGTAATTCGTCGGCGCCTTGGCTGGCTCTCACCGTCGTCCGAGCGGCTGGAATCGTCTTCCTCATTCGGTCGCTTCCTTGAACCCGTCTTTGCCAACAGTTTCCGCGTTTCCACCGGTCGCCGCGTCAAATCCTTCCGGCTGTTCTTCAACTCCACCGTCTTCATCACCGTCTTCGCCGCCGTCACAGTCCTCGGCGCCATCTTGTGTTCCACTAGTGCTGCCTTCCCCTCCCCTTTCACCTCCCCCGCTTTCCGGCTCTCCCCCACTTTCCGGCTCTCCCCCGCTTTCCGGCTCTCCCCCGCTTTCCAGCTCTCCCCCGCGTCCCCCGGGTCCCCTAGTTCCTCTTCGCCAGCCCGCGACTTGGGTTCCGTGTTCTCCTGCTTCAACAACACCGACTCGTCCTCACTGTCGCTCGGACTGCTCCCCGCCACCTTCTTCCGCGTCGACCCCAACCCGCCCAATGTCGACCCAGCGGGTGTCGACCCGGCTGAAGTCGGCAGTCGTCGCCGCTTCCGGTCTTCCCGTGACGCCGCGGCTTTGGTCTTGCTCGCCGTCTTAGTCTTACCCACACCCGACCCCGGACTTGGTCCCGCCGGTCCCGTTTTGGACTTCCCCTTTTCGGCCCCGCCGGCCTCCACCGCTGCCACACGCTCAGCCTCCCGTTCCGCCGCCTCACGTTCCGCATCCATCAACGCCTTCGCTTGCGCTAGTTGTTCCTCGACCGTCAGTCGCGGTACCGCCGCCGCGGCCGCCTCTTCCGCCCGCCGCAGTCGTACCGACCTTCCTTTTTCCGGAACCTTGCCCGACCCCTTGGTGGTCGGCTCCGACCCCAAGGTGGTCTCCGACTCGCCCTTCAGCCCCGCCACAGACCCTTCCTCCCCTTTAACACCTTCTGCTGCAAAATGCGCTTCGATTTCGCTCGCGAGCAAGTCCTCCTCCTCGGCCTTTATCGTCGTCATCGCCATCCGGCAGGGCTGGGTCATCGCCTCCTGGGGTGGCTCGACGACGGTCACCGTCTCCTCCTGGGTCGGCTCAGTCACCGGCTCTCGGGACGGCTCGGTCACCGCCTCTCGGGGCGACTCGGGCACCACCTCTCGAGGCGACTCGGTCTTCAGGGGCGGCTCAAGAACACTATCGCCGCCCGGCCGGTCGTCGAGAAGCTCGCCCTCTTCCGACACACCTCGCTCTGTCTCCGACCCTTCTGCCTTCAACGCTAAGGCGTTTCTCCCCGTTTCAACTCGGGGCTTGCTCGTGCCCTTCGCTGCGGACGCTATCTTCTGAGACTTCTCGGCAGGCAGTTCACCTTTCACTGGCCTTCCAGCTTCAGGGTCAGGGGCAGTCGGGAGCAGTGGACTAGGCGATACACTCGAACCGGATCGGCAGTCTGCCGCCGTGGTCGTCTCAGTAGACGTAGACTTGACTGCAGTGGGCATGGACTTCACTGCAGTGGACTTGGTCGTAGATTTCATAGCAGTGGACTTCATCCCGGTGGACTTGACTGCAGTGCGGACGGCAGCAGTGGAGGCCAGTTCTGGCTCCGTGGACTCCGTCTTGGCGGCTCTTCGCGACCTTCCACCGCCGCCTGGGTACGGCCGAGTCGGCTTTCTCTGACTGAGAGAACCCACCGGTTCGTCTTCTGAGTCTTCCTCCTCCGTGCCCGTCGTGAGAGTCCGCAGGATGGCCGCATTCCGTGCCGCTGCTTCTCGCTGGCACTGTCGAGTAGGAATCGGGCGAGATGAGCGGAAAGCAACTCTCGTTACCTCCGACACTAAACTCTCTTCAAGACTCTGCATGATGTCGCTCTCCATAGTAGTCTTATCCTCAGCAGCTGCCTTGTCCTCTTCGGCAGTGTCCTCGCCGGCCGTCTTGGCGTCTCCACCGACCTTGGTATCCCCGGCCGCCTTGCTGTCCAAGGCATGTCTCCGGTCGGTCATGGTGGATTTGCCATCTAGCTTTTCCTCAGCTAGATTCTTGGTATCTACACCTTTCGCAGACGTAGCGACTGTCTTGGGCAGAGCTCGATGGGAAGGGAATCCCTTTACCTCAATCTCCTTAATCCGGGTCATCATGGGAGCTGGGGCGTGGTCCGACTCCAAGCTGGATCTTCGGCTGCTGTTGCGCGACGACAAAAGCTCTTCCGCCTCCTCCACCATGGCGCTTAGCTCCGCCGCGTCCTGGGACGCAGCCTGAGCTGCGGTTTTCTTGGTCCTCGGCGGACGTTGTCGCAGTCTCGAACGGGGGGAAGCCGTCCCCTTTCCCACGTCACTCCCTTTACCTGACTCACTGTTCTTCGGTACACTGGAAACGTCCTTGACAGTATCCACCGTCTTAGCCCCATCCACAACAGTCTTATTCGTCTGGCCTTGAGACCCCCTGTTGTCTTGAATGAGTGTCTTAGGGGGCTGATCAGAAACCTTGCCTTGCGACTTGGCTTGCAACCGTCGTTCCATCTCCTTTGCAGTCAGCTTAGGTCCAACTGGGCTGGTTCCGCCTGTTGTTTTGCGGGACTTGGCAGCTGGGGCCGCGACCTGGGGTTCTTCGTCGTCCGTTGGTAGCAGAGGGTCGATGGCGACTGAGCAGCCCGGGCCGTTCCTGTTCTCATTGAGAGGCGCGGCTCTCTCCTCCAACGCACCTTCTTCAACCGCTCCTACAGGCCCCGCTCCCACAACGCCCATTCCTGCAGCCCCCGTTGTTGCGGCTCCTCGGCGGTCACGGGGGGCGTGGTCGCGTCTGACATCACGAACTCGACGTCCAACCTCCCGCTTCAACGTACTCCCGCCGGAGGACTCCGGTACAAGCGCTTCCGCCGGAGCCTCGACGATCTCTCCCATCTCCGTCTCCGGCGCAGACAGAACCGTCTTCTTCTTCGCACGCTTCGGGATCTTCCGTGTCGCCAACAGCTCTGCATGCTCCACAACGTGCGCCAACAAGGACTGGTTCAAATTTACACTCTTCTGGGGCGACTCCGGATCTTCCGTAACAGCTCCTATCTGGACTCCAGTTCCCATCTGGGGTCCAGTTCCCATCTGGGGTCCACCTCTCTCTCTAGAAAGGTTCTGGTCCACGTCTTCGGACGGAGGCAGGTTCTCAACGTCCTGAGAACTTTCACCCCAAATTTGTGACGGAGCCTGCTCCGTCAGGCGATCGCCCTGAAGGGAAGCAGGTCCCTCGTTTGCTGCAGCCAGTGTTCGATCACCCGTTTCTTCCGCTTCCCTCTGCACGGGAGGCTGCTCCCCCTTCACAGGAGGCTCCTCTCCCTTCACCGGAGGCTCCTCTCCCTTCATAGCAGGCTCCTCTCTCTCCACAGGAGGCTCCTCTCCCTCCAGAGGCTCCTCTCCCTTCACTCCCTTCACAGGAGGCTCCTCTCCCTCCACAGGAGGCTCCTCTCCCTCCACAGGAGGCTCCTCTCCCTTCACAGCGTTTTGCGACTCTGCGAATACGTTGAAATTCAGCTTGCTGCTCGTCCGGTCCTGAACGGCGGGAATGACAACGGGGGCCGCGGCTTCGGGAACGGCCGCCGGGGGCGCCTCTGCCAGGGCCGCCGGCGGAGGGGACGGAGCGGGGTAGGTGGGAGGGTCGGGCAATTCGATGTCCATATCGTCGGAGTCCTGAGAGTCTTGTTGGGTCCAGCCGCTCGGACCACCGACATCGGTTCTACGCGGTAGCAGTGTGTGGTTGTCGAACTTGGGCAGCGGTGGGTCGGGAACGTCTTCGTCAATGGCGCCTTCCTCACTGGACGATGAGGCGGGCACCTTAGGCACAGGTCGCATGGGCACATTTGCCGCAGAGTGCGATGCGGAGAGAGGAGGTTTTGATCTCGTCTGTTTCTCCTCGCCGCGGTTCCTAGGGGAGCCGCAGAGGAGGCCGCCCGAGCCAGATCGTGTTCGAGTGCCCCGCTGCTGGCGATAGGTAACTCCAGCTGCAGCGCCACTCCGCAGCGATTCCACTGCCGTAGAAAACCCGCTCCGGAACGGCTTGGCGTCTGACGGCTTGGTTTCAGGAGGAACTGTAGAGGTGTGTCCGATCGGCCGCCGTTCGGGCTTGGGCCATTCGCACTGGGGCCGCTCGGGCTGGGAGGGGGTGGGAGGTGTTTTGACGGGGGGCATAGGCGGTTTGGTATCCGGAGGACTCGGAGGCTGCACAGCGGGAGAGGACTGGGCCGATTCCGGGGGCTGGGTCGCGACAGGGAGATGTGCACTGGATGCCGCCTTTTTCGGAATCGTGATGTGCTTGAACTCCCGCACAGACACAGTCACTTGCGGCACGATCCGGTTCTCGGGGGGCGACACAACTTGCTTGTGGTCAGCCCGGTGTTCGTTGCTCCCCACAGCCGACGCCTTCTCAGCCGGTACGTCCTCAGCTGAGGACGGACGTTGGGGAGCTGCCGACGGCGGGGGCTGCGAATGTGATTCGGAAGTCTCCGATACAATCGAACAATCGTTTTGTAATCCCATACTCGTCAAATTCTTAATAGGATCGCCGGCCGGGTTCTTAACAGGATCGGCGTGTGGTGGAGGGCCACAACGATTTTTGCCACGCTCTGCATCTTGGCGGTTCGATTTCTTGGGCACCACGCAATCTGAAATCCTTATATTTCCCGAACAGGATGCTCCTGAACTGGAACATGTACGAGCCTTTCCCTCCGCGGTCGACGGTCCCTCGGTCTTAGGTCCCTCCGTCTTAGGCCCCTCCGTCTTAGGCCCCTCCGTCTTAGGCCCCTCGATCTTGGGCAAAGGCGGCGTGGTCAAATTGCCAGCGCGGGCAGAGACCGACGGGCCAAGAGAAGGGGTCGTCTTCTTCGGAATCGGGCGCTGCGCCGCGGTACCGAGACTGCTCCGAGACCCGCGGTGCACCTGGTCGCGCGGTGCACACCTTTCGTTTCTAGCTGCGCTCTCCTCCTCGAGCAAGTCCTTGGTCGAAGCTTCCTGTCGCGACGCGTCCTGCTGCGACGCGTCCTGCCGCGACGCGTCCTGCCGCGACGCGTCCTGCCGCGACGCTTCCTGTCGCGAGACAGCCTCCGCCTTCGTCCGTGGTAGGTCGCCCCGTCCTGGGTTGCTCTGGTCATTGTGTCGTGCGGTGTTAGACCTCGGTCCCACGTTGGACCGGGGTTCGGGGGTGAGGTGTTCCGTAGGTGGCTTGGATTGTTCGGCGAGCGTGTCATCCGCCGGAGATCGACTGAGAGTCGGCGGTCGGGTCCCAGGTGGTTGCCGCGAAGGCTTGCCGTCCGAGGCTTTGTTTTCAGTCGCGTTCACAGCTGTTCGCGGGTCGGTCGGTCTTCTGCGGGGCGCCAGGTTCTCTTGTTCGCCGCCGTCCGGTTGGCTAGTACCATCCGCCTTACCTCCCTCCGGCTTGGCTCCCACCGGTTTGGCTCCCTCCGGCCTGGCTCCATCCGCCTTAGCTCCTTCCGCCTTGGCCAGTCGGTCTTTATTTCGGGTCTTGGAGGGAATCCGCACGTTCCGAGGGAAGGGCGCGCGTTCGCTTTCGGAACTTGAAGAGGACGGTACATCCGGGAGGAGAATGTCTTCAGTGGAGAGCTTTTCCAGCGCGTGCCTCGCCGTCCGATGACCCTCCGCCGTCCGATGACCCTCCGCCGTACGGTGACTCTCTGCTCGGAAACTCTCACTGCGCTGCGTCTCTACACGGTGGTTATCCGGACGGTGTCCTGGCCTAGGGCTGCCTCCCGCTTTTGCTTCAGACCGCGTGCCTGTGGCAGTGCCTTCGGCAGCCTTAGAGTCATGTCGTCTAGATAGGGAGTCTTGTCTAACGTCATCCCGACCGCGGACTCCGGGACCTTCAGCTGAGCGATCTGTTTTTCGGTCTTCCGTTCGTCGGTCTTCCGTTCGTCGGTCTTCCGTTCGTCGGTCTTCGATTCGTCGGTCTTCGATTCGTTGGACTTCCGTTCGTCGGTCGTCGGTGGTGCGTTGGACTTCGTCAGTGCTGTACCTCCGATCCGTAGGTTGCCGGCGGTCTCGATCTTCGAAGGTCGCGGATCTATCGAGTTGGGGCCTCCCCCGGTAGTAGTAAGACCGGTCTTCGTCCCCGCCGGGCCGGGTCCAGGCACTGGTTCCCCGAGCGGCAGAGTAGCAGCTGGACCTGTCTAGTTTGGTAGCGTCACCTCTGTCATTGGTTGGTCGGTCGCTGGCGCGATCAATAGATCGTCGTCTGCTCTTTCGCCGCCGTCGCTTTGTACGAGCTTCAGCCGCCGCTGTGGGGACAGGAGGAGGAGGAGGAGGCGCAGCCACCACACTCGTCGGCAGTGCCTTCTTCTTCTTCGGTATGACTATTTGATCACTCAGCATTTTGACTCAAGAAAAACCTCATCCCCCACCCACCCCTCCCTCCTTCCTTCCTTCCTTCCTTCCTTCGCCGGAATCCCGCAAGCAAATTTTGCAGTTAATCGAGCCATGTCCCCATGTCCCGGTCGCACGCAAACCTAACGGTTTTACTTTCTTCATTTTATGCGCCTGCTTCTTGCACTTCACTGCGCACTCGCCGTCAGTCATGTCGCTGCCCCGACACTCTCGCAAGACGAAGTACTACCCGGTTACACTGTAAGCTATGTTCACTCCTGCCGTTATCGTCACGCCGTCTGCGCCGTTGGCTAGCCTTAAATATCGCTTGCACCTAACTCAGCTCGCCAGATCTTTTCGCCCAAAGTTTATCGCATCGCAAAATAGTGTGTGCACACGAATTATATCCTTCCATCACGACGCAGAATCACATGTACTGCTCTCACCGCTCGCGTCACTGCCTCCAAGTTTTTTACATTGGCCTTAGGATAACAGGAGAACGGTAAGTGACGAAATGAGGACTCATTCATTAGCGGTGAATTAGTCCGTGCTGTTAACAGCTTTATTCAAACAAGTCAATGAGGAGTCTATTTCGACCAGGAATTCAATCAGCCAGCTTCAACACCAGATGGTAATATCACTGACCTGACCTCTGCATTATTGATTTCCCTGTCTGCCGGTTAAGAAGCTTTCAAGCTCGCGCTCACCAAACACGTGCTCTTGCTTTACTAGACACCTGCTTGATCCAGAATACGGTCAAAAAGACGTTGATCTACGCGGAGAAGCGTAGAAATCAGTTACTGTACCAGTAAGTTTCAGCAGGCCTGGATACGTATGTCGATCTATGCAGATGCGCAAGCCACTACCCTCCACGTCGGTTCAGCGATGGGGAGACGCAGGGCTTGTTAAAGGATGTGTACAGAGTTTGGGATCCGATGGAGGAGGTAGGGGGTCCTTCCCAGTGGCGTAGAGGTGAGCCCAAGATTAGTTGGAATTACGGTCCTCTGGCGATCCAGCAGAGCGCTAACTGGTCGTCTAAAGACACGTTGCGTTCCACAAAACTGTTGCTGAAATCTCTTGTGTTCCAGTTGGGCACCTCCCTATTGATGAAGGTGGCTGTGAGACCTGATACCTCAGAGGGAGCTGAAGCTGGCTTGGTATTTGGGTATGTTGATCCGAGCAATTACTACTATACGTATCTCAGCTTGGGGGCGGACTCCGACGATGCCGCAAACCAGTGTGGTTTAGAATTCGGTCGAGTTCAGGACGGAACAGAATCATCAATTGCCTACATGCAGTGCAAGGTGGGTAGCGGGGGCCTCGGTGGGGGCTATCACTTGCTGGCTGTCCAGAGCGACCCTTTGTCGTTCAAATTCTTTGTGGATCAAGACGCCGTAGGGCAAACCGTTCTTGGTGTTGGAGACTACCGCACAGGCTCCGTGGGGCTTTTGTCGAAGTCGAAGCCGGTGTCCTTCCAAGAATTTGTTGTAGGAGGGACCGCCGAAGAGTCTCAGGCTCTCTGGGAGGATACCTCAAGACCCCGTCGGACCTTCAGTGTGGTTCAAGAATATAACGATCTGGAGTCGAAGTTTGACTCTGCCGATTCCAGGGAAACTTCAGCACCACCTGGATCTAACAACACCGAAACCAAGAACGAGTCCGCCTATAGATGCGTTACCTACCAACCTAGCCACGTAGACAAAAGGCAAGTCCTCCCCCCTCCCCTCCCCCTGCCCCTCCTCCCCCCTCTCGTTAATTCCTCGCTTAATTAAGCATGTTACAGTGACTTGGTATGCTTAATGCCTGATTATTGGAGGTGGATAAATAAGGAAGACCAGACGGAATTACAGTCTATGAGGGACTTACGAACGTCTGACGTACCCGAGTATTGTTTAGTCAAATATTGGTCCTGCCAGGACAGTGAAATTTCAATACGGATGACGTTCCATAGTGATGGCGAAGGTGGACTGGTGTTTAGAGCCCATAACGAGACCTTAAGAACCCACTTGATGATCGAGACCATGTCTCAGAAGGTTACTCTCTATCAACTAGTACCTGAAACGGGTCTACAACCGTTATACCAAACAATAAGTACCATTCCTCTACTGGCCCATGAAACCAACACTGTCAGGGTCCGAGATGTGGGAGGACGTATCTCAGTCTTCATTAATGAGGAAAGGCTCATAGACGCCGTCATTCCAAACAAGGCTGAGGCCCTCCTTAAGAGCCGAATTGCCTATGGAGCAGGCTTTATTCTCGCCAGAGGCAGTGCAAGCTTCTCCGGTCTGAAATTCGCTCCTCTCTAGTCTCGTCACTGGCGCTCTTTACATACATGCCGAGCCCACGAACCATTGTGAGCGGGCTGAAGCGCCGGTGGGTTGGATCATCAGTGAGCTGAAAGATCGACGCCGATTGTTGAGATGGATATATAGTAGCCAACTAGTACACAGCCAAGTAGTACACAGCCAAGTAGTCCACTATCCGTTGGGCTTGTGTCCCGAATAATACAGAACGTTCTGGACCCGTCAATGAAGGTTCTGAACCCATCAATGACCAAAAAAAACGTTTCTTCGTTTGTCGTGTTGTATGTGTCGACGCCTTTTCACAGAACGCGATGCCTAGATCGAGTGGGTCTCGTGATCACATGTGTGTTTAGGAACTGTGTTTAGGAACTTTGCTCTGCCTAGGAACACAGAAATGGGGTTGGGTTAAAAAAATTGGAATGATAAGCACGGGAGACGGTTTTCCTAATATTCTACTTAGTCTGAGAGGGGAAGATATCAATTTATACGATAGGTTACTTGGAGGCTATGGGATTATAGTTGGGTGTTCGGGTGCGTTTGATGGATTATGTGATGATCTACTGGAGCTATATCGGATGTTAAGTTTGATATTTAAGTCTCATGTTAATTTGGTTGGTTGTATTGTGGTGAATGATCCTTTTGTTCTGAAAGGTTGGGCAAGAAAGCATAACATCAAAAATGATATAATCTTCATATCGGATTCGAATGGGACCTTAACGAAATTATTGGGGTTGCAGGTTAGTAATGAGATCCAGCGATTATATGGTAATGGTATTGCTGGACATGTATCGCCCTCTACGTCGGTTGTTACACAAGAAGATACTGGCGTCTACAATGACGGGATTGTGCGTCGTTGTAAGAATTTTATTGCGCTATTGAATCCTAGTGGAATTATCCAAGAGCTCTTTATAGAAAACTATTCAGAAGAGCCTTATCTGGCTATTTCGAAGAGACTGAATATTCCACTCCAAGCAAATCATCTCACCCAAATTCGTCTAAGACTGCAGCACATCCATGACAAGACAATTTTTACTCACTACCGCCCTTCTGACTACAAAAGTCCTATGCGACCTCTTACCGCCAACAACATACCAGACAAGCCCGGGCATCGTAGTAATGCTCCAATCTCCGCCCATACAACCTCCGCCCATACAACCTCCGCCCATACAACCTCGGCCCATACAACCTCGGCCGATCCAATCTCCGCCATTCAGTCCGAAATCAGGACCCCAAGGAACAATGGACCGGCACGGGATTACGGTTCGCCCAGAAAGATCGCTCGCGACCAGTCAGGACAACCTCGTTCACAGGAACGGTCCGTTGTCAGCGAAGACCAGCCGTGTCCGTCACGACTAAAAAACGGCAAAGAAGCTAGCGATCACAAAAACACAGGAACGCACGTCCAGACAAGCAAAAACGAAAAATACTACAATGAACCACGACCTGTTCGAGACCACGTTCAAGAACCACATGAGAGTGATACCCGTATTCGTGAGCCTAAAACCGAGCACGAAACGGAGCAGGAGAACGAGCACCCATTACCGCCTGTCGAGCGTAGACGCAGAAGCAGTGTTTTGTACACACCACCAGGTTCTTTCCATTCCACTGACGAGACTCGTGACGAGACTCGTGAACGTACCGAAGCTGGCCGCACGGACGCGGACGCTGATTTCAGACACCGTAAAATTTCTGGCCATGGAGACCCCGACCGTAGGGATCCTCACCGCAGGGATCCTGACCGCAGGGACCCTGACCATAGGGACCCTGACCATAGGGACCCTGACCGCAGGGACCTCGACTTCAGAAACACAGAGACCAGAGACACCGTCAGCAGAGATCCAGAGACCAGAGAGCCTGGCTCCGGATGCCCTGGCAGCGGAGACACCGACGGACTAGCGCCGCGCCGATTGCGCCCGTCGGAGGCGGAGGGTACGTCGTCGGGACGGCGGTCCTGCCAAGGGGTCTCACACCTGGTTCCAGGGGGCGAGGGTTCGGTGGAAGGAGAGTTGCGGCCAGGGGCGACCGTGTACGAGCGTCTGCCCACGACGAGACAGTCGGAATCAGCCCCCCCGGCAAGCACGGAAGTGGAACGGACTGGTGAGAGGGGCGAGGGCGAGAGAGGCGTAAGTGAGGACCAGTCAACAGCTCGTGACAGCCAGGACGATTTGCAGTCGGATATGAGCGACGACCTGAGCGACGAAGACGTGGACCTAGGGAGACCAAAGCAGTCACATGCGGACGGGTTGGTGGTTCGACCGAGCAGCCAGCCGTGTCAGTTTCCTTTTGTGCGATTGAGGGGCCGTGTAGTACGGGATGTGGCCAGGCCCAGTGTGCGGTTCGACTACGAGATGAGTCAGGACGTATTTGAGTACCAGTTGGTCTTGGATCCGGATTGGAACGTGTTCAAGATCTATGCGAAGGACCTAGGTGTCCTGTGCCTAGACGTGGACCGTGTTACTCTCTTTGACCGAGCAACTGGGGTCAGGTTACAGCACATCGATACACCACGGCCGTCACCTGACTTCGAGTTCGACGTTGAGTTCGTCGTCATCGATCCTCACCGAACCTTCCCTATCGCCTACCCGAAAAGCAGCCCCGGCTCACCCGTCAGCAGCGGGTCTCCGAACAGCAAAGCATCCAGCAAGGCCTCCAGCAGCGACCACGGTCCCTCCTCCGTTGGCACGCTATGCATTATCCACAAACAAGTCCCTATCTCTCCAGCCAGCGCTGAAGAGAGTAGCGAGAACCCGCCGCGGAGGGTCGTCTTCTGCATTCCTCTGGTCGCTGGCGGAAGAGACAATTTCCTCGCAAATGTACACTCGTACTTGGAAAAGAGATCCATCCGACCTCGTCAATCTAACACTGTCCACCATCGAACCGACGAACGCGGCGTCAACCTCCAAAAATATACTTCGCCCTACATGCACCTCCTCCGGTACGATGCGCCAGCCTACTACACCCCTACCTCTCGACCCAACGACATTTGGTAAGATCCCTCAATCCTCCGTCCGTCCCTCAATCCCCTCCCTCCCTCTCTCTCGTTCTCTCTCTCACTCCCTAGCTCCCTCTCTCCGTACCTCGCTGTTCAATTTACGGTAAATTTTTGCGGCATTCCAGGATTGTTTCCGAGGAAGTTTGCTATGTGGAGGAAAGCCACTTGAGAGGCATTCTTGACCACACGGCCCCGACGCCAGCGGCCACCGCAGAGTCGGTTCAGGAGCTAGCGTTCCGTATTGCGGCGGAGTAGAATGGCGTACTTGTTCTCATACGCTCAAGGCGAATGTCGCGCGCGCCCTCCGAACGTCCTCAATGTGGCCGTTCGTGGGTCGTTCTGACCTGTCCTATACGGGCAGCTTGGCGGTCAAGGTGGCACCTAGTTCAGTTGGCATTCTCGTATTCTTTCTGGATCAGTTCTTCGGTTAAAAAATCAACCGAGGTTGCTGGTCAGTATCGAGCTGATGGGTTATGAATGTGCTGGTAGTTCGTTGATTGGTCAAGGTCAATTGGGTTTGCTGGCTTTAATATTTTGAGTAATAAAATCTCACATGTAGATGGGCAGAGCGTGCTCGAAGGTTGTACCCCAGGAAGTCTCTCTCACTCTTTCTACGCCACGGCAACAGCATAGCCCCGAGGAAGATGACCTTCTACTCAATGACCTTCTGCTGCAACTCGCCCCGGACACGACAGGACCCTTCCGTTTCGTTACCAACCGACTGCAGCTGAGCATACAAGAGCTCCAGCCCAAGGCCAGCCTCGACACCGTCAGGCCACCTCATGAACAAATACTCGACCTCCCCCCATTAGCTAGTGCTTTCGAGGTAACTTTCACCTTCCAGATCCATACCTCTTCTCAGCCCACTGCAACCTCACTCAACTCACCGGCAACCAATTGCTCAGACCGAAACTTCTCCGGCCCCGCTGGGAAGGTAGGCCCCACTGGGAAGGTAGGCCCCACTGGGAAGGTAGGCCCCACTGGGAAGGTAGGCCCCACTGGGAAGGTAGGCCCCACTGGGAAGGTAGGCCCCACTGGGAAGGTAGGCCCGAGTGTTTTCTTCTCTTAGTTTTATGTTAGCTTGTATGGATTACGTGTCAGAAATTTGGAACCGAACGGTGGCGTCTCTGGACATGACCAGAATAACGGTAGTGCTGTGGCCGTGCGTTCGCTGTTACATCGGCCATCTAATACACCGTTGATGAGGCCTTCTGAAAATCAGTATGTGGCGGTGGTTAGTTGGGATAACAATCAGCGTTTCATTAGGACAACATTCGTCACATGTGAGGCGGATGGTTCGGCGGTCTTTCCGGGTCATTGGTGCTTTGTGTGGAAGACGCAAGACCCTGGCTGTGAAAGCTCTTCGTGCACGAGTGGTCCGACCTACCCGTCTTCTACAACATACCTTTCGGGGAATGGCATTAACGGCCATCCTTCTGCGAATGGTCTTTCTTCGGCGACCGGCTTTTCTTCGGCGACCGGCTTTTCTTCGGCGACCGGCTTTTCTTCCGTGACCGGGTTGGGGATGGACTCGGGCCCGGGTCGGTCGGGTGGCGAGTCGGCGGACAGGGGTGCCAGTGCGTTGATGGCATTGAGGGAGCGGTTTCTACTGATTGCTCTGTTCAAGATCGAACACCGTAGGCACGCGACATTATTGGGTTACTGCAAGGTAGACATCTTGTCGATTGCCGTGGGCCCGATACACCATGACTTTGCTCTGGGAAGCAGCATCCGAATCCAGTTCGAAGGGCGTCTCACGCAAATCTGTCGGCTGAACTGTGTACCAGTTGAAGTGCGTGCACACATCGATGAAATGGACGCAATCCCAAAAACGGCCGCCACTGGCCCCCGCAAGACCGCCCCTGCCCCTCGCAGTCTGGCGCCGAGCGACCCCGAGGACGTCGGCTTCCCGCCCAAGGCTAAATCCGTCGCCTCGCTCGTACCGCCCGATAAAGGCCGAGGAGCCGACAGTGACTCGGGAGGCGACGTTTCTGGCGTCCGCTCAGCCCGGGGCTCAACCTCTCGCGCTGCAGCCGGCGTGGCAGCTCTTGCAGCCGGAGCGGCCGTGCCTGCGAACATGATCGGACCCGCGTTGGGAACAAATTTGGGACCCGACGCGGTGGCGCCCAACGTGGCGACCGTGGGGAGTCTGGTGGCGGGCGCCGCGGGGCTGGGACTCGGGCCCACCACCGCCAGTTCTTCCCGAGCGACTGTGGCGGCGCCGGAGGACCTCGCCCGCGAAAAGAGTCTTCGGAAGGAGGGCACATTGCGTGAAGAATTGCTCCGCGAAGACTTGCTGCGAGAAGACTTGCACGCGACCCCCCCGCGAAAAAGTCTGGGCGCAAGTTCGGTTTCGGCGGGTGGCGTTGAGACCCTAGGCGCAGCGTCTGTGGCGACGGAAACGGGCGGGCCAGCGGCACTGGAGCGGAAGGCATCGGTCATTGCGGACGTGGAGGCCTTGGACGGGCCAACACAGCAGCACAAGACCGACGACGAACGCCGACCTGTGAAGGCCGAATGGAAAGTCGACTTTTGTGTGACTGGGCTCCAAGATGCGACGCCCGCTTCTTCCAACTGGAGCTCCGTCACCGCGACGCCCTACTGGTTCGTCCTCGACGAACAGCGTCCTGTCCCGCCGGAGGAACGCTTCATACTACCTCTCGGCGAACGCCCTCCGGGTCCGGACAGCCAGTCCGCAGCAGCGGTCGGGGTGAAAAAGCCGGACACGGCGCAGGACACCTACTTTACGTTGGCGCAGCGTTGTCGTCAGCACGAGGGAGAAATGTTCGCGAGCCAGTTGCCGGCCGCGCCTTGTCTAGAGCCATTGTTTGTGTGCACTACATCTGAAGGGATTCGGGAGTACTGTCTGCACGTGCGCCTGTGGAACAAGCCGTTGGGTGTGGGGCCGGCTAAGTTGTACGGTGAAGCATGGGTGCCTTTCTTTAAGTTGTTCGATACGGACATGTTGAGTTCGCGTTCTTTCTGGGATGTGCGGTTCGACGAGGTGTTATGGAACGATGGGCGTACTGTCGGTCGTATCTCATCGTTGATTGTCTTCCAAGACATTCCGCTTCTGCGTCAAATGTTTACTGGCGTCTCAACAGAGCTCGGATATCGGCGTCTTATTTCACCAGGACTGCTGCACATCCAGGCGACGAGTCGTGCGACCACGGCATCGAGTGTGGAAAGTATCGAGGAGGTACGCACCTTGAGCGAACTAACACAGGAGTTACAGAGAAGCTGGTTGAAAGCCAATGTGCTACATGCTGAGAAACTCTCGTCGCAAAAACGTTACTCTGAAAACAACAAAAATGACAACCGGAATAGCATCGGCGTCATCTCAGAGAAGATCATTGACCTCCTTGGTCGCACTGGTAACGACACCAAAAGCCCCATGTTCGACTACCCCGACATTTACACTATGATGCAGGGTCAACGTGTCTTGATCGAACTCGCCGACCACGTCCTCCAGGTGCAGGATTTTGTGCCGTACGGTGTGCGGGGCATCTATGGTAACATACTCATTCTCGTGCTGAAACGCGGCGAATTGGAAATGGGCAATTTGATCCCAAGTTTACCCTCACACGTGTGTGCTAAATTCCCCAACATGGACCTTCACGCACTCATCAAGGTGGCTATGTCCATGCGCCTGGACCTCTCCCCCGAGGATGAAGCCCGAGAATGTCTGTACCACAGCACACCCGACGCCAGGGGTCAGTCCACGTCCGGCGGCACGTCTGGCTTCCGCGACGGAGCGAAAAGCGGCGGCCGGGAGAGAAGCGGCTTTGAGAGAAGCGGGCAGGAGAAAGAGGCTTTGTTGGGCGGTGCGGTGGCGAGTGTGCAAGCGGCAAAAAGACTCATCAGTCGAGGGCGAAATTCACGTAACGCGGTTTCGCGTGAAGTCACGAATCCGGACACGAGTGTAAGTTCGCAGAGGACCAAGGTCACCTTTGGTGGTGAGCCACTGCGCGTCGATAGTGTTGGTGGCCATAGTGTAGGCGGACATAGCAGCATGTCTTCGTTCCATCCCCAATCAGGCAGAAGTCTCGAGCATCAGCGTAGCGGAGCATCTTCGTTGAATGCAAGTCGTCTCGTGACGGAGGACCTGCGTTCCCGCGGCTCCGCGAGTCCTCTTGTAGGTTCAGGTATAAGTCCGAGTATGAGTTCGGCACGGAGTCCGAGCCAAAGTCCGAGGCCACTGAGTCCTGACGGGAGTTTTCGAAAAGACACCGAGGGGCAGAGTTTTGAGAAGCGCGGATTAGAGGCAGTGGGAGAGGTGATGACGGCGTATGATGCGGTGGAGTTGATTTACTACGACAAGAGGATGCTGATAATTCAGCTGTTCATCGACATATTACGACGGCTCTTGGAGTTTGTTTCAAGCAAACTTGACCAAGATGTCACAATGTTCGAGTCACAACGAAAGCAAGTGGCCTTATACTACGCCATGCTCTACATCCGTCTACCCACCTTGCGCTCACTCTTTCTCTCTGCCAGTCTGAGTCCTAACGAGTATGAACTGTACATTCCGGAGTGGAAAGGAACGGACTTCAATCTCGATAAGGCATCCCTCGACCGCTTCGGCCAACTGTGGTTTCAGAGTGACAAAGGGTTTAGGAGCAGTGCTTCGCTCTTATCTTCAATCGACGGAAACGCGACTCAACGCGTAGGCGCCTACGCCAAACGAACCGCCGTGAACCCCTATCAAGCAGGGAGAAATGGCGGCCTATACGAAATCAGAATAAACCTGGACTGGTCCCCCTTGTTCACGCTCGTTAAAGGGTATTATAACCAACCCGAGGATGCGAACACACCCAAGGCAGAACAAGCCCCCGAATTCCCCACCAACCAAGTCGCTTCTAGTACTCTTGAGCCTGTAAGCGCCTCTACACCACCCCCTGACGTTGCTGGGAACAGTGCAGCAGCGACCGGCGGCGGAATGCGACAGGATCCACCCACCGAGGAAGGTAAACGGGCCAGCGTAAGCGGTGGCGCCCAACCCAAAGCCCCTCAGCCCAAAGTTACTCAGCCCAAAGTTCCTCAGTCCAGGGCTTCACAACCCAGGACTTCTCTGTCCAAAGCAGCAGAAAAGACCCAGGGGACCCAGGGGGCGGTAGGAAAGACTCAGGTGGCGGAGAAGACTTTGAGTGTGAACCAAGTAGGTGGAATGCCTGGGACTCCTGGGAGTCGGAGCCTTCACGAGGATTTGGACGAGAAGAAGAATGGGGACCCGAGCACGTCTTGGATCGGCAGTCACGAAGTAGATGAGCCGGCGATGGTTCAGGCAATCTTCGATAAGTACCCCAAGTCTTTGTCGTGGGTTTCGCAGCGGACACTGACATTTTATCTGTTCCTTAATTCGTGGATCCGGCTGACTTGGGCGCAGCTGGACTGCGCTCCGAAGTCAAGTTCTAAAGAAGCAGAGAGCATCGCAGCCCAAGGTGCCAGCAACGTGTCTCGGACCATCCAAGGGTCTGTGCGGTGGGAACTGATACCCGGCTACGCCGCCTTCATCAAGGGATTCCTGATTGAACTCAAGTCGAAGCCCATAGCCAAGTTCCCGGACGCACTCCTAAACTGCTCTGCCTCTCTACTCGTCAATGATCGGCTGCTAGCCGTCTTCATGCGAATTGTTCTAAGCCGAACCAGCGTCTACTCCAGGGAACAGGTATTTGCAGCCTTCAACTACTTGGACTTCTGGCTAGAGACTTTCAGCCTCAGGAACCAACCGCTCCCGCTCACCATGGACTACAGACTACTCGGAAAAGCTGTCGACGCCGTGATAAACTCTGATCTCGCACTCCAAATGGCCAAAGCCATTTGGTTCCTCTACAAGAGAATGGACCTTTTCAGCCCCCAGAAATCCATGCTCAAAATACTCATGGAAATACTGATGTACAAACACTTCCATAAGTGAGACCAACCACACATCCTCAACAGTACCAACCGGTCAACAATAACGGTCAACAATAACGGTCAACAATACTAGAGGAGCAACACGCTCACACAGCGCAATAAAGCGAACACAGTATTGTTACCCACTCGTTTGTAGATTGATATTACACTGGTCCTGGCTGGTAAGGCGGTGCTTCACGCACCTGCTGCTCTACCGGGTGTGTGAGGGTACCAGAAGGCTAGTAGCAAAACATTCCCAGATGACGGAGCTTCCTCCTATCGGAATAGAAGATCGGCTAGTAAGACTCACGAGCCCTTTCCGAAACACATGATAGAGTGCAGACACCGTACAGGCATCACGGTGTAGCTATCGCGGGCGGTTCCACGATGATGTTGTTCTCTGGTAGTCTTGTTGGGCATATTTGATGATAGTTGAGAATATGAAGCGCATAGGTATTCCTCCGGTGTTCCCAGAGAAGTTTTCGACCCAGTCTATTCGACGGTTGCTGGCGCAGCCATTGCCGTCGCACCAGAAGCTGGCGTCGTCGGTCTTGCTGTGGAGCATCCCGACCGTGCTATCCACTGTGCAGCCTTCCACACCTCCGAAGGCCATGGGGACTGACCGGCTGTTGGAACCCCAGCGGCTGGCCTCGCCGGCGGCGGGCACTGGCAAGGACAAGCTGCGCGCTATCCGCAGGTCGGGCTTCAAGTTCCGGCGGCGGAAGAGTCTGCGAGAAGAAAATGAGATGGCGGACGACTACCTGGATGTGCTCCAGGACCCCACGGGCGTCGATGACGTTCCCGTATTCGAGTATGAGGATCCCGATCAATATCTCCCTCCCCCTCTGCCCATTGCGCCAACCATGAGGCCCTACATAAACCACGTAGTTCAGGAGTTCACCTCAGAGCTCGAACAATACAAGGTCTGGGTTATCTCTGGAAAAATGGAGGTTCCACCAATGCACATTCCCGCCTCCCCTCTGGACACAAACGTTGATGTCCCGCTGGATGACGACTGAGTCGGATGTGGCATGGTGACGACGACCGGACTAGGGTACCCCCACCAAGAAAATCCGAAAAGGTCGTACGGTGAGAGCAGCCCGGCCTAGCCGGTTTGCGGCGTGCCTTGTTCGGCCTAGCCGGTTTGCGGCATGCCTTCGCCGGCCACGGCGCCCAATATGGGCAGCGCCTGAAGCAGAGTGCCCGATCCCAAACCCAGGCCCGAACCCAAACCGGAACCACGCAGCATGCCCGGGACTTGACGGAAGACAACGTCCTTCAACGTTTGCCCTGCTCCCAGTATCCCGGCACCAACGTACGTCTGCGCAGCCACGTTCTTCAATGCTGAAGCTCCTCCGCCAATAGTCTCCAAATTTTTCAGAAAAATGCGAGAGTTAACGGATGCTCGCTTCTGAACATTTTCGCGCAATGCGCCTGCAGCGTCCAGAACGGTCTCAGCTCCAGCATGACCCACTTGATTAACCATTGTTCTCTCCGGATCCCGGCCAGTAAAAAAGCCAGCAATTTCACTGAGTCCTCCTATCAGCGACTGGGCCAGCGCCAAGTGCAAGAGAAGCGAAAAGACGAACATTAGTCCGCGCACACACGTGTTTGCAAAATGAGTTTCGTTGGGGATAATTCCCCCGAAATATATCTCTCGTCTACATTTCTCTTTTTTAATACTCAGACAAATGCACAGGATATCTAAGCATGACTGGTGAAGAAACAGCGAACAATAAATCAACAATGGCGTGTCCGGGCCTGCATGTAGTGTTCGGCAGTCGGACTCGGCGGGGTTTGTCGCACCCCAACGAGGACCGTCATGCCGTGGCTACGTGGCAGAATTGGAATCTAGAGGCGCACACGCGGGAGGAGCCGGAAATTGACCGTAAGCGCAAATCGCATAAATGGCGGGCGGTTGGGGTGGCGAGTACCGATGCGCGCGCACGTGTTCTCGCGGCGAATCGAGTTTCCGGGGAATGAAGTTTCTCGCGAATGAAGTTCTCCGGGAGCCGAGTATCCGTTTAAACGAGTGTTCCGCTATCTCTCCCGGGCCCGTTCCTTTCCATGTACCGGTCATTTTGATGTTGCGCGCGTTCGGGTTAATATTCACCTTGTGACGGTCCCACCTTTGGCACACTTGGTCATCCTATACACCTGGTGAACACCTACCGGCACGCTTTGCGCGCACTTCGTGTGCACTAGGTGCACATTCTCGTCGTACACAGGGTGCACGCCTCCTTCTTCGTGTGACGTTTGTGCGGAGTTCGGGCGCAACTGTGTTTTTGTTTAGCGGGTGACGCGTATCCTAAGCCGGAGTTGGTGGCGCCGATTTGTACGGGGAGTGCGCGAAAGGACACGACAGTGTCGGGTTGTGGGGGTACGGGTGCGTTGAAGGACCCTCAAGTGGCGTTGGGTCTGCATTTGGGTCAGAAGGTAGTTTTGGCTGACCAGGACCCTACGAAGCAGGCTGCGTACCTATGGACGGTGTGCGACGGGCATGACGGGCCAGAGGCGGCGGACTATGTGTGTCAATCGGTGGGGGAGGTCTTCAGTCGTATTTGGCACAAGAGCGTGAGTTACAAAATGCCTGCGAACTATCTTAAGGACAAGGCGTTGGCGCCGGGAGAAGACCCGCAAACTTTTGCCCGAGGCTACTCGCTTTCGAACGCGCTGGCACGTACCTACGAAGTGCTCGACCAGAACTTCAAGCAACTTGTGTGTCCTGATACACCGGCTCTCGGTAGTGGGAGCACAACCGTGCCGTCAACGGAGCACGCCACCGCCGGTGCCGGCGGGGGTTCCGGTAGTGGTTATGGCAGTTCCGTGGTGGGCAGTACGGCGGGTAGTTGTGTAACAAGCATCTTTCTGAGCGGGAACCTGTTGTGCTGTGCGGGGTTGGGAGATTGCAAGGCGGCGATTTTGACATTGGAGGATGCGGATTCCCCCGCTGCTTCACTCGAAATGGGTTCGGGTAGCCAACAACAGTTCCAGGTGACGTGGTTCAGCAAAGAACATCGATCGAGTGCGCCCAAGGAGCGTGCCCGGATTCGAGCCCGCGGCGGTTGGTTCCGACATGGGCGTGTAGGCGGCGTGTTGGAGCCTACGCGGACGATTGGGGACTTTGACGTGAAGGCGTCGCAGCCGGCCGGGGTGTTGATTGCGACACCGGAAGTGCGCACGTTCAACGTGACCAAGCCGGCCATGATCCTGGTAGCGAGCGACGGTGTATGGGACGTGATGGACGCGTCCCAGTTGCTGCGCACGTTGAAGAAACGACGTAGACTCTGGCGTGGTGTACTGTCGTGGCTAGGAGCGCCGGTACCCGAGCGGCGAAGTTTAATGAACTTCGGGTTCCGGAAGCGCGCTAAATCCAAGGAAGGATTGTCGGGGATCCTCCAACTACCCACCGGCGGCGACTTGGTCGCCATGGCCGAAGCTTTGGTGACCCGCGCACATGACCTCGGCAGCGACGACGACTGCACTTGCGTCTGCATATACCTCCGCCCTGCCCAACAAGTGCCGCCACCCGTACCCGGCGAAGGCCTCGGCGAGAGCGGCCTCGGCTCCAAACGTGAGTCCGATGAAGAAGCCGACTCCGACGACGAGGATGAAGAAGAAGAAGACGAAGAAGAAGAAGAAACGGCTGCCGTACCACCCGCCACCGAACACGACTCAAGCTACGAATATGAAAAGTGGCGGAGACCCGAACCGCCCGGAGATGACAACGAATTGGACGCAGACAACCTCGACGAACCCACCGAAAAAGAAAAGGAAACTGACGAATGGAAGCTCGCCACCAATGTCTTCCCAGTCTCCGCCGCAGACAAAAATGTTGACGAAGAAGCGCCCGAGGTAAGCATCAACCCCTCCCGTCCACTGATCTCACTCCCACTGATCTTATCCCTATTCCCTCCAACCTGCTTGCTCGAGCACACACGTGTGCTATTATTTACTGCACGCGTTTGTTATTTATCAAGCACGCACTCATTTCGCTGTAGATTGTCGAGAAGGCGCGCCGCAGACGCGAAGAACGGCGGGCAGCGCGCGAACGTCGCCGGCGGTCGCTGGAGGAGCGGCCATGACTTTTCTAACCTCTTTTTCCAAACCCGAAAATTTCATGACTCTTGCACTGGTAATTGACCAGGTAGTGAACTGCCATGCGCTCCCGGATAAGTACTTTGTGCGTGTGAAGATAGGCGACCACAAATTCGAGACGCACTACGGCAAAAGATCGAAGGATGTCATTTCCTATCAGGTTAACTCCGTCTTCGAAAGCTACGAGGCGCCCGACATTGAGTAAGCAGGTATTTCGGATCGGGCGGGATCCCGTCACGATGGGTGGTTTTTTTTTGGATTTGTTCTGCGGTAGAGTGTATTTGATTGGGGTGGATGGAGAGGTGGTGGCCCAGCGTACCGTGAAAGCGTGGCGGAAGTATCTGCATAACGGAAAGGGATCGTTAACGGTTGGTTTTGCGCGGCCGAAAGTGCGGGGAGTGCACGCCGGGGGAGCGGACAGTTCGGATGGTGGTAATGACGAGTTCGGTGCGCAGGTGAAGTTGCGACTGTATTTGGATTCTGATATGTCGTTTCTGGCGTACGATCGTTTTGATGTATACGTGAGTAAGTTACAGGACATGGATGAGACGCGTAGTGGCCGTCCGAAGATGGTATTATCATTGGGCGAAGTTGACTTGACATTGGATAAGCCAAGTGAAGGTGCTGACGAAGGAGAGTGGTTGTGGGAAGAGACATTTCCGTTTCTGTATCATCGAGAGCGGGTGTTGAACGTGAACGTATTTTGCGAGAACGGGGCAGCATATGGGAAGGCAGCAATAGATATCCATCAGTTGATGCATGTGATGACAAAGGAGGCGGCCCACGAGAAGCAACAGGATCTCGTTTCGGCTGGTTGGTTACCGGTAACGGACGCGGAAGGCGTGACGGTGGCTCGATTGCTGGTGGGGGCAGAGGTCTGGGATACGACAAAGACAATCTCCCATATGTCTCACCACCCAGTAAATGTATTGCAAAAATTGGAAGAGCGAGCGGCGTTCGATGAGATGTTATTGCGCAAACTCCAGGATGAACATGCACTCGGTGAATCGGACGCTGTCAATGTTGAGCGCGACTTGGCTAACGCTCGGAATGTACTTGAGGAAATCCGAGTTATCAACAGCTCTCTCCAAGATGGTCAGATCGTCTCCCGACAGGCGCTAAAGCGTGGCCGACGAGAGGAAATTCGTAAAATCGATGACGCTGAAAATCAACTTGCAGCGGCAGAAACAAAGCTTTATAATGCATCCTGTGACGCCGCCAAAAAGAATCTCAAAGTCGTACAGGCAGCAAACAAAGAGGGTCAAGACTTGGTTCGCCGCTGTCAGTTACAGATGATGACTTCTCCGCGCAAAACAGACTCTCTCCAAGATCAGTTTGTCATTAAACGCGAGCAAAAGATTAACGCTCTTCAAGAAGAGCTTTACACCTGTCTTCAAACCACAACCACTCATCGCGATAACGTCTATGGAGCCAACCTCATGACCGATATCCCCCCCAACCTCGAAGCCATCGATATCAAACGCCATCAAGCTCACCGCATCCTTGGTGATCTCCAAAACTTCTCAGACACAATCAATGCAGAAGACGAAGAACTAAGACGTCAGCTACGCTACAAACAACTCGAAGAAGATAATCTCCTCCTTGAAGCTAAACCCGTACTCATCGAAAGACCCAACATGGGCTGCTTCACTTGCTGCATGGGGAATTAATCCTGTGAGCCGAGTGGCTTGAGTCATTGCGAATGCAGAACTGTGAATGCAATGCAGGGTTGCGAATGGGTGAGAAAGCGAGGCGAGAGAGGAGTTCGAAACAAGTGTGCTTGCGCCCGACGAGGCCACGAGAGGTCAGGCCAATTCTTTTTTTGCTGCATGTATAAACACCCTGCTCCCGAAGCTGCTCCTCTAATTGGTACGTTGTCCAGACAAACGTGTTCGCCCGAAGTATCACATATGTTCACCTGTGCGGCCTCCCTCACCTGACACACTGGCCTGCGGAGGAATAGGGTTTGGCTTCAGATGCGGCGACGATAAAGGTGCCGCTGTACGACGAGTTGCAGGTGGTCTCGGGGAGCACGTTGATTTCGCTCAAGTTGAAGAGCGGCGCAGCAGAGGTACGAGGCGAGCCATTAGTTTTGGCTGAGACGTATTTACTGTTGCCGTACTCGACGGTGACGTTGGCGGGTGCGTTTCCAGTGGGATGTGAATTGGCGGTAGCGGGCACGCCGCAGCATGCGCGGTTGTTGTCGAAGCCGAATCACACGCGGAACCTGCAGTTGTTAAACCTGTGTGAGAAGTTGAACAGCCACCGCGTGTGTGCGTACAAGCAGGGGGAACTGGGCCCGGTGGTTGCGGTCTGCAGCACCAGCGCCCTCTGCGAGCCGCGCCACCCGACGCATCTTTGTGCGCCGACTGAGACGCCACAAAAGGCGGTCATCAGTGCCGCCAAGATCCTGCGCAACTACAGCTACCGCTCCGGCTGGCTGCCGCCGCTGCTCAATCTTGACCGAACCGGCTGCCACAGCGACATCGAGTTTCTGCAACAGGGCCCTCACATTCTGCAAGCGCACCTCCCCGACATCCCCTCCGAGGAGTCGCTGGACCTCGCAAAACTCCTCGAGACCTCCGCCTCCAGCGAACGGCTTGGGCACCTCGCCGACCTCCCGGCGAGCTCTTCGGAAACGCGCGCGCCGCGCGACGGCGAACAGGCCCGCGCGCGCGCAGTTAGCGTCCTCTCTTCCCTCGGACGCCGCGAAGCCGCCAACGGCCTGCCGGTGAGCGCTTTCAGCGGCGAACGCAGCGACGGCCGTCTTGTCGAGGGAATCAGCCTCAGTCCCTGGGAGGTAGTCGCGAGACCACTGGGCGACAACGGAGACATCGCCGTCGCCTGCTACTGTCCGCAGACGAGCCACGCCTGCAACTGCGTCCCGCCGCCTCCGCCACCTCCGCCAGGCCCCCCACCGCCGCCGGGGGCGTCGCTCTCGGAGACGCCGCGATGCGCCAAACACGGCAGTGCACACACGTGTGCTGACTGTTCCTGTAGCGCGCCGAAGAGGTTGTTGGGCCTCGTTGACGCGTACATGGAGCGCAAGCCGCGTGCGCGGGCGGCAGGCGCCATTCTGGTGGTGGGGGACGTGGGCGCGGGTTTCCTTGCGGAGTTGCAGAAACTAGACTGCGTGGTACTCTGCAACGCCGACCCGCCGCCGAGCTGCGTACCCGTAATCGACCCCGTGGCCGCGCTCCGGCGTCGGCTGGGCGCCGTGCCCGTCACGCTCCTGCCTCATGCTAACGAAGGGCCCTACGTCCCGGACCCGCAGTTCTTGCGCCAGCAACGTCTGCGTCAGGTGTTTTGCAACCCTGACCCCGCCCTCGTTCTCCCCAAACTCGTCCGCGGCCGCGTCCAGAGCTACCTCCTTGAAGCCAAAGACCACTACCCCCTCAACTCCATCAATGACCTCCTCCCCTCCCGCCTTCTCTTCAGCCCACTCCCCCTTCACAAATACGCACCGTACGACGTCCAGTTGTTCAACCAAATCTTAGCCAGCCATTCCAAAGAAGTCATTACCGATCTCGACGACTTTGCACGACGAAGAGTACCTACCAACCCCGTCAAGCAACGCACATGGGCGGCCTCCAGTGGAGCACCTACGGGGGCACTCAGTGGAGCACCTACGGGGGCACTCAGTGGAGCACCTACGGGGGCACTCAGTGGAGCACCTACGGGGGCACTCCGTGGAGCACCTACGGGGGTGCTCAGTGGAGCACCTACGGGGGTACTCAGTGGAGCACCTACGGGGGTACTCAGTGGAGCACCTACGGGGGTACTCAGTGGAGCACCTACGGGGGTACTCAGTGGAGTGCCCAACGGATTCGATGTAAGGGAGACTGCTACTCCCCCAGCCGGTACCATGGCTCCTTCGGGTGGCAGTGAGCTTGATTCGAGTGGCCCGCCAGTGGTGCTCAACGGATTCGTCCCGCACGCGAGAGAGTCAACTATTCTCTCCAGTGCCTTCGTCAAAGGCGAGAAGGTTTTTTGCCGTCAGAACGTGGACGCCGGAAGTAGTCTTATTCTGATCAGCCGTACCACTTAATTCCCCACCGTACCTGCCTCTACATCAACGGTCATGGACGGACCAAGTCGGTCGGTGTTAAGGTGCCGAGCCCAGGGCTTTTTCCCCCGATTTTCTCGATGTTTCGACTGGTCCTGGCGGCTGTGCTTTGGACTTGTGTTTGCTTGATCCTGGCAACAATTTATTTGTGCTTCTACCTAAGACCCGCGTCAGGCTATGAGGCAGCCACAGGCACTCCGCTAACCGAAACGAGGCTACCGGTAATTAGCATCTCGGTCGAAAAAGTATTTCTCCCACCACCTCCAGTCGTCTCAATCTTCGGAGCAACCCCCCTTCCCCGCTTAGTTAGTGTGTGAGATCGATGAAAGCAGCCAAGATGGCATGCAGTTAGCAACGCCGGAGATTCCGTCAATCATCGCTCAAGTCGTGGACAAAATCACTTTGGTCATGATAGCCGTCGTCACCAGCGATGCCGAGGAGGCGAAGATTCGCGACTGGTTCTGTGGAAACGCGCACCTTGATACATACATACCAGTACATGTGAGCACACACACTACACACATAAGAACACACACTATGTTACGCATACTCGATTGACATTCGCATGAATGACAAGTACAGGTGATAGGGAGCTGTTTTGTTTGCAGAGGTTGGTGTTCTGTGAGTCCGCTACTTCACGGGTTTCGATCGTCCGTCAACTCAACCCGAACGTGCACCTGGAATGTAAGTAGTATACTTTGGAAGGTACGGTACGGATATGAGCACGAGTCTAAGCACGAGTGTAAGCATTGATCACCACGGTTTTGCAGGTGACCAAACTTGCTTGGCACAGATGTCTAAGATAGCTAGTATCAACGCCATTGCTGTTGCCACAGCACCTGAGGCTTGGGAGCTGGTTAAAGCGTTGGCCACTGAGAACAAAACATCAGCCGCATAGATCGTCTGACAAGTTTAAGGGATTTTGCTTCGCGGTGGTTTGTTTGGTTGTAGCTTCTCAATCGCACGGTCGGGCAATGTGCGGAGGCGGAGTTGGTGAAGTGAAGCTGAGAGGGGAGGGGAGGACCAAAAGAAAGGAGGTATGTATTCTGGGATGGGGCGGAAAAAAATAGATGGTGGAGGAGGGGATCGTGTGTCAGTTTTGCGGGACAAGGTTTCCTTACGCTACTATCCGGCAGCACGAGAAGTCAGAGTGTGCGAAACGGCCCAGCGACCATGTGGCTGACCTACCGGTGTTCGATTTGCCTACCCCATCGAGTGGAATAATGCAACCGAGTGGACTAATGCGATCGCCAAGTGGTATACCGGGTGGAATATCGAGGGGAATACCTAGTGCAGTAGTAGCCGGTGATCAAGGTGACGGTGTTGGCACCTCCTCTGTAGGGATGGGTACTACTGCCGTCTTGTCGTTAACTACCTTGCCATTAAATACACCCTCGCTCTCTACGAGTATGTCGCCCCGGGCAAGAGAGGGGTATTTGCCATTGTCGGCGGCGTCACTGAGTCTGGTCGCCGACGGGGCGCCGTCCCCGGAAGACAAGTTGCGGGCAGCGGCAACGGGACGGGGGTTCGCAGTCGAGACCGCACCGGAGGCGGACGTATATTCACCGCTGGCACAGAGCAGCCGCCGCCGTCAGTTTTCGCCGAACAGTGGACCCGGGCGGTCACCAAACGGACTAGGGCAGTCGCCCAACGGACTAGGGCAGTCGCCCCATGGAACAGGGCGCTCGACCGATGGACAGTCGCCCAATGGACAGCCGCCAAAAGGACGGCTAGATACGGACCCATTTTCGTTTGCGGCTTTAAAGAAGCGGGTCGCGCACATGCACAGCGCGCCAGGACTCGATTCGGAAGAGATCCCGGAGACGGAAGAGAGCGCGCCGCCGCCTGCCAGCTCCCTGGAGGCCGCGGCGCCGACAGCTGACGTCTGTCGAAGGATCTTCAAAAATTACTTCGACTTCCGAGACTCGCAGCCTACTACGCGGAACCACGCCTTTGACCCGCCGGCTCGACACTCCGACGGCGCCACGGGCGAAATCCCCAATCAGAACTTCATGGTCAGCCGGGGGCCGGACCACCAGCGCTGTCGCTACTGCGCTCAAGTGTTTCAAGAACATCAATTTGCACAGCGAATTTTACATCAACGGGTAAGTGTCGTCGCGGCCACCGCCCCGTTGCCCTGGCCCCCCACCCTGCCTTGGCCACTCCACCTTACCATTACCTTGACCCCCCTACCTTACCATTACCTTGACCACCCAACCTTACCACTACCCCGACCACCCCACCTTACCATTACCTTGGCCACCCATGTAACCACGTTATCATTACCCTGACCTGGTGACTGGTTAATAGTTTTGTAGTAAGAACCCGATGTCGGTACAGACTTGCGTATTTTGCGCGTTGTCATTTCGTTCAACGTACGACAGTCTGGCGGTGGAGTTGGTTGCGGAGCATGAGGATGTGTGTGCGCAAAATCCGCGGAATATGTGCACTCACTGCGGACAAGGCTTCGGTGGGCCGGGAGGACGTGTGACGGTACAGGAGGTGAGATTGCAGTTGGAGAATCATAAGAATGTGTGTCAGTTAAAGCCGGAGAATCATGCGCAATGTCGGTTTTGTGGGCAAGTATTGTCGGCTAGTGTTGCAGGGCCGGCGATGGCCTTGTTAGAACAGCACATGGAGATCTGTGTGGAGAACCCGCGCAATTCCTGCCGGTTCTGTCACCAAAAGTTTAACGGACCTGCTTTTCCACCTGAGGCCACCCCGGTCGCCAGACGGCGGCGTCATGAGGCTGCTTGTCCCGTCCGACTAGCGAACCGGCAATACCACAAGATGCGGTCGATGCCAGCTGGAATGCCTGGCATGATGCCCGGTATGATGCCTGGCATGATGCCCGGAGCCTACTACTCGCATGGCGCCTTCTCCCAAACACCCGGGTCGCGGTTGAGGCCGAGCGACACAGTCATGCTCCCGGAAGACGCTACACGCATCATCCAAAATATCCAAAGCCAATTCAACGCCCTGAAACCAGACGAGCGCAGGGCCTTCCTCAGACGAATGCAGCTCGAGTGGCACCCAGACCGAGTCGCAATCAAACACCCTGAAAGCGAACATCTAGCCACAAATGTTTTTGTGGCTGTCCAGAAGCTGTGGAACGTCTATGTCAACATTTGACCACAAGGCCTATGGGACACCACGACCTGAAAGCGAGGGTACGCGATCCCACAAGCAGACCCGAGAGCGAGATCAATTAGAATAATTGACCAGTTCGGCAACTGGGGTTCCCAACTGGGAGTCCCACCTGAGGATATGCCAACTGTCTCAATTGAGATAGTCAGCCTGTCAAATTTTGCCTGGTTATTCGTTTAGCAGCTGCGCAAAAATTCGGTAATGTGTTTCGAGGCTTGTTGTGCGCTTTGCACTCAGTGCGCGGCCTGGTGCGCGTGTGAATGCTGCCAACTTTGCTGCACGGGCTTCCGCATGCTCGTTTCGAACTGCTGGAACCGGATGTGTGGTAAGAAACCGAAACCCAAACTTGAGGTCCAAGAGCAACCCAGCATAGAAGCCGTGTAGCCATGCTTCGTCGTGTTGTGAGCTACAGCGCGCTGTATCATGCATCGTGGAGTACTGCATCGCGATCTACGTAACGTTACATAAAGGCTGGACCGCCTGGCCGTCGGGACAAATAGCCGTCGGGACCGGATACTTCTTATATAGCTAGCTAGTGTATCCACCGCTTCAATGACACTAAGCCCATGACTTCAGGACAACGAAATCGAGCTAGTGGCCAATATCCCACCTGAGTAGGTGCCGGGCTGGGCTCGATACCAAGACAGTTGAGTTTTTGTCGAGAGCTACAACCCCCCGCTCCTTGTCGCAAGTCGTCTTGGCTGTCCACGGCCGTTGGGAAAGTGTTGGACGTCTTAGGGCACGGCGTGGGCGGGCGGGTGTCCTGATAACACATGTGAGCGGTGGAGCCGGGGCGAAGGTGAGAGCCATTGGGCCGGGTGGGATTAGAACGCAGGAGGTCGAGTTAGAAGACGGGTGAGAGGGGTCGGTTGAAGCCTCCCTTCCTGTTCATGTACTGTCGATATTTGCGTTTGGTTGTCTTGCGAACTCCGCCTTCGACGACGTCTTGGCCTTGGTGCGTCTTGCCCTTGCTGGAGTCGAAGGAGGCAAAGCCCATCATGCTGAGAAGCACCTCATCTTCGGCAGTGCGCGGCGCATCTTCGGCCGGCCGGTCTTCGTTGTCGCTGATGTCCATGCCTTCGCCGTCGTCGTCTTCGCTGTCGGGTGCGGGACGGGGTGCGGTGGAGGCCTCACGCTCCTTGAGCATTCGCTGCCAGGCCTCCGATGCCTGCACGTCCGGCGCCGTTTCTTCGGCTCCATCGGCCTCCTCACGCAACTTCTTCAGCATCCGCCGCCGGGCCGCGCGCGGGTCCTCCGTCTCGGACTCATCCGCCTCCGAAGAGTCGTCCTGCCGAGTCCTAGCCGGTGTCACGCGCCGCCAATACCCTGGACCTTGCTCGGACACACGTTTGTGCACACGCGTGTGCACCCGCCCGCCGTCCCCCGCTGCGCCGTCTGGGACTGTGGACGCAACGTTTTCGACTGTCTTGCGCGACCGCTCTTTTTCCTGCCCCCGACCGGTCGACTCGTACCTCCGCCCGTCCACGGCAGGCCGCCGAAACTCCTCGCGCCGAAAGTCTTCGCGACGAAGGTCCTCGCTACGAGGGTCGGCTGGGTTTCGTCTGCGAAGAGGCATGCTAGGGCGGTTTCGACCCACCCCTGGCTCCAAGCTACCCTCGCGAGATGTGTCCCTTTCTCGCGCGTTCTCTCGCGCGCTATCTCGAGTGTTGCCTCGAGTATTATCCCTCAAGTCAAACCGGGTCTCTCTGCGCTCCGCCTGTCGCTCGGCCTGCCGCGGGCCTTCTGCGGGGTTGTTTCGCGAATACGTTCCCGTTCCGTAAGGGCCGGTAGAGTACGCCTTGGCCGAGGAAGGTCCGGTTGCGTAGGAGGGGGTGTTCTTATCTGAGAACCTGCGGGCGCCTCCTTCCCGGTAGCGACTAGCGCCGTCCGCGGATTGCTCGCGGTAACTGCCCGCCGGACTCCGGCAGCCGTCTTGGAACCCATCCCGATACCGTCGGTAGTCACCCTCTCCACGCCTTAGTTCCTCTCGGCCATAATCCTGGGTCCATCCCTTGTCTCGGTCCGACCGGCCCCGGCCTGACCGATCTCGGTCGCCTGCCCCCCTTCGGCCGCCGGTCCTTATGTATTCTCGCTCGCTATCTCGGACATAGTCGTTGTTTCGTGGGGGCTCCCGGCCCTGTGTCTGGTCGGGTTCTGGTTTATTATTGGAAGAGGCAAGACTGGTGTCTCTAGAAGGTTTCTGTCGATAGTCCTGCCTATATATCCCAGGCCCCATTCATCCAAAAAATAAATCCAAATGAGGAAGCGAGGAGTGTCCGTAACCGAACTTCAAAGTCTGGTTCTCGGTTCAGCCTTCCGACTTGCAGGGATCATGCTAGCATTCATTTCCGGTAAGCCACATACACCCCCTCATGACTCATCCGTCCTGACTGGGGCGTCCAGACAGGGCCATTGTTAGATCACTTGTCTTTCAGCGGTCTACGGATGCATGGAGTTATTTGGCTTAATACCAGATATCTCTGAGAATGGAGATGTGCTCGCTCTCGACCTGGACCGCGCCCAGGAATTCAACAGCGCGCTGACTCCTGAAGATGTGAAAGAAGGCCCCGGCCTCCCTGCCGTATTCCCGATGTGATCTGTATTTGTTGGCCTACTCTGGCTTACTACTAAATCCCTGCCTGTCTTGATGAGTCTCACTCACTGTTAACGCATTTTATTTGTCGAACAACATAGCCAAGCCATTTGGACTCAGATGTTTCAGTTGATATGTTGTTGTAACATTATCCGACTTAATTCCACGAGCACAAACACACGTGTGCTGCGCATCAATTTTAATTCCGGCCTCTTTAGAATGAGTTATGGCTCTTAAAGCTTCAAGAATTTGACATGTTAACCGTTCCTGCATCTGCGGACGGCAAGCAAAAAACTGGGCCACACGAGGAATCTTTGACAACCCGATGACATATTTCCGGGGCTTATATCCAATCGTAATGGTTCCGGTAAATGGTAGTAAATGATGTTCGCACATTGAAGTAAATGGAATATCTCGAACTATCACAAAAGGATGGCCAGCACTTTTCCGCTTGGCGCTGTTCCCCTCAGCGCTGTTCCCCTCAGCGCTGTTCCCCTCAGCGCTGTTCCCCTCGGCGGTATTTTGCTCTAGATTTTCGTGTTCGACGCTTTTGTTTCCAACACTTTTGTTTTCAACACTTGTGTGTGCACTATCGAGTTTTCCATAACTACGCCGCCTAGTGTTAATACCAATGATAATTGGAAATTTACTGCATCTAGGGAACCTACCGTAGTCTAGTCCCGAAAAGAGTTCGAGGATGTATGCTTTGGCCACTCGTTTGGGAGTGCGCTGATACACTTCATCTCCTTTATTATATCCTAGGGTCTCCAGAACTTTCCTCAGGTGCCACTCGATGCGGCACAATCGGGAGCGCGTGGTGTGCAGCGGAGTGTGGCGCTTTCGGGTTGCATCTTCACTATCAGCAGATGTTGACGATTCCAGACCGATTCCATCATCAATGCCCGTCCTTTTCCGGGTACTGTGGTACAGAGTAGTTCCGAGTTTGATCCAGTCCGGGTACCGTACGCATGTGTGCTCCAATCCCCTTTCCAGCAACCTTCGTGCCACTTTGATAGCGCTTTTGTTCGTTTTGTTTGACTTCTTTCTGGCCATATCCAACCTTGAAAAAATCAGTTCAAAAATTCGTTTTAGATCATGATTACCCTGTCTGGAATACGGCCCCAACTACGTCCCCAACTACCAGCACAATTACGACCGCAGACATGGGCGTCGGTAAGAAGGCCGCTCTCCTTTAGCGTGTTCCGTTATGACCCTAAAGGGAATGAGGGCGCACACTTTGACAAGTATGAGATCAAGAAGCACGAATGTGGTCCAATGGTCCTGGACGCGCTTATTAAGATAAAGAATGAAGTTGTAAGCGTGCGCCGAGGGGGGCACCACCCGGGAGGGGGGGCACCACCCGGGAGGGGGGCACCCACCCGGGAGGGGGGCACCCACCCGGGAGGGGGACCAGATCGCATCGTTTCTGGGTCCGAAATGTGTGTATAACCGCAGGATCCGACGTTGGCTTTCCGAAGGTCTTGCCGCGAAGGAATTTGCGGTAGTTGCGCGATGAACATTAACGGCAAGAACGGATTGGCTTGCATTACTCCGATCGACAGTGGTGCGGAGGAGACGGTTCTTCGCCCATTGCCGCATTCGTTTGTGCAGAGAGACCTGGTACCTGACTTGACGAACTTTTACCAACAGTACGAGTCGGTTCAACCCTGGCTCCAAAGAGAGAGTGTGCCCAAAGAAGGCGAGGCGGAGTGCACGCAATCTATTGAGGACCGGAAGAAGCTAGATGGACAATATGAGTGCATCCTTTGCGCATGTTGTTCTACATCCTGTCCTTCCTACTGGTGGAATCCAGAAACGTTTCTGGGACCGCAAGCTTTGCTCGCCGCCCATCGATGGGTTACAGACAGTCGAGATGAAGCCACCGACGATCGCCTTAAACAACTCAATGATACCATGAAATTATATCGTTGCCATAATATCCAAAACTGCGCTGATGCATGTCCCAAGAATCTGAAACCTTCCATTGCAATTCAAAGATTAAAGGAAATGGTAGAAAAAAAGCTGCCTCAATAACGAGAACGATTTTATTCACTGACACTAAAATGCAAGGTTGTGATTCGGTTTGATTCCTGGGATACCCTTCCGTGATGACACCCTTGAGTGTACACCGGCCGGTTAAAAGATCTTCTCATGGGCGGTCTAGGTACATGGCCCCGGTTAAGGTACATGACCCCGGTTAAGGTACATGACCCCGGTTAAGGTACATGACCCCGGTTAAGGTACATGACCGGTGGTTTAGGTCGTCGGTCTAGATCTTTCCTTCTGGGTAGCTCAGTTCGTCGTACTCTCTGGTGATGACCCTGAATTGAGGCATAATCTCTTTCTCGAGAGAATTGAACGCAGATCTGGGCTTGCCGATTTTCATGGCTGTGACTTACGGAATTTCTGATGAGAGAGGACCCGAGGAGAAGCGAGTCAGCTGTGGTGGGAAAAATGACGGCAGCTCTAACTAATTAACTGGCAGAAGCTTGCTGTGACCGCGGTCCTGAGGCCAGCCGCGGTGTCTGTTCAGGGCTGGTGTGAACACCGCAAGTTCATCGAGGAGGAGCTTCCAGGTCTGACAGTGGACCACCAGGCCCATGACAAACGGGGCTCAAGTGTGGTGCTCAATCGTGTGTGATTGAAGTGGCTGGAGGGTGAATAAATAAAAAAAATCTGATGTTAGATGTGGAAGGAGAGTAAGGAGGAACAGTTGGCGCTGGTTGTAACTACAGGGGCTTCGTTGCCACCAAGCGACGGTTCGGACGCCGACTTGGATTATGCCTTAGTTGGCGGGTCGGGTTTGCACACGCGTTTGTTCAATATTGTTAGCCCGAGTCATCTGGGTACGGGTGCGGTGGCGGCGTTAGGGAATTTGGTGAAGGGCGTCGGTTTGGGGTTGCTTGTCTTGGTTGCCGCTCCAGTTGCAGGCGGCTTAACGGAAGGTGCGAAAGGCCTTGCGAAAGGGCTCGGGTTTGGGCTAGCGGGTGCGGTTGCGTTACCCATTGGAGGCGTGCTTGCTGCAATCCTCCAGCTTGTGCGCGGGGCCTTTAACACGGTGCAGGCAGTACGCCAGATCGGCAAGAAAACGGTTTACAACGGCCAGACAGGAGAGTGGGGACCCAAGTACCGCCGATTGTCGGAGGAATTTACCGACGCCAAAACGCGCTATGACGAATACCAGAAAGAGAAAGCCACCCGCAGGACTACTGGCTCCGGAGGGGGCAGACGGAGGCTGGGCAAGGTGGTCGACACGGAGTACTATGACGTTTTGGGTGTGGCCCCCGACGCCAGTCAGTCCGAGATTCGGAAAGCCTACTACAAGCTAGCCAAAGAAAATCACCCCGACAAACTACAACAGCAAGTCAAAAACGACCCCGAAGGCGTCGAAAAGGCCAAGGAACGATTCCAACATGTTGGAGAGGCCTATCAAGCCCTGGGCACCAAGGCTTCGCGCGAGGACTACGACCGCAATGGAAAACCGACTACAGAGAAAAAAGAGTTCTTTGACTACGTCTTATTCTTCGGCCTCCTGTTCGGTAGCGAAGCCCTGTTGCCGTATGTTGGGGAGTTGGCGCTAGCCAGCATTGCAGCGGGAATGAAAACCGACGGGTCGGGTTTCTCCTTCAAGGTTGACGACAGAGAGCAGAGCTTTCGGGAGCTGCAGCTCGCCATGAATTTGCGGGAGATGGTCGCGCCTGCAGTGGAGGCGCTGAAGGCAGCGGGCTACCACCATGACAACGGCGGGACTGACGTTGAGTGGAACACAGACTATGAGGAGTGGAAGCAGCGACAAGCGGTAATTGCGGCTGACTTGTGCAAGGAGTCGTTCAGTCGACAGCTCCTGCGGGCAGTCGGCTTCAGCTACGTCAACTACGCTTCCCAGTTTGTTGCAGAGCATGACAGCGTGCTGGGTTGGAAGACGTTGCTCGCTTCTTGCGACGTTCGATGGAATAACCTGCTCACCACGTGGCTGGCGGTGAAGGACGCCTCCTTCCTGCTCGTCAGCATGCGGAAGATAAAGAAAGTACGAAAGCAGAAGTTTTCCGAACCAAAAGACCACTCGGACGGAACGCCGGGTACTACGGAGCAGAACGAACTTCCTGATTCTAATGATCTGATGGCGCAAGAGGGCGAAATGATGGAAGGAATTTTGAAGCGCGGGGTGAATTTCATGCTCCAGCTCTGCATTCACGATGTTCGTCGTACTGTCCGGCGAGCCTCATACAAATATGTCAATGATCAAACGGCACCTTTTGAAGAGCAGTGTCTTCGTGCCAAAGCACTTGCGGATTTGGGGCAAATTTTCACAACAGCTGCAAACGCGGGTGAAGATGTTCTCGTCGATATTAAGAGCCACATACAGGACGCCTACATCAAGACGGCTCACCGTATGGATGAAAGAGAGCACGGACCTTCTGCAGAGCTAGTCTAGAACAAAGCGGGCTTGGCTTACCATAAGGGCAATGTTTTTCCTAGACCCTCCAATTTAAACAGCTCCGGCCGTCGAAACACCGACCGAAAGAGCAACAGCATGGAGCGTGTGTGCGTGCTATGGTATTACCTTTTCAAAAAATAACAAATTGCTGAGATGCCTGAAGCCAGAGAAGCCGATTATGGCATTGTCGACCAAGTATCCGGACCTCGTAAGCAGATCTGGACGGGCACTTTGGTGCCCTGATCCATGAGGCAAACATCCGCCGACTATGACCTGATGTCTACCTGCACGCAAGCTTGGGGCTGAATTCAACACTGAGGAGCGAGATCTTCTTTTAGTGGTTATTGCCAAGAACATGAGCGGCACAAAGATGTATGAACTGGTCCGTGTCGGTTGGTACGAGCTGGTGGGAGAAATTATTAGGCTTGATGAGGATGGAGCTTACATTCAGGTGTACGAGGATACTGGTGAGAAAAACACGATGTATTGGGATGACGTGTTTGAAGTCGACCACACACGAGTTTGATGGCGGTTGAACACATGGTTGTGTTTGTAGCTGGGTTGTCTGTGGGTGATCCGGTGCGCAAGACTGGCAAGCCGTTGTCGGTGGAATTGGGGCCTGGAGTATTGGAGACGATTTTTGACGGTATCCAGCGTCCGTTGTACCGCATTGCAGATGAGTCGGGTTCTGTATTTATTCCGCGTGGTGTGGATTCTTCATCGTTGGATCGAAAGAAGAGTTATGAGTGGAAGGCGAGCACGAGTGTGAAGATTGGCGACATTGTCACGGGTGGCGATATCGTGGGTGTAGTCTTCGAGAATTTCTTGTTCAAGGAGCACAGAGTGATGGTGCCTCCGAAGATGCAGGGCCGGATTACGTGGCTGGCTCCGGGGGGAAACTATAACGTGACGGAGACTTTGTGTAAGCTAGACTTCCAGGGTCAGACTTTGGAGATTGCCATGTCTCACTTCTGGCCGGTGCGTGAGCCGCGGCCTGTGCACGAGAAATTGGCTGGCAACTCTTTGTTGTTGACGGGCCAACGTGTACTGGACTGTCTGTTCCCGTCGGTGCAAGGCGGCACCTGCGCCATCCCAGGCGCATTCGGAGCCGGCAAGACTTGTATTTCGCAGGCGCTCTCTAAGTATTCCAACTCGGAGGTCGTGGTGTACGTGGGTTGTGGCGAACGTGGTAACGAAATGGCTGAGGTGCTTGTGGAATTCCCGGAGCTGACTACCTACGTGGACGGCAAGGAAGTGGGTATCATGAAACGGACGTGTTTGGTGGCCAACACGTCCAACATGCCTGTGGCCGCCCGTGAAGCCAGTATTTACACCGGAATCACGCTCAGTGAGTACTTTAGAGATATGGGTTACAACGTCGCTATGATGGCTGACTCCACATCTCGTTGGGCAGAGGCACTCAGAGAAATTTCTGGTCGTCTCGCAGAAATGCCTGCTGATTCCGGCTACCCTGCGTACCTGGCTGGCAAATTGGCCAGCTTCTATGAACGCGCAGGCCGTGTGAAGTGTCTCGGGTCCCCCGACCGCGAGGGAACCATTTCCATCGTCGGTGCTGTGTCTCCTCCTGGCGGTGACTTCTCGGATCCTGTCACGGTCGCTACCATGTCCATTGTCCAGGTTTTCTGGGGACTGGATAAGAAACTAGCGCAGCGCAAGCACTTCCCCTCGGTCAATTGGAACACCTCCTACTCAAACTGCAAGCGCTCTTTAGACCCATATTTCGATAAGTATGACAGCGAATTCGGAAACCTTCGGCAAAAAATGGCGGAGATCCTCCAGTCCGAACAAGAGCTGCAGGATATCGTACAGTTGGTGGGCAAGGACTCTCTCAGCGAGGACCAAAAACTGATCATGGAAGTTGCCAAGATCATTCGCGAGGACTTCCTCCAACAGAACGCCTTTACTGACTACGACTTCATGTGCCCACTCATCAAAACTACAGGAATGATGCGCATAATCTGCCTCTTCTACGACCAAGCGAACAGAGTTATCCAGGAATCAAGCAGAGAGCAAAATAAGATCACCTGGGGCCTCATCAGAAACTCCATGAGGGAAACCATAACCAAGATCACGTCTATGAAATTCGCTAAACCCAGACAACAAGACTCCGCATTCCAAGAGTATTTCAAATCACTCGAAGAAGAGATCGTGCATCAATTCAGAGTCATCACTGAATGAGTAATGCATGACCTGGCTGGCTCTTTATCGATTTTGATATCTATTGAACGACGATTTTTTCAGAACACACATGTGCCATAATACATAAAAGGGTCTGCTATGAATTCTAATGCGTCAAATGCAACACACCAGTGCTCAGAACCAGATGTTGATTGCTGTTTCCCAATTACGTTCTTGCCTTATTTTAAGCGGGGTCTTCAACCCCCGTTCAACCCTCGTACCTTACTTGGCCGTGCCGCAGGTGTTACTTCGCCACACTGTTAACATTTCGTTCTTGAGACCCATCAGCGATCGCTGAACCGACGTGGTGGTGCGTGTCATGATACTTCCTCCACCTTCGGTACTGACTCGACTCTAAGGCACATTCAAGTTCTCTCATCACGTCTTCTACTATCAGCAGTGGATCAACAATAGGTCCTGCCAGCAATCCAGAGAAGTCACTTCCCCCCTTTCGTTGTATCTACGGCCTCGGCCCTGTTGTGGGCATACCTGTCGTTCAAGCTCCTCCAGGCACCTGGGTAGGGCCGTCCGTCACCGCCCCTTCGCCAGAGCGGGGCGGGGTGTATCGCCTATAAGTACTACCACATTGTCAATCACACTGTTGGTAATCATATTGTTGGGTCCGGTGAGTTGTCCATTATGAGTTGAGATGAGTTGAGAGACCGGAGCATCGCTATTGCCTGGGGCTTTGCGTTTGTGGTTACCAGTCGTGGGAGTGAGTTTTGCATAAAAATAAATTTCTCTTGAGGTCGTTATGCCCTTGTGACACTTCGAACAGTCAGTCCGTCGGGTTGGTTTTGGGTCGGCCGCAAACTAGCAATGAGTAATGTCCCAGGCGTCATAAACCTGGAGATCAAAAGGGTCGTGCGCGTCCAAGACGTCTACAAAGGCAAGGTAAAATTTCCCTGCAGGACCTCTGTCGTATCCTCAAGGTTGAGTACTTCGTTGTTTTACGACTCCTGTGCCATGAAACATTGCACTGGAAGCATGGTTTACTCGCTCGAAAAATGCTCTTTTAAAATCATCGTCTGCCGCTTAAAAAGATACTCGCCACCTAACACAGGCACGGGGTCTGTTCATGCTCACAATGCCAGCTCACAATGCCAGCTCACAATGCCAGGAGGTTTTGCCCAAAATACAACAGGCACAATTGTGTCGGATGAAAACAAATTCCATCCATACCCTACCGAACATTGACGTGATATTGTCACAGACGTTATTGCTCCAGCGCATCTGGCTCGCTACATAACTATGGATCAGATTCGTTGGTTTAGTCGCTGAAATTAGGTGTTGGATTCCGGAGAAGATTGGTTTTGTCGTTCGTCCATTTTTTGTGCCATTTTGATGTATGCTTCTTGCATGTAGTCTCGGGCGTCCAGATCGGTGTTTTTACCTCCTGTTTCTTTGTAAGGTTTGGAGGCGGTTTTGAAAATGTCTCCGAGATGTTTCAAAGCGAAGGCGCGTAAGCGTTGTTCTTCGTACGGGACGGAGCGATCGTTGACGTACTTTTGTGCAGCGACTCGGACTGTGTTGAGGACATCATGGATGCAGAGCTGGAGCATAAGGTTCAAAACGTGCTTCAGACTCTGTTCCATGAGCTCCATTTCTTCCTGGGTCATGCCTTGAGTTGCGTCAGTGCTGTTTTCGGGAGCGCTCCCGGTAGCTGCTCCGGCGTTGGAGGGACTGCTGGTGGATTCAGTCGCCGCTGCATCTTCCGCTTTTTGTTTCTTCTGGACCTTCTGGACCTTTTTGTTCAAGTCGTTTGCGGACTTAACGGCCTTCAGGGCTGAGAACACGGTCTCTGCCTTCCGCTTTTGTTTCTGAAGCTTGGTCTTGGCGGTGCCCATTTGCATAAAGGTGTCCTTCTTGGCGATGAAGTGGGCGCCATAGTTTTCATATGTAAACCCGACGGCGTCCACCATTTGCCATCCGAAGGACTCCTTGCACAACTCGTCCGCAATCTTCATCTGCGCGTCTCTCCACTTCCCGAAGTCCTCATTGCGCCCCAGCTTAATCGCCTCGACCGCAGGCGCCAACATCGAGCGCAAGTTCACGGCCAGCTGCAGCTCCCTGAAACTCTGCTCGCGGTCGTCCACCTTCAGGTTCAAATCCACGCGGTCGCTTTCTTCCCCGTTGGCCACCATGCTCCCCAGCGCCAAGTTGCCCACGTACGGGGTCATGGCTTCGCTGCCAAACAGCAAACCGAAGAACAGCGAGTGGTCAATAAACTCCATGTTCTCAGTCGCCTGTTTGCCGTGGCGGTCGTACTGCTCGCGTGACGCCTCGGTGCCGAGGACCTGGTAGGCCTCTCCAATTTGCTGGAAGCGCTCATTGGCTTGCTTCACGCCTTCGGGGTCGTTCTTCACTTGCTGTTGAAGCTTGTCAGGATGGTTTTCTTTTGCCAGCTTGTAGTAGGCTTTCCGAATCTCCGACTGACTGGCGTTGGGAGCCACACCCAGAATGTCGTAGTACTCCGTGTCCACTACGCTGCCCGCTCCGTCCGTCTGCGGCGTCCCGGCTCCCCCAGAACCGGCGGCCTTGCGGGCAGCTTTCTCCGCCTGGTACTCGTCGTAACGCGTCTTGGCTTCGGCAAAGTCCTCAGACAACTTGCGGTATTTGGGCTCCCATTTCTCCGTCTTGTCGTTGTAGACCGTGCCCTTCCCGATCTCCTGCACGGCCTGCACCGTGTTGACTGCACCGCCGCCCAGCTGGCCCACCCCCGTGACCACACCGGCCACCGGGAGCGCCACGACGGCCGCTACACCCACGCCGAACCCTTTCAAGACTCCCTTAGCCCCCTCGTTGTAACCTCCCACCACGGGCGCCGCCATGAGAGTGCCCACACCCAGCCCCACGCCCTTCAGCACGTTCCCGGTCGCCGAGACAATGCCCGTACCCAGGTGACTAGGCTTCTTGGTGTTGAATATTAGACCGAACCCGCTGTCGTCCTTTTCCTTATCCGCCTTCGCCAACAAGGATGGGTCCGTGGCCTTGTTCGCAGGCTCCTCAATCAGTGCCAACTGTCGCTCAGCTGACATTTCTATTTTCCGCTCTTAATTTTTACCTCCGACCATGGGCGCCCAGATGTCCTTATTCAATCTACACGACGGCTACGCCGAAGCCTCCGTCCGCGGCAATCGATCTGCCCTACTCACTCCAGAGGACTACAGAAAGCTCACTCTCTGCGAAACTCTAGAAGGTAGACCCTCCCCCCCGCACCTTATTCGCTGCCGCCCCTGAGGCTGCCTTCCCTCCCGAATCCCACCCGAGATCTACGCCTACCAAAGATCTACGCCTACCAAAGATCTACGACGACTGAAGGTCTACGACGACTGAAGGTTTGCGGTTCTCGAGCAGCCGTACTCTCGAGCTACCGCCTGAGAGAGCATCTGTACCACTGTCTCGCGCACATGGACTCCGGAGCAACCGCTTGAGAGAGCATCTGTACCACTGTCTCGAGCGCATGTACTTCCTCGAGTGCATGTACTCTCTCGAGCAGCTCTACCGCTGTACAAGAGGCCTCCTTGGTCGAACATTACTCTCTATCTGAACAGCAAACATCAAGGTGAACATTAATCGCACATAAAGCTCGTCTGGGTTTGGAATAGGCTTTACCTACAGCCGCTTATCTCGCTACTGAAACCTCCTTGGCCGGTTGGCGTTCTTATTTACTCCCGCCGTTACCTTGTTTGCTTCGTTTTTGTTTTGGTCGGTTGGCTACTCTGGGCTCTTATAGCTCTGGGTTGGTTGGGAACGCGTGCACGAATATGTCTGCGTGTCTTAGATTTGAGAAGTGCGTTGGAGGACACGGACTACGCCGGCTTTATGCAGGACGAGCCGCTGCCTATCACGGTTACGGCCATCAGTGCGCGGTTGCGGGAGAAGATGGCTGATGAATTCCGAGTGTTGCAGTCTCTGGCGGACCAGCCTCTGAGACAGTTCCTTGAGTTCATTGTGTAATCTAACACAAATTAAATGCACTGGGTAGGAAAGAGGTTGGTTGGGGTTGCAGCGCGCACACGTGTGTGTCTTTGAGATAAAAGGTTGTACCTTTAGTGCGGAACGAATGATTGACAACGTCGTGACCCTGATCCAAGGAGCTATGAATGGAAAGAGTCAAGAGGAGTTGATGGCTAAGGCTGACCCGTTGGGCTGGACACCAGAGATGAAAGCATTGCTGGCGATTGACGCCACCAACGGTTACGAAGACATGTATCGTACGGTGTTGGTTGAGACGCCAGTAGGCGGTTACTTTGAGGACTACTTGGACAAGAAGCAGGAGAGTGGCGACCAGGAGAATCTCAGTGAGTTAGATCTGGAGATAATGCGTGCTAGTTTAAAGAAGAGTTGGTTAGAGGATTTCTTTAGTTTCTGTAACCAGTTACCTTGGACTACTCAGGAGATTATGGCGGACATTCTGAACAGGCAAGCAGATTTCTTGTGTCTGTCAGTCACACTAAACTCACTTAATTCGCCCATGGGTGGGCAGACCAAGTTGTCCGATCGCAACGCGCTCTTCCCACACTTCGGCTACCTTTATCCTGCCGCCACCGAGGCTCTTCGAAAGGCCACTAACGAACAGACTATCCGTGCCGCCATCGACACCTTCCCGCAATACCTCGAGGTCTTTGAGCAGTGCCGAGGCTACTACATTAGAAATACCGACCAGGAACAAGTAAACGAAAACCAGTTCAGTCTTGAAGACGCTCTTTACAGACAAGAACTTACCATGTACGAAATGGCATTCGAACAACAAATGCACTATGGCGTCTTCTACTCATGGGTCAAGCTTAAGGAACAAGAAATCCGCAACATACTCTGGGTTGCCGACATGATCCTTATGAATAGAAGAGACACCTGCATGGATATGGTGCTGCCCATCTTTGCACCCAGAATCTAAAACGCCAGTCTAACCATTCCTAACTGAACAACATACCCAACAAACGGACCCAGTATATCTACTGATGTCTAAGCTATTTAGACCCCTGTGCTATTAAACAAGCGCTGGTATAAATACCGTTCCGTGTAATTTGACTGATGTCGCCTGCGGACGGCAAACAGCGACGGCAAACAGCGCTCGTCAGTCAGCCGGCAGTTGTTGTTGACTACTGGTGCGCATCTGTTCATCTTGGAACCTGCCACCTGATTCCACTAATCCCTAGCTTCATCATTTTACTAGTCCCAAATAGTCTCTAGTTTTTATAGTCAGTCCCCAACACCCTCTTAAAACTTTATTTTGTCTTATGCATGCATGTGCTTGGAACACACACTCGTGTTTGTTTGGAACACACACTCGTGTTTGTTTGGAACACACACTCGTGTTCGTTCTGGAAGTTTTTTATCTATTTGGTCTGACGACATATGTTTTGGACGAAATTAAAGTTTTCAGCAACGCACTCTAGAACACTGAGAAGAGCCTCCATAAGCTGGCATTTCAGCAACTGTTCTTTCCCTTGTCTCATCGACATGAGTGTACCGAGTGCTCTCCTGCATTCTCGATTAGTAACAAAAGGATAGGTACGCAACCGGATCCAGAGCTCAACCGAGTCCAAGATACTTGCATCCATCCGGACCATCTCTATTGCACTTCTCACGTTCATCATATTGATCGGTCGCGACAAATCACTCATCATAGTGTTCAACTAAAAAGATTACCACATACATTTTCTACCATACTGCCTTGTTAGTGCCATACCCTGTCCGTGCCCGTGAACCGATCCCGATAATCTCCCGTACTTACAAGCCGCATTATAGCTTTGTGTCGGTGGTCGTATGCGAGTAAAGGCGAATCTTTATACTTCTCCAGAAGCTTCACCGCAGTCTTATACTCAGGGATGTAACCGTGTCGACAATTCCGATTTTCCAAGTTCCTGGAGCACTCTTGGAACTCACTAGGCCCCTGGTTGTTAATGAATAGACTGCTGTTAAGCGGCGAGCTAATTGGCGATATGACAACACTCCCAGACGACGCATCGTCCGAGGCCTCCCGAACACTGACCCGGTTGGAACCTGCCTGGTCCTCATCGGTCGTCGCAGGCGGTGCCTCCCCGCCATATGTCGTCCCACTTTGCGCGAACTTGCGCTGCACATAAGTCGATTGTGTCGCGCAGTCCGCGAACTGGTGCTTCAGTGATACTGGCCGCGACCACATCCGGTCCTCCTCCTCTAACGGCCCTCCTCCTTCCGTCCTTCCTCCTTCCGTCCTTCCTCCTTCCGTCCTTCCTCCTTCCGTCCTTCCTCCTCCTGTTCGTCCTCCTCCTCTCCTTCCTCCTTGCGGTCCTCCTACCACCCCCGGCGTCCCGGTGGCCGTTTCCAGCTCCGTTTTCAAGTCCGTTTTCAAGTCCGTTTTCAGCTTCTCCGTCCAGTCCTCCTTTAGCTCCCCACCCAGGCCCAGACTTGTCCGGTCCAGACACGTCCGGTCCAGGCGCTGTCTCAGCGCGGTCGTCAAGGCATTGTTTCGCTCGTCGACTGAGCCGCCAACTTGCGCCACCGCCTCCTCGCCCGTGTCGTCCCCAGTCAGCTCCACGCCCGATGAGTCCAGAGCGAACAGGCACTCTCCCTGCACACTCGCCCGCGGCGGCGTTCCATCTTCCGACCCTTCAACAGGCATTTCGTGACCCGACGAGAGTTCCGCTTCAGAAGGAACTTTTGCTTGGGAAAGGACCTCATGAGCAGAAGAGAGTTCTGCTCGGGAAAGGACTTCCACTCCATGAAGGGCCTCCGGTATAGAGGAAACTCGATCTCTGGAAGTACTCCGTTCTCTGGAAGACACTTGAGTTGTGTCGGGTCTCGACAACTGGGCCGGGAGGAGCGAGTCCGCGTTCCAGACCGTGAAGGTACGTCCGGCCAGCGCCGAGCGCGACGGTTCGGCCGTGTACGTCCGGTGTTCGTCCGGTAGTGAACGGTCCAGCGCGTCGGGACTGCCTCCGTGGCATAGTGTCATTGTGTCGCCTCGGGCGTACAACTTCGGGTCGAAAGCGAAGGTTAGGGAACTCCGATCGGTGAAGGGCCGGCTCGTAGAAATCGACTGCTGACAGTCAGTTGCAGGCTTCGCCAACGCTGCCGAGCTCCGAAGCATGCCTTCAGATGCACTAGATAAACCGCGGCCTCGACATTCAGAAAAACGCTTTTCGCCCATCCGCTCATTGGACCCATGCGTTCGGTCTATCGGCTCTGAGTCTCTTGGATCTTGCTCTCTCGGCTCTTGGTCTCGCTCTCTTGGCTTTTGGTCTCTCGGCTCTTGGTCTGCGGACAGGTTGGCAGAATAAGACGGCGGTCCGACGGCAGCAGAACGAAATGAGAGATCTCCTACGACCACGGACGGGGTGTGAGTCGAGCCAGTTGCAAGGAGCGTCGCGGGTGAGCCGGCGTCTGCAGTCGATGCCGCGTCGCTCCGAGTCGCAATTCTCGCTTCTGCTTCGGGGGCTTCGGAATCTCGGGTTTCGAAGACGCGGGCTTCGGAACCGCGGCCCGGAACGTCTATTTGTTTGGTCATGATGTGCGTAATCGGTCGGTCTGCTAGCTCGCTGTCGGCATCGGAGGTTTCCTTGGCGGCGTTTTCGGAAGCGAAGTCGGAGCCGAACGGGTTGCGCGGGTTATGCGAGGAGACACCGGACTTATCGTCTGGCGCGTCCACCGTCCACGTGCTCGACGTGTCCAGCGTGTCCGAGCTGAGGGGACGCGGCTTCCGCGTCCCAGAGTCGCCCGTGTTCTCCGAGTTGCTGCGCCGGCCGCGCTGCGACCCGCGCGCGGAACTGGCCCGCCGCAACGCGATGCCCGGCGTCTCGCCCGCGCGCCCAGACGCGCCACTGCTCGGGCCCCCGCGGCCAGTCTTGCCACTCAACTTACTGCTCAACTTACTGCTCAACTTACTGCCGATCTTACTTCCCATCTTGCTGCTCAACTTACTTTCCATGTTGCTGCCCAGCTGGACGTCCACCCCCCGGTCACTCTGGCGCCGCTCGCTCGGGTGGCGTGCATTTGCGCGTAATCGCGCGCGCACACGCGCGCGAAAATTCGCGCGCGCCGCCGCTCGGTTCAGCGAACCGTTCGCGTTGGCCCGGTAAAGCGAACCGTTGTTGCGACCCGCCCGGTCCAGCGTCAGGAGGCCGTCGGGCGGCCTGCTGCGCGAGGCCGCGCCTGGCGGCAGCGAGCAGGACCGTTCAGAGGACGAGGCGCCGCCTTCTCGCTCCTCTTTCTCATCCTCGGTCCCCTCCGCGTGGCGCGCGGCGCCTTCGCTGCCGTCCGTGAGTGGCTCCGAGGGGTACCAGCCGGACTCGTCAGTGAGGTCGTCTCCATCGGAGCTGGCGGAAGAGAGTTCTGCGCCGGTGAAGGGGTGGCTGCTATCGAGGTTGGAGCCCGAAGTGCGACTCCCGGCCGGCGGACGCGCAACCGCCACCAAAGCGCTCGGGCGGTCGTCCGTGAGCGGCGCCTCGGCGTCGCCCGGTGGTCGCCTGCTCGGCAGCGGCAGCGTGAGTGTCTGTGCACGCGTTACGGGCTTTTTCGCCTGGTTTTCGAGCGAGGGCGCGCGCGCTCGTTCGGGTGCGCGGCGGAGCGAGGGCGCCCGGCGAAGGGTCAGAGAGGGCCGTCGCGGTGGTGACTCCCCGGGGCGGTAGGGGAGCGTGGCTGAGTCATCGCGGCGCCAGGAGTAGCGGCGGCTGGAGTTTTGTGTCAGGAGGTAGTCGTCTTGTTCGTCCCAGAACCAGCCGGTTTGGGGTGCTTCGTCACGTTCCTGTATGCAGGACATGGGTGAGACGGCGGACTCGTCGAACTGGTCTCGCGGAATGACGCTGAGGAGGCGGCTGCGCGGGAGGACGCGCGTCTTGACCTCGGCGTCGGCGAGCAAGTGGGCGGCGCTGTGCCCGGTAGCGAGGACGGCGCCCTCGTTGCTCACGGTCTGCATACTGAGCACGCCCCCCATGGAGATGTAGGACACGGCGTGTCCGTCGCCGGAGCAGGCGCCCGAGCCTTCGCTGAGGCCATCTTCTTCTGCGCCGCCGCGGCGGGCGAGCAGCGGGAAGGTCGCGGCCGAGACGGTTTTGGGGAGTTCTCGAGGCCGGTCTGGGCGGGACTGTTCTGCACCATCATAAATAAGTTGGTGGAGTTTGAGGAGGGAGTGTGCACAGATGAAGAGGAAGACATTGCTGCGGAGTTTGTAGGAGACAAAGGGCTTGAACACGGGCAGTGCCGGACAGTGTTTGAGGCTGATGTAGAAGGGTGCTTCATGCCTGAGATAATTGAAGAGCAGGAGCGTGCTGAGATCTTTGGGAAGGTCGGTGAGTGGGCCGAAGCGGCAGCCGAGGATTACGAGAGTGCGCGTAGCAGGTTCCCAACTGCCCTTGACGTCTACGGTGAGTCCGACGAGGTTGCGGACGACGTTGAGGTTGTGGAAGTGCTCGGGCTTGATCGTTTGGAGCTTCTTGAGGAGGAAGCGGCGGCCGTTGGGGAACCGTGATACCATACCCCAGCCCGTGCGCGTGGGTCGTAACAACGCGCCAAGGTTCGGACGGCGGCTTTCGCTTGCACGCACGCGGATACTACCGCGCTCAAGCAGCGTCCAGAGCCGGCGAAAATAGCTACCCACCTCCCGGGGGGAGATGTCGCCTTGCAGCACGGCCTGGCGGCTCTTGCGTCTGGCCCAGCGTTGCGTGAATCCGTCGATCGAGAGGTAACGCTTGGTCAAGAAATTGAGTCCCGCTAGGAAAACACGCCGACCAACGACTTGCAACACCACGTTGTACGGCAAACTCTTCACAACTAGTAACTCCAGCCTCGGCGTCAAATCCGACTGACTCTCCTCGCTGCGGAACCAACTGCCCTCTGCCTCCTCGCCCACACATGACCTGATCGCCGGAGACGTCCCACGCAACCCCCCCTCGCACTGCGCAAACCGAGTATGCGAACCCAAACGGTGGCTAGCACTCGAAGAGTCCACTCTCTGCCGAGAATCAAGTTGGCGGGAGTCCAACTGACGCGAGTCCAGTTGGCGGGAGTCTAGTCTCTGCCGGCCGTCGGTTCTCTGGGGGCCGTCGGCTCTCTGGCGGGCATCGTTTCCCGGGCGGTCGTCCGTTCCCAGTCGGTCGGAGGGCAGGGGTGCGAAGTGGTCGAGTTCCATGGAGGAGACTTCCGCTTTCTGCTCGTCTGGCGCGTGCGTGTTTTGTTTGCGGGCGCTGAGGATCTCGCGCACAGTGACGGTGCAGAAGACCGGGAGTTGCTGGACCTCGCCGAACTCGTCAAGCCAGACAGGCGGGCCGATGACGGAGTTCATGTCGAGGCCAAGTGCGATTTTGAGTTCAGTGTCGGGGCTCATCTCCGAGATTTCCAGGCCTGCGGGAGGAAGTACGCAGCCGCTGGCTAGCCATTGGAAGGATTCGGAGGTCAGATTAGGCGAGTTGAAGGCGAGTTTGCCCAGCCCACTGTTCACGCTGAACGGCTCCGCCTTGTGCGCACTGCCGTTACTGAGCAAGAAGTTCCACGTCAATAAAACCGCTTGCGCCTCCGACCACATCTCCCTCGTGGAGCCCGACACTTGCTCGTCGAAGAGTTTGGTGAACCGCGTCATCAAATCCGGATTGATGAAAATGGGGTACGCGTAACATGGCAAGTCGAATGAGACCGCCTTCACACCAGCACTGAACGGTCCCGACGCGCCAGTTCCCAGGCCTTCCCCCGCCGTCCGGAGCCGCTCGGGAGCGAAGCGTTCGGGGGCGAAGCGTTCAGCGCCGTAGCGATGGGGCGGGCCGCGGGGCTCGGCCGGAGCGCCGGGAGGCGGGAGCAACGTTCGACCGCCAATGTACGGCCCGTAGCCGGGTCCGCTGGCGCTGGAGCCGCTGGCTGCGGCGGCGGAGGAGGCGGTGAGGCTGGCGGTGCTGATGGCCTGGAGACCCGGGGCCGGGAGGCCTGGGTCAAAACCGCTGTCGCCTAGACCGCTGTGAGAAAGGCTGCCATCACAGACAATACGAACGAACGGCAGCTTGGACAGGAAGGGCGAGGGGGTGATGATGCTGGAACCGGCAGCCTGTGCGGAGGAACCGCGGGCCCAGGGAATGCGGTATTTCCCTTCCAACGTGTCGGGGTGGGAGTGGCCGTCTTCGCTGTCCGGTGTCGGTTCGCCCAGGCGGGTGCCGGGCTCAAACCGCTCGGCTGGACTTTGGCGCAATTCGGTGCCAGGCGGCTCAGGCACACTGGAGCGACCCAGGAGCGTGCTGGATCGCGTGGCTGCGGGGCCGGCCATGCTGTCGTGCCGGCCGTCGAGACGGGCACTTTCGTAGCGCCCGCTTTCCTGGCGGCCGCTGCCGTAGCGCCCGTCCTTGGAGCCGTTCTTGGAGGGGATGCGTCGCTTGGGGCGTTTGAAGCGCGTCTCGACGGTGGTGACGGCGGAGTGTGTGTTCTCGTCGTTGGGGTTTTTTTGCTGGTTGGGCCCAGTATGTTTGGTATCGAAGAAGATGGCGTAGCGGTCGAGGGGTTCATAGGCATTGTCTTGTGTGTACTGCGTGTCAAGAAGACAAAGCTGGACTTGCCAGGCCGCGGTGTTCCAGCAAAGCACGCCGGGGGCGTTGCTTGGCGTTTGGCAGCGGAAGCCGGAGAGGTACATGGGACAGTTGTCGTCGTAGATGGATTCGGCGAATGCCTCGGCGCTGGGCATGCACCAGAACTCTGGCAGGAGGGCGATCCAGGGCCGAATGACGGGGGGTGCGAGGTTCCAGATTTCTTCCATGGACTTGTAGTCCTTGATGAGGACCTTGCCCATGACGATTTCGACGACCAAGGCCTGGATGCAGTGCGCCTTGAGTTGCGAGGCGACGTAAAAGAGACCGACGTCGTTGACAAAGTTGATGGAGTTGCCTTTCCCCATCAGATTCCGGACACGTTCGAGCAAGCTGAGCAGCGTGAGGACCCAGTCGTAGCTGAAGCTGTTGAAGAAGACCGCGTTGTCTGCGGCGCGTGAGATGGTCGTGGTGGAGGCGACATGGTCTACGGTCTGCAGCGCGATGCGCAGGTCGCTCGTCGCCATCAGGATCCGGCGCACGATGCTGAAGTGATACGGGTTTGTAAATGGCGACAGAGAGCTCAACAACTCCCCCAAGGAGGCGGGTGCTAGTTGATCTGCACAGGATGCGATGTCCATCAACGCCGTGTCCAAGACCTGCATCAACAACGTGAAGTGCGCTTTGAACGCCGGCGGCGCGTTAAGGATGGGGCACAGGTATGGCGATGCAAGAGCCAAGCTGCCTTTGCGCACCGAAGGGATCACGGCGCCGCTGATCAAGTTGGTCATTTCCGCGATGATACGCACACGCACTTGACGCCGTAGAGCATCCTGCGGGTCGCCGTCGCATGTCATACGAATGATGCAGCGCACCAGGAGCTGCGCAATCCGGGCGCGAACCGAACAGCAGGAGTAGCTGAACCAAAAGTCGGGAAGTAAATAAAGAACAAACCTATAGCCGGATAAAGGCAAACTCGATATAGAAGGTACCTCGTATAGAATGTGACTCAACACTGTCACGATTGCCAGCAACGAATCGCCTTGAATCTCATCAAATGTCATAGTCTCAACTTTTTCGCAAATCTCCTCAACGGAACGCGGAATTGTCGCTGAGGATAAGCTCCACTGATGCCCAGAAATGTACTGCCTATGTCTCGTTAAGTGGAACGTACTGAAAAATTCATCAATCCAATCCCTTCTTCTCATTCTATTCGTTGGACACGCGTGTGCGCATGGACAAATTCGGTGGCCACCCGCCCCGTAAATGCCCGTAATGCCTCCGTAACGGGTGCCACCGAGACTGACGATGCTACACTCGCGGCCTCCCATCTTGCTGTTCGCTCGCTCCGGCGAAAAGTAGCGCATGTCGTCATAAAGCGCCTCGCTCATCAAACTACTTCCGAGATTGGCCCTAACGCCGGCAAAGGCTCGGCTTTCGGCCATCAGCTGCTCGTCGCCCAGGAACCTGCCGCCAAGCAGAGACCCCGGAGGGCCGTTGCCACCCATAGCGGGTCTTCCCTTGCTCCACTGTATCGTCTTATTCCACTGCATCGTCTTCTTCCACTGCGACGCCTTGTTCCACTGCGTCGCCTTGTTACACTGTGTCGCCTTGTTACACTGTGTCTCGGTGGGGCTTGCGGGACCAGCAGCGCTGCGGAACACGGGCTCCTCTGAGTTTTTTTCTCTCTTGAACCAGGAGAGGATTTTGGTGACAACCAACGGGGCGGTGCCGTCCGAGGTAGCGGGTTCGAAGCCGCTGCTTGGCTCGATACTGCTGCCGGGAGGACGGAGGCTGCTGCCGGGAGCGCGCAGGCCGCCGCCCGCACGGCCGCCTCCGGCTTGGAATCGCAGTTGGTGAACGGCTTCGAAGATGGCTTGTGTCACGGTGCGTCTGGGTTTCTCGTAGAGGGGCATGTGAGCTGCGGCCGTTCCGCTGGCTGGCGTGTTTTGGTCTTCGTCATCTGAGGTAGAGAGCACGGCGGAGTAGTAGTCGACGCCGGACCAGGAAACGGAAGTTTCGGAATAGATGTCGGCCTCGTTAGGAACGACACCGGGCAGGACGTCTTTGGCGGCGTCGACCATGGTGACAGCAAGCCCGCGGTGCGCAGCAATGTTGCGTAAACGCGCGATGTCGGTGTCGACCGACGTCAAATAATATCCCAACGTGTTGATGGGGAACGCCTCGTCTTGGAAGAAACTAAAGGAGTCCCCCGTCACACCCAGAGGCAGATCGGCCGGCACGCGTTGTCCAACATTCCCTAGCATCTTACCAGTATCACACATTCCACTGGTGTTCGAATACGCACTCGACTGTGCTCCCCATCGCCGCTCACTGTCCCACAACGCCCAGGCGCCGCTGCTCCCGCGACTGCTTCCTCCCGGCCCGAGTGAGACGCCCCATTCGCGACTCGGACTCAATGTCGCTCCATGCACCGACGGTGGCACAAAACCGGGTGGTGCGAAACCGGCCGGAGCGAAACCAGGTGGTGAGGCCGAGCCTTCCTGCGGAAACGCGCTGTGTCCGAACGCGCTACCGCCGCCCGTGCTGTGTCCGAAGGCGCTGTGCCCCAAGGCGCTGTGCCCGAAGGCGCTTAGCCCACAAGCTGCCGTGCATGAACTGCCGCCGCTGCCCTCGCCCGCTCCACCGCTATTCCCTGGACCACCACCGGTGCCAGTACCAGTTACATTGGTGCCTGGACGGTCGGTGGAGAAGATGGCGCAGCGTAGGAGCATGCCTACGTCGACAGTGACCTTGAGGCACCGCAGTTCCTGGAGAGCAGCGCGTTGCAACACGCCACCAACGGTCATGGGGATGGCTCCTTTGAAGGCGGTACCGCGTGCCTTGCGGCGCACATGACGTTTGGTAAGGGCGGCGGGAGCCGCGTCAAGCAGGAGCCACTCGTTCACGTCTTGGTAGACTACAGCTGAGAGCGACAGCAGCGGCGTATCGGCATCGAACTTGCGTGTCTGCACGAACCGGATCAGGTACAGCGCTAGGTTCAGAATACCCTTCGGGACCGGACCCACGTCAACATGACCACGCATGCAGCGTTCCTCGATGGCGGAGATGCAGTTGATTATACCGCTTTCGTAAAACACACGGCAGATGTGCAGTCCGAGCGCGTCCGAAGGCGTGAGCCCGCGCGGATCCAGTTTCCCGCCGCTTCCGACGACGTAGTGCGCGAGCGACTCGTGTAGTCGGTGCGGACTCTGCGGCATGCCCTGGAAACCGAAGGCGAGTGAGATAATTGAGAGACACATGCGCGTCAACTGCAACACGTCTCCGTACGTGGAAGCGTCCTGTAGTGCCTGGCCTAGCAAGAGCGGTAAACTACTCAACATCGCACCCGGCGGCGCCGCGCCGGGTCCCGACCAGTCAAGCCCCGGTTCGAGTCTCACGCTGTCCACGGTGGCGTTGGGCATACGCAACGGCGTCACGTGGTTCACGGCGCTGAAGATGACGAAGGCCTTGATGAAGGGCAGAACACGTACCGAACGAAGCCGAAAAAGCTGCTTCGGCTGCGAGACAAAGAGCAGTGACGTCAACTCCATGAACTGCCCCTCAACCAGCGCCCGTTTCGGCGTATCCGCGTAGTGCAGAAAACGCGTACACAACTCAATCAAAGACCACAAACATGCCCAACTACTCGCCTGTGTGCGTGCATAAATTAAACGCAGATCCGGCCATCGACAACGACCCTCGTACTGCCGGTGCAGCTCCGTCATCCGCGCTATCAACTCCTGTTCAGTCATCATATACCACAATAACGCCAATGGCCAGAACGGATCGTTCGTTGCACATGCACACGAATGCCAGCAACCACAACGTACACACGTGTCCGACACTACCACGGCGCAAGACGTGCAACAAGACGCAAAGTCCGACTGCCGCCGGTTGTCCACCAAATCCGCCTCCGACCCCGGCGATTCCGCCGCAAATAACGAAGCGTGACTCGACGACGACGACGACGACGACAAATAACGCCGCACATCCGATTCCGCCACGCGGCCCCCGCTCAGGGGTTCTCGGCTCAGCTGCTCTCGGCTTAGGTGGTCCCGGCTGAACTGTTGGTCGCGACTGAGCTGCTGGTCTCGGCTAAGCTGCTGGTCGCGACTCAACACTTGCCCTCCGCCGGACTGCTCCCGACCAATCAGGGGGTCCCGACCAGTCAGGGGGTCCCGACCTGTCAGAAGGTCTCGACCATTCAGGAGGTCCCGACCAGTCAGGAGGTCCCGACCAGTCAGGGGATCGGCCAGGTCGGCTCGGTTGGTGCACATGAGCGGGTGTTCGGGGAAGGCGGTGTGTTTGAAATGTGTGGCAGCGGGGAGTCGACTACTGCTGGAGCGGAGTGCGACCTTTCTCTTCTTGGCGTCGACCCAGGAAGGTAGCGTACCGGACGTGGCTAACCGTGGTAATCGTGACAGTCGTAATTTTGAGGAAGAAGACACACGGCTGTCCGAACCTTTACTGTCACCCCGACCCGGTTCACTGCGCCCGGCCTCTCGTCGCAATGTCTCCGACGCATACGAACCTTCGGTTCTCTGGAAAGAACTTACGTCCGGTCTCTGTAAAGGGCTTACGTCCGGTCCGCGGAACAAGGACACCCCCCCCACACCCCCCACCGAGTCCTCGTACCGCGTGGAACTGTCCTGGCCCCCGCGACTGTCTCGACCCCCGCGGCTGTCCTGCCGAAAGGACGAACGCGTGTCCTGGC